CAAAGGACGAGCACGACTCTGTTATGACAGTCACATGGCTAAACACAACTTTGATCAGCTTGCAAGCAAAGCGACCATGAGCAAATTTCAAGGTGTGTTTTCATAGAAAAAAAATGAATTTTATCATTGGCAGGTTTCAAACCTGCACAGTCCAAGAGAAACAGATCCTGACTCTGGTGATCACTTGACAATTTAATCTTTAGCGGGTTTTGAACCCACACAGACAGATTTGAATTCTGTTGTATTAACTGCTCAGCTAAGACTAGTTGAATGAACTTCCAATGAACTCATTCAAAAGTGAATCCTCAAGGCACAATCTCAGCCTTGATATATTTGTATTTTTCCCTCATTCCCCAGGTCATTAGGATGAAACTTGCAAGTTTGATGTGTAATCTGCTCTTCTTCTTCTTCTTCTTCTTCAACAGAGTCAAGACCTTTAGAAAGAATTAAATTGTTCTTATGCTTATCCTTCCGAGTTTGCATCGAGATTTTGGTCATATATTGAACTCTGTGTCAAAAATACTCGCACTCACTCAGCAAAAAAGGATGCATGAAACCAACAGCAATGTCAATCAAGCTTGAGATCATCAGTGTTTGCTTGCTATACATTTGTGTGGAAATGTGAAGGTGTGATTTCATTATTCATACAATAAAAATAAAATTTTTATTGTCAAGGTGTATTTTTATAGAAAATAAAATTCATTGTCGGCAGGTTTCAAACCTGCACATTCCAAGAGAAACAGATTTTGACTCTGGTGATCACTTGACAATTCGATCTTTAGCAGGTTTTGAACCCACACAGACAGATTTAGATTCTGTTGTATTGACTGCTCGGCTAAGACCAGTGAGATGCACTTCCAATAAACTCATTCTTTACAACTGGGTCATGAGTGACAACCAACAATAGAAGGATCACATATGATGATTGGACTTGAGGGGGATGTTGGAAATTAATATTAGAACTGACAAAATGCAGATAAATGTACCTTGAGTATTTACTTCTGAATGGGCACATTTGGAGTGCATCTAACTAATCTTAGCCAAGCAGTTGATACGACAGAATCCAAATCTGTCTGTGTGGGTTCAAAACCTGCTAAAGATGAAATCATTGAGTGATCACCAGAGTCAAAATCTGTTTCTCTTGGACTGCGCAGGTTTGAAACCCGCCAATAATACTATTGTTGTTCTATGAAATCACACCACCAGCAAGATGGTGCTCTCAGGAAAGCACACATGAGTCCATGTCGAGGTGTGTTCTAACAGGGAAAATAAACACATGAGGAAATGTCAAGGTGTGATTTCATGGAATAAGACTAAGACCAATGAAGATCAGCATATGGGATGCTGTCTATGAGCAAATAATATTCAAGGCATGTTCTAATAGAACAAAAAAATGCGAGATTCAACAGGTTTCAAACCTGTTGCACTTCAATGGAAACAGATTTTGATTCTGTTATGACAACCGCTTGGCTAAACACAACTCTGACGAGCTTGTAAGCAAACCGACCATGAGCATATGTCAAGGTGCATTTTTATAGAAAATGAAAATTATCCTTGGCAGGTTTTAAACCCGCACAGTCCAAGAGAAACAGATTTTGACTCTGGCAATCACTTGACAATTTAATCTTTGGTAGGTTTTGAACCCACACAGACAGATTTAGATTCTGTCATATCGACTGCTTGGCTAAGACCAGTGAGATTCACTTCCAATGAACTCATTCAGAAGTGAACCCTCAAGGCACATTTATCTGCATTTTGTCAGTTCTTTCAATAGCATGGTCGTTGTTGATTCTTTTATCCTGCTTTTATTGCAAAAAACATCAGACTTCTTCTGCGACTCTTGATTTCAAGACCTGTTTACCTCTCAGCCTTAATAGATTTGTATTTTTCCTAATCCCCCAGGTTATTAGGATCAAACTTGAAATTTTGATGCCTAATCTGCTCTTTTTCTTCTTCAACCAAGTCAAGACCTTTAGAAAGAATGTTATTGTTATTGTATTTATCCTTCCGAGTTTGCATCGAGATTTTGGTCATATATCAAACTCTGCATCAAAAATACACTGTGTGATCCTTTCATTGTCAGTTTTCACTCATGGACCCACCGTGGTGGTCTTCCATCAGCAATTTTTCAGGGAAATCATTAGATAAACAGGTCTTGAAGTCAAGAAGCCCCAGCAGGAAGTCTGTGTCTTTTGCAATAAGAGTAGGATAAAAAAAATCAACAGTGACCATGCTATTAAAAGAGCTGACAAAAAGCAGATAAATGTACCTTGAGGACTCGCTTCTGAATGGGTTCATTGGAAGTCAATCTAACTGGTCTTAGCCAAGCAGTTGATACGACAGAATCCAAATCTGTCTGCATGGGTTCAAAACCTGCTAAAGATGAAATCATCGAGTGATCACCAAAGTCAAAATCTGTTTCTCTTGGACTGCGCAGCTTTGAAACCTGCCAATGATAACATTTTTATTTTTATTCTATGAGGGCACACCTTGACATATGCTTATGATCGGTCAGCTTGCAAGCCGATCAGAGCTGTATTTAGCCAAGTGGTTGTCATAACAGAATCAAAATCTGTTTCTATTGGAGTGCAACAGGTTTGAAACAAGTGAAACATCACATTTTTTTCTATAAGAACATGCCTCAAATATTTGCTCATAGACAGCATCTCGGACATTTATTTTCATTGGTCTTTAGTCAAGTTGTCACCAGAGTCAAAATCTGTTTCTCTTGGACTGCGCAGGTTTGAAACATGCCAATGATAACATTTTTCATTTTATGAAATGATGATGAAGGGCATTGGACTGCGTAGGTTTGAACTCTGCCAATGATAACATTTTTTATTTTATGAAAATGCACCTTGACAGTCTGAAACACATTGAATGCTGCATTTTTTTCTATTAGAACATGCCTTGAATATTGAATCATAGTCTGTCTCTCAGAAACTGATTTTCATCAGTCTTAGTTAAGTTGTAAGGCAGCATGAGTGTGTGTGATATCTGATTGGCTGATGTTACATATGTAATACAAGAGTGATGGTCCACAACACTGAGATTTGTTTCCTTCTATCTAGTCCTCGTCGTCTCGTTCTGCTCGTGCCAAACGTTTACATTCAATTCATCTGTTCAGCTGAGGGAAAACATTGTGAGTGACAGGGAATGGTACACTTGCCTTGCAGATTCACTTTTGAATGTTTTCTTTAAACATGCATCTAACTGGTGTTAGTCAAACAGTTGCTACAACAGAATCCAAATCTGTTTCAGATCTGTCTGTGTGGGTTTAAAACCCGCTAAAGATAAAATTGCTAGTGATTATCAGAGTCAAAATCTGCTTCTCTTGGACTGTGCAGGTTTGAAACCTGCCAATGATAAATTTTCATTTTTTTTATGAAACCACACCTTGACATATGCTCATGGTTGGTTTGCTTACAAGCTCATCAGAGTTGTGTTTAGCCAAGTGGTCGTTTTATGAACTTCAATGTCTGACATGCTGTATGTGAGCAAATATTCACAACATATTCTTGTAAGGCTGATGTTTGAGTTCAAAGGGGAAAGTGAACAAGGATGAGTTTTTAGATAAAAAATGAGCACAAATGTTATGACGTGGATGAGACATTTTGAGACTGATATGTTTGAGACCTTCTGGCATTCTGATACAAAAGTACATGAGCTGTATATAAGTGCATAATGGCAAGGGTCCTCAGTTAGTTTGATAGTTTGACCGAAACAATTAGGATGTGACAGATGCAGAAGGGAGTGGCATTGAGCCTGACAGGTGGCTAGTGTGAAAGTACGAGAGAGTGAATTAATGGCAGTAAGAAAGAGTTCGGTTTGGACAGAATAACGAGTGTTTCATAGCAGTTTTGACAGGTTTCAGTATGGCAAAGTGAGAATGGAGCAGTCCATGACCAAAAGACAGGGTCTGAGGGTCGGTTATAGCAAGGGTTTTGTCTAGGTAGCAAGTATAGCGGTTTGTGCAAGTCAAAACAATATAGGACTTGGAGTCCTTGTAGCCTCATAGAGGTCATTTTTTCAGTGTCCCTTAGGTCCTCGCACAGCGCGCGTTATAGCTAACATGGCGTGCACCATTTCCGTTATTGGCTGATGGCCGCGACTCATGCGTGCTTCGGCTCACATCCACTTCCCTTCGGTTCCGTCGCGCGTCCTTCCCCTGTCCTATCCATGTCCTCTGCCGGTCCATTGGTGCGTACTTATCCCAATCTGCATTAGACTAAAATTATTTCTGACGCTATCTCATTTATATTCTCATTACTTGTGTTAGGGACCCTGTTTAAATACTACTGCTACCTACTTGGCTCCGAACAGCGCTTTGCGCGCTCTCATATATACTTAGTACTTACAAATTTGCAGGTAGTATCTCTTTCCGCATCAAAAATTATCACCAACTCGCACGCAACACTTTGACTGAATATCTAAACCTCCGGCATACTACCGCATGCGCATCTCTTATGGCCGTGTTAAAAGTTCGCATCCCATTTACTGTTTCTATTGTTGAATTGTCTCCTCGCTCCATCGCTGCGCCGCATCGCCTACATGTTTATCCTTTGACTCAGCCGTGCGCTTCTGCGTCTCATCAAACCCTCGGCTATATGGCTGCGCATCGTAATGCGCTTTCGGCAGCTCACTCACACTCGCATCGCATCGGCGCAAATTCTTGCGCTCCTTCCACTTTTAGTTACTTTTACTAGTTTCCAAAGTTTCCCCTCACATTTTATTTAGAGGAATCGTTCTCAGTAGCAATCCCCTTGGGCCGAATCTATACTCGCATCCAGAGGTCTATTTGAGTTTTACCCCACTTCACCCTTTCACCCCTTCTCATCTAGCTATCATTCCTCACACACAACTGGAGCCCACCGTGAGGGGTCCATCTGGTTTAGTTTTAATTAAGTGATTTTGATTTTTAGGTTTTCCCGATGAACCCGCATTTCGGACCCAACATACCCGCGCTTCGGACCCGCAGTTTTTCCCGCGCTTTGCACATCATGCCCGACGCCTTTGGCATGCCATTCAGGACAGAACAATCAGCTCCAAGATTCACCGACGACACTTGCAGAGTTTTTGCATATTTGCAAACCATAGATCAACTTGGACAAAAGCTCAATTTGTCGGACATTCAGCTCATTCAGTATGCTATTAAGTATAACTGGTCCACAGATAAATCGCTATGGGCAGGATGCCCCAAAGCCAAAGGAACATCTTGGTTAGACTTTGCTAACGAAATTTTGTGGTGTTATCCAGAACAAGGCATAGATAAGTATGTCCGACCCGACCCTCCGAAGTCTGAGATATCCGGACCCGACGGACCCGATGAATCTGAAGATTATGAAGTTTGGACGCTTCAATCAGAAAGTCATGAAGACACGCCCGTGCAAGAACTCATTGCTCATGAAGTAGAAGTATCTGCATCCGAAGATTTTAATGCAACATCCAACGCCCCAGAGGAAGTCCGAGTCTCCGAAATTTTGGACTTGACCTTCGGACATGTTCAGCTACCATCGGAACAATTGGATTCATTTGTCAAAGTCATTTATACGGAGATACTAACACCAGAAGTCATAGAAACAGAGCTAACACATCTAGGAGACGACGGACCCGAAATACCTGAAACGTCGGCCGAAGATTTGTCTGAAATTTTGGACATTGATATTGGAGCTTTAGATCACGAACTCGTTTTACCTTCTTCAGATAGCACTGACCATCTTGTCCACGCCGCAGCATTCATCTTATTACTCACTGGTTATATCACTTGGTCTAGGTATCATTTTGAATTGTCGCACCCGAAAGTCCGCACGTCAATACCCGAAACACCTGAAACACATTCTCCCATCATTCCGAAGATATACCCTGTTCACCCGCAGTTTCCCGTCATAGTTTCATCCTCCCGTCACCCGTCGCATCAGACCCAAAATGTCCAAAATTATCATCCGGTTTACCAATGCTTTCAATACCCTCATCCATCGCACTCCCAGATCGCATTTTACCAGTATGAAAGCCAACGATGTCTTTACCTTAGGAAAAAGCTATAGTCCGAAACCCCAAAATTTCGGGTTACACAATACCTGAAAAACACGCACATATGTTCATAGTTCGCACATACCAGCATCGCATGTTTTACCCTGGGTTTAGGCCGGTGTTTCATATCTCAATAACCCAATCCTCATATGTCCGCACTTAGAAACTAATAGTACACAGACATTTCGGACCCGAAAGCGCGCTAATAACCCCTATTTACATAGCATTTCATCTTCGGACTGCGCATCGTGTGCGCACCCTTATATCTATGTAGAAAACCACGAAAAACCCAAAAACCCGAAGAAAGACAGTCAAAAGTTGCACGAAGAAGTCAAGTCAGATGGTACTCTGCGCCCCTAGTATCACTTTGACTGTGTTATCCGAAATACTACTTCGCACTTACGAATATTTTCCTTCATCATTTATACGGACATCGCACTTCGCACTTCGGACATTGGACATTGGACATCGGACTATTGGACATCACATCGGACTATCGGATATCATGCACACTCGTCCTACCTATGTCCTGTGTCATTTTGCTAGCCCCACTAGGTGCGTAGTTACTTGTTTTCACATCGCTAACATTGTAGACCACATTATTACATGTCCGCAGCACCTCATGTCTTATTACATAGGACATTGGACCCGAAAATATTGCGCTACTACTTTCGCCTATATGATTCCGGACTTCTACGTATCTACATAAATATTGGACTCCCCATAGCATCATTAGGATCCAAGTAGAGGAGAGCCGTTCTCTGACGCTTAGGGGTCAAACCCGATATTTCGTAGTTCTTAGTTGACATTGCAAATATCATCGTTCCTTCACCGCCCATATCCATCATTGTTATTATTGTGCACACCTCTCGCTTTCCCAACACTCGCTATCACATTACTATTAGTTTCCAATACCCCGAACCCGAACCCGAACCCGATAACCCGAAACCCCAAAAACATCGGACCCGACGCTTTTGCATTGGACATCGTAATTATACCTTCGGACATTGTTTCCCGCTGTAGAAACAACAATACCGAGAGGAACTAATGATGCTCCAGACTGTATCTGTAAATGTTGTAAGGTCGCGCGTTGCCTAGTCTGCTATACTTGAGACGACAAGTGCGTTCGACCCTAAAGGGGAAGCGAGTGCAGCAAGGATCTAGTAGTGCGCGCTGAAGGCGCTACTGGTCGGCTGATGCGAAGCGCGAGAAAGCGCGCAGGTGCGCGCGAGGCGCGGGAAAGCGAAGGTACGCGCGTGAGCGGAAACAAGTGAGAGTAAGTGTGAGTTTTGCTTAAGTGGTCTGCTAGGTAGTAAGTGGGTAAGTGGGAGGTAAAGTGGAAAGTTCCCCAGTTCCTAATAGTATGTAATGCTGGCGCTTATATGCGGCGCCTAAGCGCTGTCATGCGGAGCCGAAGCGCTACCGAGTAAGGTATGTAAAGCTATATGTAAGTAAGGGTCCATGATAAAAATAAAGGTGGAACGATACACAGATAAGAGAAATGGAAACATACGCACTAGAGAACTTGGTGGACAGTGGATGGATGCTTCCGGATGGCTGGCGCTATAGGGCGCTCAAGCGCGGGAAAGCGCGCGCGTATATACATCACGAAGCGCGGGAATGGTGCGCGCATGGCGTGCGTTGCGCGGGAAAGCTGCGCCTCATATAGGGATAGCTGCAGATAGCACACAGAATGGTGCTGCAAGTTCGTGCAATGAACTCCCTAGTGAAAAGTGCCATATCACACCATGAGAGGCATGAGTCTCTACACCGCGCTTGGACTATTGACCCCACATCACTCACTGACCCCCAAAACTATTCCCAGACCGCAGACCCCTGGATCGAACGCACTTGTCTCACCAAGTATAGCAGACTAGGCAGTGCAAGACCACAACATAAAGATATCAGTTTGGAGCCATCTTTGTATAGCCCCACTCTGAGTTGTATTCCTACAGCGGCTCATGTGGTATTGATCTTTGCGCTTAGTTACCATGGCTTGCACCGGTGCTTGCGCTGGCGTGATCGCTGTGACTAAGTTCGCAATTGGCACTACCACGGGCATGCTAACTGGCACGCTTGGCGCGGGAAAAGTGCGCGCAGGTAATAGGAACTGTGCAGCTGCAAAGATGTCCATAAACAGATATGGGTCGTGTGGATAGTGGTCGGGGAATTTGATCATAAGGCGCAAGCGAATTTGCGCCTGTGCATCTCTAGGGATTCCTTCCATGAATAAGCGGTCGTGTTCGGCCTTCCCAATACGGTCTTCATCCATAAGTGGCTGCATAACCTTCCTGAATGCGCACAAGTAATTGCTTAGTTCTGTGCAAGAGGGCATCAGTTTGTTAGCGTATTCGCGCACGATGGCACGTAGATCCGCGAGCGCGTAGCGTCTTTTACCATCCCATCCAGGATACATTACCTTAACTTCTGCCATGAATGCAACATAATCATCTACTGCCACTTCAGGCATGCCTCCCCATAGTTCTTGATCATCGCATTCAAGGTAGCGAATAATACCTTTGATGCGGTCGAGCCCTTGGAGTCCTGCTTCATCAGCGAGCTGCTCATATGCGTCAATGAAATTGGCGAGGTTGTCTGTAGTGCCGTCAATTTGGGCATGTTTGTCGTGCCATGGATGGGCATTTTATAAGGCATTGAAGCGTGGGAAAGGCGCGCGCACGAGGCGCGAGAATGCGCGACTAAAAATGGTTAGCTTGTGAAAATGCAAAGAGATTGACCTATATGCACTAAATGGCGCTAAGTGCAAAGGTGTGTAGAACTAGATCTTGCTGACTGTTCCCCTCGTGGTGGGCTCCAGTTGAAGGTTCAACGATACTGAGAAGAACAAATGATGCTCCTGACTGTATCTATAAATGTTGTAAGGTCATGTGTTGCCTAGTCTGCTATACTTGACACGACAAGTGTGTTCGACCCTAAAGGGGAAGCGAGTGCAGCAAGGATCTAGAAGTAGGTGCTGAAGGCGCTACTGGTTGGCTGATGCGAAGCGCGGGAAAGCGCAGGTGCGCGCAAGGCGCGGGAACGTGCGCGCGTGTATATAGAGATATGAGATGATAGTGCTTCTTTCTAGGGAGTGATTCCAACTAAGCTCAGTTGTGTAGTATGAACATGGGGGTTGCTAAACTACTTTCTGGTATGTACTACTAGCACTTATGTATGGCGCCTAAGCGCTGTCATGCGGAGCCGAAGCGCTAGCGAGTAAGGTATGTAAAGATATATGTAAGTAAGGGTCCATGATAAAAATAAAGGTGGAACGATATGCAAATGAGAGAAATGGAAATATACACACTAGAGAACTTGGTGGACAGTGGATGGATGCATCTGGATGGCTGGCGCTATAGGGCGCTCAAGCGCGGGAAAGCGCGTGTGCATATACATCATGAAGCACGGGAAGTGTGTGCGCATGTTGCGCGTTGTGCGGGAAAGCTGCGCCTCATATGGGAATAGCTGCGGAAAGCATGCAGAGTGATGCTACAAGTTCGTGTCATGTACTCCCTAGTGAAAACTGCCATATCACACAATGTGAGGCATGAGTCTCTACACCGGTGTGCCCCAAATCTTGAATATGTTTGGGGCCTTTGGAATCTGTTTTAGCCACGTCCAAGTCCATCAAAATCTGCTATTTTCTATTCGTTGAATAGCCCGAACTCCATCTCACATGCCTCTCCACTGGCGTGATCACAACCAACTTCGCCTTCTATGCCTAGGTCTAGGCTGCACGTGGTGGTTTTGAAACCAGTCAGGTTGCACTCAACACATGCATTCGCTCCACCCAGATTATGATTGTGTACCTACTCCAGAACCGCCCCATCAGGATCTCTCCCCACCACCCCAGCCACCGCTCCACCCTCAAAATTTCTCACCACCCCCTCCTGATTTCTTGCCACCACAGCCATCATCACCTCCCCTAGGTCCTGATCCAATTCAGGAGGATCCAGATGGTGCTGATGCAGAATTCACTGACATGAGTGAGTGTTACTATCATACATATCATTCAATGTTAAACAGTAAGTTCCTTATATTCCATCAGTACTCTTTGTGACTTGTCTACACTTAGGACGACCATGCACAGCTGACAGTGCATTTCTGCCGCCTGGCACCCCTCCAACTCCCACACCACTAAAGGCTCCCGATGACTGGAGCCCATATCATAATAGAATTGAATTTGAGATGGCAGAGTTCGCATTCAAAAAATGCCATATGTCTATGAAAAATTTAGATTTCCTATGCAACTTAATGGCTTCACTACTCGCAAAACACCACAATTCACCTTCATTTGCCGATCACAAGGATTTATACAGTGTCATAGATGTGACACAACTTGGTGATGTCCCCTGGCAGTGTTTTTCAGTTAAACACACAGGAGAACACCCTGAGGTTGTCCCGCCATGGATGGACAAAGAGTATGATGTCTGGTTTAGGGACCCTCGTGTGATGGCACAAAACATATTAGCCAACCCTACCTGCAAGGATGAAATTGACTATGTGTCATTCCGTGAGTACGACGTATCAGATGACAAACACCAATGGAAAGACTTTATGTCTGTAGACTGGGCATGGCAACAGGCAGTATGTCTTCCATTTATTATCACTGGTAGGGACATCTAACATTCCAAGGACGAGATATCAAATGATCTGGACACTCGTGGATCTGCATCTGTCCCAATTATTCTTGGCAGTGACAAGACCACCGTTTCTGTAGGTACAGGTAACAACGAGTACTACCCTCTCTATGCCTCAATCAGCAATGTACACAACAACGTGTGACGTGCCCACCACGATGCTCTTGTTATCATTGGCTTCCTCGCTATACCCAAAAGTATGTGTTTTGATGTTTCAAATCTTATGAAGCCTAATCTGAGCTACGTCACAGCTGACAAGAAGAATGCTAACAATGAGGTGTTTTAGATGTTTTGCCGCCAACTGTACTACTCCTCATTATCCACGATTCTCCAAAGCTCGAAGCCTGTAATGACCTAGTATGAGGTTGTGCATTGTGGAGACGGTCATTTTCAACATGTCATATATGGTAACCCTACATAGAGAACTACAAGGAACAGGTGGTATTAGGTTGTATTGTCTGAAACTGGTGCCCAAAGTGGGTATTTAATTCTACAACCAGTGTCAACTTGTACTAATAATATTTACAGATGTCTTGTGATCCAAACAAACCTCGATGGTGGTGGTTTATACTGGTGTCGTGAGCATGCAGATTTAGTTATACAAGAACTACAGTGGGACATATTATGGGATGAATTTGGTATAATTGGCAATCTCATTGTGAGTAGAAGAACCTGTTGCTCTTGACTCAAAGACTAATTTTTCTACATATGTAGCCATTCACAAATGACTTTCCCCGAGCTGACATATATGAATTGTTGTTGCCTGATATTCTCCATCAACTTATCAAAGGTGCTTTCAAGGACCATCTCGTTGACTGGGTATTCAAGTACCTCAAGCATATCCATGGGACCAGACAGCCAGAAGAAATCATGAGTGACATAGATCACAGGTATGTCACTTTAGTCATTCGCTTGATTTCAATCTGTAATGTCAATTAGAATTGCAGCTGTAGCATCGTTCTCTGGTCTACAATGATTCCCTCAAGGTCACGACTTCAAGCAATGGACAGGTGACGATTCCAAGGTTCTCATGAAGGTGTTTATTCCAGCTATCGAAGGCCATGTACACGAAGATATTGTACATTGTTTTCACATGCTCTTAGAATTCTGTTATCTTGTGCGGCACAATGTCATTACTGAAGATATGTCATATCCCGTATTCCGGACTTACATCCGACAATATTCCCACGCCTCATCCGGACCTTCGGACGCCCTATCCATGTCTCCAGTCCTCTATCCATCCGGATCCCTGCACCTCTGCACATCCACATCCACATCCACATCCCTTTACCTCCATACCTCAGCTAGCCTGCATCAGTCATCCTTTGTCCCATCACCCTAATGTCATATCCCATATATCCACGTGTCTCATCCGGACATCCGGTCCGATCTGGTCCGATCTGATCTGATCCGATATACGATAAGCTTCCTAATTCAATTCCTGTGCATATAACGTTAACACAGCCTATTCCTCTATTCGGTATTCCTTGTCCTCGGTATCTCGGTTATACTTACTACCGGTATGCTTACTGATCCGTTAACCTATGCTTCATTTCCGACTCGCACTTGATAACTTTGCTTATGCTTCATACATAGCCTCGGACGCTTGCTTACTGATCTTTCCGTTATTTCCTTAGTATATAAACTCTTGTATATGTCCTGTAGTTCCTCAGTCTGAATATCATATTAGTCCTCGCACTAGATCTCACTCTAAGTCCTCATATCAGTTCTAGTCTATCGACTTAGTCAATATCCATCTCGGGCCTAGGGAGAAATTCCCTAGGCCAGAGCTCCGCTTATCCGATCCTCCGAAGTTTCCGGACGTTCGTCCGAAACTTTCCCGCGGTCCTCCGGACCTATTCTGCTTCGGACTTTGTCCTTGCAGCCTTTCCTCTGTTTGCTTCTACTTAGGACTTGTCCTAAGTAGCCATTACACGTATCCGTATCAGGACGAAACCTCATCGTAATTTCCGGAAGTTTCTCCGGAAGTTTCCCGCACTCGTCCGGAAAGTCCTTCCGAACTTTCCCGCGCTTCGGACATCATTCTGAAATTAAGGGCACATACTCGGGTAAGGGGCGCAGCGCACAAGCTGAAGCCAAGCCCCTCGGAATCAGTCCTACCCTTTGTGCACGGTCTTAACAAGATACCTTGAATCAGATTCAGGATGCACTAACTTGTTTTCACCACTACCACCAGATATTTCTTGACTTAGGTGTCATTTCTACTCTCTCACTCCCCCGCCAGCACTCGATGTCCCATTATGCAGATATGATCCGACTTTTTGGTTCCCCGAATGGATTATGCTCCTCAATAACAGAATCAAAGCATATCAAAGCAGTAAAAGAGCCTTGGCGATGGTCCAGCAAGCACAATGCTCTTGGTCAGATGCTCATGTCCAATCAACACCTTGACAAACTTGCAGCATCACGTGTAGACTTTGGTGCACAAGGGATGCTCACTGGCACTGTACTATCAAATGCTATGGATGATCTTGGTAAGTTTTCACCATGTGATTTGTCATTCTCCCATGCTCAACTGCACATACAGTCATGATAGATGAGAATGAACCAGAGGTTCCTATTGTCCACCTGCAACCAGGTGCCCCTGCCATCCAACCACAACCAGGCAATGATATTGATGACAACAAAATAGTTGATGGTCCAACTGCACTCACTCATGTAACACTTGCCAAGACTCATTGTAAGTGCAACTACAATATTCAATCTTGATGCTCCCAATTTTATCATACAGAACAAAAACGGGCACAGACAGTAATCGCCTTAGCAGGTGAAGTTGGTGTTCTGTATTTGCGACGCCTCATTCAATACTTCTTGTTCTCCTAACTCTACCCAAATTGTCCCCAGGACCCTGAAGACGTCCCAGCCACTACTTGTCCTCGGTATCAAGGTTGCCTCAAGGTCTTTAATTCTGCAGCTGCAACCTTCTATGCGCCCAGTGATCCGAGCGGGATCAGTGGCATGCGCCACAAACACATTCACGCATGTTTACTCTGGCGGAACCTTTATGCATGCAATGATTGCGTGTTCGTCAACACTAATCCAAATCTTGAAGGAATGCGAGGACTTGACGTTGTGAGAGTCCTGTGTTTCTTCTCATTTAACCACAACAGGACCAAGTATCCTTGTGCTCTCATCCAGTGGTTCAACAAAGTTGGTGACTGTGCAGATGAAGTTACCGGCATGTGAATGGTGCAACCAAGTGTTCATGAAGATGGCTCCCAGAACCTTGCTGTCATCCACATCGACACAGTCTACTGTGCAGCACACCTGATCCCTATGTACAGCTCCGAGTTCATTTCTGAATCTATCAATTTCTACCATTCATATGACACATTCGGCTCATTTTATGTCAACAAATATGCTGACCATCATGCCTTCGAGATAGTGTCTTAACCGCTATGGATGACCTTTCACCCCTCCCACATTGTTGCACCCCTTGCATCATCTCACCTCTTGCATCATCCCACTTCTATCTGTCCCAGTCCCGCAAGTTCTCTCATATCACCCCACCTCTCATATTGTCCCACCTCTTGTATTGTCCCATCTCTATCCATCCCAGTCCCGCAAGTTCTCCTGTATCATCCCACCTCTTGTATTGTCTCACCTCTATCCATCCCAGTCCCGCAAGTTTCTTATCATTTGTTCTTGTATTTCAGGACATCCTAGTACAACAACCACAGCCATCTACTCCTGATCTGTCCCAGTCCCGCAAGTTCCTTTTCATTTGTTCTTGTATTTAAGGACATCCTAACACAACAACCACAGCCATCTACTCCTGATCCGTCCCAGTCCCACAAGCTCCTTCTCATTCATTTCTTTCATTTAAGGACATCCTAACATCAATGTACTAGGTGAGTTAGCTGTTCATCGACCAAAGATATATGAACTTACCTATACTTTCCTACCAGTCCACTGGCACCCAACTTTACGCCTCGTGGATGCTCTCGAGCATCTCTTCATCCAAGCAACTGAATATTGCCCTCAATCCCTTCCAAACCAAATCTGTCCATTTCTAGGCATTCCTCGCCCTTCACCTCCTGGCCAATTCGCCTCGCTGCACCTCCCTCACGTATAGTAGAGATTAGTATCTACTATCTGTCACAGATGCTCTCTGGACTAAACCAAATGCTATCGACCACATTAGCATCTGTTTGCAACCACATATGGGTCCATACCATGTTCGCGAGGCTCATAGTGTTTGAACGATCAAGATAGTAAGTTGTGTAGTAGATATTGTGCTGAATGTACCACTGACCTGACTTTTTGAGCCGCCAAAACTTTCTCATGCTCACAGTCATCAATGAAAATGAGCAGATATCGAGTTGGTTCTACAGTGTTACAAGTAACATTGGTCACGTGGCCCCCCTATCATTTTCCCTTCATCCTCATCCTCACCATCTACCGGGTCGTACTCCTCTACCGGATATCTGTTGACTGGATCCTCGGGACCGTTCCCATCCCTCGTCTCCATCCCATCATCCGCCTTATCTCTGATACCGCACCAACGTGTGCACGTGCCTTGGCACCTTGACTCGTCCGGACTCATGCCACCAATGTGGCTTTCCCTTCTCGTCTCCCTTGACTCGCACCTGCTATGCATTGTAACTTTACCATTGGCCCGGTCCAACGTTCATCGGTCTCATTCTGCATTCGACCTCTCATCACTAATCAGGCTGTGTTGCCAATGTACCTATACCCTTTCCGTTTCCCCTTTACCCTTACCTACAGTACGGTAACCCAGCCCTCAACCCTTTCCACTTAGTATAAGTAGTCGGTCATCTTGTATCAGATTCCCTAACTTGAATCTACTCAATCTTCCCTCGAAACTACTTCCTTCAAGAGCCTCTCAGCTCTTGTCTCTAGTATGACTTTCTTAGGTGCTCGTTGCATCTAAGTCTACCTCGATCAACGGTCATCGTTAGAACAAGACTGTCCTTTCTTTGACTTCAGTGACTTCACGGACAGCCGTCTTAGAAGTCATGTGACACGCGCGTCTGTGATATCTGCCAACTCGACGTCGCCAGTCTCACTCGCTATACCGGACCCTTCCAGTTACGTCACGAACATTAGCAGACAACGCCCCTCTTAGGGCTCCGCATAACAGACCTATTTGAGTGCGTAACATACGGTCCTTTAGTCCCTCATCAACGGTCATAAATGGACCTCCATGATGACTGAGTCCAATGGCTCATTCAATGGAGGGAAGGCTCTTAGTAGTACAAGCCGTCTCAGCATATGTACTAGTATAGTACTTGTCAAATTTTTGGTGCTTGTGTCAACTTGTCAAATGCTCTTCAACTTGCGCTCTTGTGTGTCACTCATTTACTTACAAAGTCCAGGGCCCAAGTTCATCAAGCGAAATAAGTGAGATTAAAGTGTAAATAAGTTTTGATTTATGAAACAAGTGAGATTAAGCAATGTGTGAATTTACTGATGCTGCTATAGAGGAAGAATTGACAACATGTATGAAAATGTGACAGTGGATAGGAGGAGCTGTGGAGAGTCAAATTTGACTGTGCCAGTGCTATGCTGAGGTGTGACTCAACGTGACCATATTTTGCAGAGTATTAGTCAGACCCTGAATTTTCTCAGCTTTCCAGCTACCTTCAAATCGATAGGCCAGAATTCATTTTTGTTCATTCACCACTTTTGTTTAGTTGTGGAGCCAGCCAAATAACAGGGTCCTGCCTATTACAATACTTTGTCGGTGAGATACCCCAGAATGGCACTGGACTGCGCAGCTTTCTCATTCGACAGTCTTCACCATTCGGACACCATTCTCACTATGGTTAGAAACTGCTGCCACATTCCAGCAGCCATGAAGCAACAATGGGTCACTATGTCTGCCCAAATGACACCCAAGGCCATAGCACAAGTCACTAACACGAGCCGCCGAACTATCAACCGAGTTCTTCGGCTCTCTCATCTCACAGGCTCTGTTGTCAGAAGGCCCTTGGAAAGCGGACGTCCTCATCTGCTCAGTGCAGCAGATGTATTAGTAAGTAAAATAGGCCAGTAGTGTTCAATTTCCCTGACCTGCTCAGTATCTGTTGTCATGTATTGAGTGCACTCCAGACATCTTCTTGTTGGAATTGCAACATGCGCTACACAAGGCGAGGGGAGTTGAAGTCTCTGAGATAACTATTGGACAAACACTGCAACGACATGGCCTCACGCACAAACATGTATGTAATGTTTCACTACTATGAATTTCATACTGACCTTCTCTTCTAGGTGTCTAGGGCTGCACTTGAATGCAATGAAGACAACCGCGATCGCTACCAAATGTTTATAGCCGAGAATTTTCGTCCTGAGCAGCTTGTTTTCGTCGACGAATCAGCTTGCAATCGGATTACAACAAAGCGTCTAATGGCATGGTCTCCAATTGGCACGCGTGCATGCCGCCATGATTATTTCATCCGTGGGCAAAGGTGAGTGACTCGAGTTGGTCTATTTGCAGTCAAAGTCTAATTTAATCCAGGTATTCAATCCTACCTGCTCTCTCGTTAGATGGCATCCTGCACCTTGATGTGCTGGATCATTCGTATATGTCAGCAACATTTAATGAGTTCGTAGTTGGTTTGCTCGATAATATGAACCCTTTTCCTGAGAAAAACTCTGTAATTGTGATGGATAATGCAAGCATTCATAAGTCACCGCATCTCAAAGGAATAGTTCAACAAAGGTATTACTTTTGCTCTAGTTTTCAACGGCCATCAATTTGAACACTTCCAGGGGCATGCGCATTGTGTATTTGCCACCCTATTCACCCAACTTCAATCCTATCGAGGAGGCCTTCTCAGCAATAAAGGCTTGGATACAACACCACCATGACTATGCCAGGGGAGAAATGATGGGCAAGCTGACTTGTGATCCCTACCAGTTGTTGTGGGATGCTGTATTTGACACTGTCACACCCGAAAAAGCTCGTGGTTGGTTTGCGCACAGTGGGTACTTGTCTTGATTATTTGATACAGCTACAACAATTGTTACTTGACATATACTGTACAACTAGTGTTAAACATTGGTATTGATACTCGTTGATGCTCCTTCAAATTTCGATGCTCTGCTCCCTCGCTTTGCCTTTCCTCACGCGCCGAATCAGTCAATAAGCAACAGCAAGAAAAGAGTGAACTACTCCAACTGGCATGCCAATAACGTCGACGAAAAAATCATCAGATATGCCAATGATGCCATTTACATATGCAACACCATTGCTAATTAGCATGTTCTCGTACTGAGACATATTCAAAAGTGGCATGGTGATATCCATGTCTTGAAGTGCCTCAGTGATGGGCGGATACACAATGAACTCATCCTCATCTTCAGTGAATATCGGAGAAGAGCCTGAGAAGAGCCTTGATGTATTGATTCGACATTGACCATGAACATCGCCTAGTGGCTGTGTAGCCGTTGTCGGAGGGAGATGGACATGAATTGCAGGCAAACCTTGTGAGGCTGTTGTGGAAGATACTCAACGCTTTTTTCGGACATGATCAAAAGCAGCTGTCTCAGGTGGGTTATCATAAGTGGCCTCACCCAAGGACTGTATTGAAAAATAAGCCAGTAACAGAAGTTTCAAGCTTGACCTTACTTACAATTTTTTTCACCCAGAGTGTGAGGTTGTAAATATCTTGTGCTTCGTGTTCACCACTGGCAGGGTTGATGTAGCAGTGTGTGCCAGGGTGCTTTGCGCAGTCCAGCTTGTTCTTGAGCTCACAGAACTCAGCTGCAAAGCTGAGAGTAGTTGCATCCTGATCACTGTTTCCTATGTCTTCACGACGACCTCGACTGGCCGACGCAGCTTGACGCACTGGTCTCTTCTGATTTAAATTAGCAGCATGTTACTTACAAGCTTCGTCATTACTTACCAGGTTGTGTAATTCAAGAATGGTCTCTCGAGTACGAGAACAATGGATCAGCTGCCTGCCACGTTCTAGTGCTTCATGAAGCTGCTGCTCATTAGAGAGCTGATGGGGGTCATTGCGGGCATGGTCGGTGTGAAACTTGTATCCCAGTTCAGCATCCACTGGGTCTAAGTCCATCTTGGCACAGACACGCGAGAAAAAATCGACAAAAGAAATGTCAAGGGGAAGACAAATTTGAACTCGGCTGACACGTCCCCCAACAACACCAGAATTTAACGGAATGGACACGGTGATATTGGAAGCAGCTGAATGATCAAATACCTCAACTCGATGATCAGATAAAGATAAAAAATGTTCACTCACCAACTGGCTGCTGACTCAGAGCTGGCCTAGCATTGACTTGCATTGGCACAGGATTTGTAGCATGTACAGGATTGTGTGCGGAATACGGAGGTGGTGCAGAATATGGAGGTGGTGCAAAATCATGAATGCGATGAGGTGCTGTGCTTGGCGGCGGCAGCATATTTTCAATACCATGGATGAAGGGGTGGGTAGGGAGCATGTTGAACCAATAGCCGGCACGAGGGAAGCGACGTTGAAGCATCTCTTGCTGCTCCTCTTCATTAAGAGCAGGACTTTGGGAGTGACTAGATTCAGACATACTATGATTGAGATGATTCCTGCACTCACTTGATGGACAGGTCTTATATACTAGTAGTTTGGCCATTGGGGATTGGGGAACAGTATCGGTCGGATCATCCTGACATCATCAAGTAAAACATTTGAGAAGACGAGAAAGCCATCGCACTAATGACCAGGTTGCTAGCCCTGAGCGGAGCATGCAAGTACTAATGTTGAGCTCATGCTGGCATGATCCAAAGTAACAGAGACAATGTTGAACATACCATGATGAGTTGGTGATAAATAGTCATACTGGTATTACCAGCAGTGAGCTCAGATGGGTGTCAGACACTGAGACACAGCATCAAACGAACCGCATGCCATATCATAGATGTTGCGCAGTCCAGTGCCATTCTGGGGTATCTCACCGACAAAGTATCGTAATAGGCGGGACCCTGTTGTTTGGCCGGCTCCACAACTAAACAAAAGTGGTGAATGAACAAAAATGGATTCTGGCCTATCGATTTGAAGGTAGCTGTCATCCAACACCACACTACAACATCCTAAAAATGAGTAGAAATTGGATCTATATAGAGGAGGTATGAATATACAATAATCTAAATTCGTGGAAGATAATGTGAAGTAGTTGACGAGCTACAAAATAATTTGCAGATTACCCGGAATGATAGTACACGGTTAGTTCTTGGGAGGGTCTGTGAGACCTTTGGGACGGTTTGTGTCTTAACGGGGACTGGATGTGGTAATTCTAAGCATTTTCGTCAAATATTACACATACATACTGCAAAATATGAATCTTACCCTTACTTTTGTGCGCATAACATACCTGTAAACGGAATGCTACATCATTGACAGGAATAATGTTAGCGGCACATTGTGATGAAATATAACACATACGATGAGCAAGCGATTTGATTGACCGGAACCAGAGGTCTGTGAGAGGTCTCAGATTGGCGGCTGTATGGTTATATTAGTGCAAATCAATCCATGAGTAGACAGTAGTTCCGACATTTTATAGGTGCGCAACAGATATTTGAGAATGTGTATATGAGATACACATTTGATAGTTAGACGGGGAAGTATGATTGCTTGCATCAGGTGCTGGTGTTGATAATCACACCATAGAAAGAATGTCACAAATAAATGCATTAGATGCTACTGAATGGAACAAAGGCTATAGTACGTAGACAGACGGTGACACTACCAAATGAGCCCAGTATGAATCGCTTTCTGCCAGTGAACGGTTACTTTATCGAAAGTTGGAATAAGGGAGTGAGTAGACGCATATTGCTTCATGTCATCTTGGAGACATGATGTGAAAAACCTTGAATGATTGTCAATAATTGATGTGAAAAAGGAGAAAAAACGATTACGTCTCGACTATCTTTTCACGTTCCAACGGTGTCTTCCCAATGGCACGAGCTTCCTGCCTGACATCACGAAGGAGAAGGTCGACAAATTCCCAATATTCGGTTGATACCCAGTTCCGTGCCTTCTCTATCGTATCGGCGACTGTGACTCCATCAGGTTCTTCGTTCTCGCTTGTGGCTGGACCTGGACCGAGGGCCTTGGGGGAGTCGATGACTTCAGAGTCCCTGTTCTCCATGACAGCAACAGCGCTGTCCTGAGCTGCCGATGTGGCCTTAGCCTGCTCAACGACAGTCTGGAAGCTGACAAAGGTACTGCGCTGTTCAATGGCATGTTGTCAGGAAGTGGTAAGAACAAAACAGGAGTAGGAGGCTCGTGCTTACCAGAAAGGCAAAGCGCGCCCAGTGTGCCACTGTAACTTCGTGACCCGTCGATGCTAGAGACTTTGCGAGGACAGATATATTTGCCTTGGTTTTGAGGCTATGATTGATCTTTGAAACATGTGAGTACGAAAATCTCATTAAAAATGTTGAGTACCTTTTGCTTCATGCTCCCCCGCTGTGCAGTCAAATTCTCCTTGATGAATGTAGTCACTACGTCCGACATCTCTGAATCCTCGAAAGTTCCATCAGGAATTTTGAAAGTTGTAGGGTGTTTCTTTGCATAGGCCTTGAGTTGTGTGAATTAGTATACTGAGCAGCGTACACAAGGTCCATGCTCATGATGACATTGTCTGCAAGCTCGAGGACATATCCTGTCAGGTTCGGTGATAGTAAACATGCATGTAATCTATCTTTCATGATACCCTTGAACCACGATGAGCCATGAATCACGCGAAAGTTCGGGCAGTTACCTTGAAATCATCTGAAGCAATAAAGTCCTGACTTGCAGATCGTTTGGCGGCCCTTTGCATTGCGAGCAGGGTTGCCATCAAATTTAAGAACATCTCCTTGACGGACTTGATCTGGCATCGGACTGGTCAGTCAACGTTTAGAGATCGTTATATTAGTGACTTACATTGAGAAAGTCGTCCAAAGCATTGTCAGGCAGGCCATGGGCCTTGCAAGCATTGGTAGCAAATTGTTTGAGCCATTTTCTTTCATGTTCACTGTCGATATTGTTGTCTGCTGAATCACTTCGTGGGCGTCTCGCTGGAGTTGTGGGGGGACTCAAACTTGTGGCCCTGCGGTCGGCAGCCAAGTCTGTTGTGGGAGTATTTTCCCTGGCATTCACAAGACCAGCGACTGGAGTGGAAGAACCGCGCAGGGCAGCAGCTGGTGCTTGGAGGAGTCTGAATTGTGTCAACAGACTTGGACGAGCCATTTAGTGAGGATCAACTCAGCGCAGGGCAAAGGAACGAGACACGACAACAGACATAGTTATAGTAATCGATGTAGTTTGTAGTTTGTATTGAAAGTAAATATTAAAATGTCTATTATTCATCATAAGTGCGGAAATTATGAAGAAAATGACCTGGAATACCGCTTGCAGCGGGCAGGTGGGGGGGCATGTGCTGCACGACAGATAATTGACTAAAATCTCGAGGTGGATATGAAGTGTGAGTAAAGTTATCAGTTGGTGGAGCATGCCCTCGATGTTGCGGATGAGCTGGTTCAGAAGGACTCGCATGCATCTGCCAGTAGCCATGCGGCTGTAGAGTTCCTGAGGGCAAATAAGCGAGGACGTCAGATCGTGAAAATGAGGCTTCATTTTGTAATATAGCACCAGCTGGCGGGGTGCTATAGACCTGCTGCGGGTGTTGCAATCGAGATGCAAGATCAGAGGGTCCTGGATCAGGGCCAGTCACAAGCTTCTTCTTCGGCACTACTTTGAGCCCCTTCAGTGACAAATTCCGTATTATACGGGCCACCCGACCTACATAATATCCCGTATGAGACGGGCCAGCGGATTATGGGCCCATGTTGTGTATATTCTCGATGATGACGGATGGGCCGGGACACATATTATTTCCGATGGAGACGGGTGGGCCCATGTATGCCAATGATATATATATCCTTGATGTTGACGGATGGGCCGGGGGAGTATGATCATTCATGGAGATGGGTGGGCCCATCAGGGTAATATGTAGAGTAGGATATTATAGACAGCTGGGCTGAAGAGAGATGTAAGGCAAATATTGTTATATAGACGGGCGGGCCGACGGGGGTGTATTACATATATGGGTGGGCCGAGGTAGGGGAATATTACATAGATGGGTGGGCTGACGCGGGGTGTATTACATATACAGGTGGGCCGACATAAAAAGTATTACATATATGGGTGGGCCGAGGGTGTGATAAAATATTTATTACATAGACAGGTGGGCCAAGGTGGGGTATAATTATATAGACGGGTGGGCTGACGTAGTATGTATTATATAGACGGGTGGGCCAACATAGGATGTATTACATAGACGGGTGGGCCGACGTGGGGGATAATACATAGATGGGTGGGCTGATGTGGGGGAATTGTACATAGATGGGTACATATATGGGTGAGCCTAGATACGTATAAATGTCAAATTTTCAGTGCAAAACCCCAAACCGAGATTTACCAACCCCCGAACCCCGAAATTGTGGACTGCCGGGTCTCGGGTTTCGGGGTTCGGGGGTCCCGGAACTCGGGACTCGATATGTGAGACGACATATCTTTCAAAAGTTTGTAAATCAATTTGTTTGTAAATCAAATTTTATTGATCTCCCCAAATTTCCCAAGTCCCGAGCACTGACCCCCGACCCCCGATCCCCGAGACCCGGCAGTCCACAATTTCGGGGTTCGGGAGTTGGTAAAATGTTTATGGATACACGAAAGGTTGATTCAAACATGTTTGAAAAATGTCTTTCATCTCAAAAATCGAGTCCCGAGTTCCAGGTTAGTGCCGAAGCTTGAAACTTGAAATCAGTGGAAAATGAAATCTCGCAACAATGTACACATGAAGATGTTTCATTTCCTTTGACAATTCACCGAGTGTCTTGTACTAACCTGACAACACAGTCTGGGCTTCAGGCTTCAGGGCTCGGTACACGACACTCGGGGAATTGTGAAATTTCTATTTTCTTGGACATTTCACTGAGTTCCGAGTTCCGGGCGCCGAATTCCGAGTTCCAAGCACCGAGCTCCGAGTGCCGAGTGCTGAAGCTCAAAACTTGAAATCAGTGGAAAACGAAATCTTGCAACAATGTACACATGAAAATGTTTTATTTCCTTTGACAATTCACTGAGTGTCTTGTACTAACTCAGGGAATTGTGAAATTTCTATTTCCTTAGACATTTCACTGAGTTCTGAGTTCCGAGTGCCGAGTTCCGAGTGCCGGATGCTGAGTGCTGAAGCTTGGAACTTGAAATCAGTGGAAAACAAAATCTCGCGACAATGTACACATGAAAATGTTTCATTTCCTTTGACAATTCACTGAGTGTCTTGTACTAACCTGACAACACAGTCCGGGCTTCAGGCTTTGGGTTTCGGGGCTCGGTACATGACACTCGGGGAATTGTTTATGGAAATGAAACATGTTCATGTGTACATTGTTGCGAGATTTCATTTTCCACCGATTTCAAGTTTCAAGCTTCAGCACTCAGCCACTGGTCGGTAGTCAATATAGGCAAATGGTAATGAAAAATGAAAGTTGTTATTACGCTTAACTTCCTTACCGAAGGTTGTAGTCCGAGTCTAGGGGAGTGTATTGGTAGTCTTTTCTTGTCCATCAGTTATCATTTAACCGAGATATAAGCTAAAGAAATCTGAAACATCGGCAATAATGAAAAATGAAAGTTATTATTATGTTTAAGTTCCTGAACAAAAGTTGTAGTCCGAGCCAAGGTGAGTGTATTGGTAGTTTTTTCTTGTCAATTGGTTATCTCGTTACTCGGTACTCGGTACAAGGGAATCAGTACTCGGTATTTGGTTCTGATACTCAATACCCGAGAATCAGTAGTCAGGTACTCGGTACTCGGTTCTGATACTTGGTACCCGAGAATCAGTAGTCAGGTACTCAGTACTTGGTTCTAATTCTCGGTACCTGTGAATCAATAGTTGGGTACTCCAGCCAATAGTCCCAAGTCCCAAGTACTGATACTTGGTATTCAGTAGTCAGGTTTGGAACTTGGGTCTTGGTTTGGTTATCATTTGACTGAGATATTGGTAGGCAATATTGGCACTCGGAGCTCGAATACTGACTATCAACTATCAAGTGTCGGGACTTGGTAATCGGTAGTTGAGACTTGGTGCTTAAATGGATATTGCATATATACATAAAAATACAAAATATGTTCCTATGTGTTCATTTCTAGGTGAATAGACTTTGAAATTATATCTCAATCATCTATTCAACAATAGAAACAATGTATCAGGAGCTCAGGACCATAGGGTAATCCTTTATTGTATAGTGTACCTCCCCCTCTTCTGGTGGTTCACCTGCTGGGGTTTTTTCCCTGTAGGACTGGACCTCAAGGACTGTAGGGAGTCTATTCCTGAGCATATTCGGAGTAGATATATCATATAACCAGCCCAGGACACACAGGATTCTTTTCCAGGAACAAAGCATAGACAATTGCACTTGTGACATTTTTTCACGATTTTCAGTATCTTGCCCTTGCATCCATGATCCAACCTTTTAATATATAATGAGCATAGCTTATATTCTTGCTTCTTATGACCAAGATCAGCTCACAATAGGCTGGAGTTTGTGAGCTAGTGTGTATACTTGCCATTTCGCCTGATAAGGGGCCCATGCCTTCAAAACATTGAATCTTCATAATCAGAAACCTGGGGTACATTTCAAATATCTTAAGTATCATAGACATAAATTTACAGACAAATCAACCAAGAATTGAGTACTGAGGAAGTGAAATGGGTAAGAAATTGAGTGTGGGAAACTTCAAAGACCCAAAGCATCGAAAATGGTTAGTTGAGCAGTGGTAGGACTTTAATGCTGGGTCAACTCATATTTTCACTATATCCCTTCTACCCACCCCCTACCCTCAGGGCAGTAGGCAGTATGGGTTCCTTGGGTAGTTTACGATCTATCCTACATATTTGTAATGATATTTTCGGCCTGAATCATATATAAATGTGACTTTGTATAAAAGATGTCTATTGTCACTCTCCACACATATGTCATTTTGCCTATCATTACATCAATCCTTCATGAATCTTTCTAAGCTTTTAAGCTATTATAATGGATGTATATGGGTGTTATTCCAGGTCTCTGATCACATCACAGGCTTGTTATGTTGGATATCTCAACATAATGTGCAAGTCTCACTATTAATATTCATTCTTTTATCTTTAGACTCACTTACTGCACACATGTATTTCATTTGTCATTATTGATGTTTCGGATTTCTTTAGCTTATATCTCGGTCACCTGGTAACCAATGGACAAGAAAAGACTACAAATAAACTCACCTAGACTCGGACTACAACCTTCATTAAGCTGACTACTGATTCCCGGGTACCGAGTATCAAAACCAAATACTGAGTACCAATTACCATGTACCGAGTACTGCGTAATGAGTAACAAGATAACCAATTGACAAGAAAAGACTATCACTACACTCACCTGGACTTGGACTACAACCTTCGGTAAGGAAGTTAAGCATAATAACAACTTTCATTTTTTCATTATTGCTGATGTTTTGCCGAATGACAAGGAAAGACTACCAAGACACTCACCTTGACGTGGACTACAACTGTCATTTTTCATTATCATTTGCCTATATTGACTACCGAGTCTCGAGTACCAACCACTGACCACCAATCACCGAGTACCGAGTACCGAGTGCTGACAAATACAATTCCCAAGTTATCTGAACCCTACACCAATGGATAATACATACAAATACAATTCGTGTCCATTTGAAGTACCGGGTTTCAGGTTTCGACACTCGACACTTGGTGATTTGTGCAATGAGTGAAAAATGGACATGTTGTGTACATGATTTTGGGTTTCGGGCTTCGGGTTTCGGCCCTCGGCACTTGGAACTCGATGATCTGTGTAATGTAAATGAACAATGAACATGTTGCACACCAGGTTTTGAGTTTTGGGTTTCGGCACTTGAAACTCAGTGATTTGTGCAACAAGTGAAAAATGGAAATGTTGCATACATATTTTCGGGTCTCGGGCTTCGGGTTTTGGCACTTGGCACTCGGCACTTGGTTATTTGTGTGATATAAATAAAAAATCAACATGTTGACACTGGGTTTCAAGTTTCATGCTTTGGCACTCGAAACTCGGTGATTTGTGCAGTGAGTGAAAAATGGACATGTTGTGTACATATTTTCGGGTCTCGGGCTTCGGGTCTCAGCCCTCGGCACTCGGAACTCGATGATTTGTGTGATATAAATGAAAAATCAACATGTTGCACACTGGGTTTTAAGTTTCACGCTTTGGCAGAACTCGAAGCTGTTGATTTAGATATCACCCGAAACCCGAACACCTGAATGTCAAATTTTCAGTGCTGAACCCCGAACCCCGAGTGCCGGTGCCGGGTGCCGAGTCCCGAAGCCCGGAACTCAGGATTTGACATTTGAGATGAATGATAATTTTCAGACATGTTTGAATTAACCTACATATATCTATAAACATTTCACTAACCCCCGAACCCCGAAAGATATTTTTGTTGTCTTACATACCGAGTTCCGAGTTCCGGGACCCCCGAACCCCGAAACCCGGCAGTCCACAATTTCGGGGTTCGGGGGTTGGTAAAATGTGTATGGATATATGAAAGGTTGATTTAAAACCCCGAAATTGTGGACTGTGTGCAGTGAGCAAAAAATGGACATGTTGTGCACATATTTTCGGGGTTCGGGGTTCGGGTTTCGGCCCTCGGCCCTCGGAACTCAATGACTTGTGTAATATAATTGAAAAATGGACATGTTGCACACCCGGTTTTGAGTTTTGGGTTTCGGCACTTGAAACTCGGTGATTTGTGCAACAAGTGAAAAATGGAAATGTTGCATACATATTTTCGGGTCTCGGGCTTTGGGTCTCGGCCCTCGGCACTCGGAACTCGATGATTTGTGTAATATAAATGAAAAATGGACATGTTGCACACCGGGTTTCGAGTTTCAGGTTTGGCACTCAAAACTCGGTGATTTGTGCAATGAGTGAAAAATGGACATGTTGCGCACATATTTTTGGGGTTCGGGTCTCGGCCCTCGGCACTCGGAACTCGATGATTTGTGTAATGTAAATGAAAAATGGACATGTTGCATGCTGGGTTTCGAGTTTTGGGTTTCGGCACTCAAAACTCGGTGATTTGTGCAACAAGTGAAAAATGGACATGTTGTGTACATATTTTCGGGTCTCGGGCTTTGGGATTCGGCCCTCGGCACTCGGACCTCGATGATCTGTGTAATATAAATGAAAAATCAACATGTTGCATGCCGGGTTTCAAGTTTCAGGTTTTGGCACTCAAAACTCAGTGATTTGTGCAACAAGTGAAAAATGGACATGTTGCATACATATTTTCGGGGTTCGGGTCTCGGCCCTCGGAACTCGATGATTTGTGTGATATAAATGAAAAATCAACATGTTGCACACTGGGTTTCAAGTTTCACGCTTTGGCACTCGAAACTCGGTGATTTGTGCAGTGAGTGAAAAATGGACATGTTGTGTACATATTTTCAGGTCTCGGGCTTCGGGTTTCGGAACTCGGCACTCGGAACTCGATGATCTGTGTAATGTAAATGAACAATGAACATATTGCACACCCGGTTTTGAGTTTTGGGTTTCGGCACTTGAAACTCAGTGATTTGTGCAACAAGTGAAAAATGGAAATGTTGCATACATATTTTCGGGTCTCGGGCTTCGGGCTTCGGGTTTCGGCACTTGGCACTCGGCACTTGGTTATTTGTGTGATATAAATAAAAAATCAACATGTTGCACACTGGGTTTCAAGTTTCATGCTTTGGCACTCGAAACTCGGTGATTTGTGCAGTGAGTGAAAAATGGACATGTTGCGCACATATTTTCGGGGTCCAGGGTTCGGATTTCGGCCCTCGGAACTCGGAACTCGATGACTTGTGTAATATAATTGAACAATGGACATGATGCACACTGGGTTTCGGGTTTCGGCACTCAAAACTCGGTGATATGTGCAATGAGTAAGAAATGGACATGTTCCATACATATTTTCGGGTTTCGGCACTCAACACTCGGAACTCGATGATCTGTGTAATGTAAATGAACAATCGACGTGTTGCACACCGGGTTTCGAGTTTTGGGTTTCAGCACTCGAAACTCGGTGATTTGTGCAGTGAGTGAAAAATGGACATGTTGAACAATGGGTTTCAGGGTCTCGGGTTTGAAAAATAGCATAATAACAACTTTCATGTTTTCATTATCATTTGCCTATATTGACTACCGAGTCCGATAAGGGACCCCTTGGATGATCCATTGCTCAATGAAATACTACCTGATTGGAAGTGTGCTGGTTATCAGATATTCATTTGTCAACTCCCAGGTCCTGGAACTCAGAAGTCGGTACAGTTGACCCAAATTTGGGTGGTCAGAACTTGGCGTCTCGTAGGGCAACACAAGCTTTGCACCCCGGATTCCAAATTCTGCAAGACAACCTGTGCACCATCAAAGGCCATGTCAGGAGATCACCTGCTGCTCCGGGAACTTGGTAACTTTGATTTATTACCTCCTCTGATTTGGTTGATGTACAACTACCTCAGCTCCATCATGTCTACAATTATGATACACATGGGCCCACCCATCTATATTTTATACCACCCTCGGCCCACCCATCTAATACAACATCCCATACAACACCCTCGGCCCACCCGTCTAATTAATATGTGTCTGGGCCTACCCGTCTAATACAATATTTTATAATACCCTCGGCCCACCCGTCTAATTTAATATGTGTCTGGGCCCACCCGTGAATGTGATAACAAGTACCTACCCATCTATCTCATACACATCTACCTTAATACACCCATCTGCATAATATCCAACTACCTTGGCCCACCCGTCTACCTAATATTCATATACATCGGCCCACTCATCTACTCTATATATTCCCTGCATGGGCCCACCCGCCTCCATCGGGAATAATTTCCCTCCCGGCCCATCCGTCATAGTCGAGGATATTTTTATCATGGGCCCATGGTCCGCTGGCCCGTATCATACGGGATATTATGCATGTCCGTTCCCTTGTATTATACGGAGATAGGTCACTGTAATATGTGCTACTTTACCCTTGCCTTTCATTCGTGTGGCTTTGCTTGCGCTATGATCAAAGGCCGGGGGTGGGTCATTCTCCCTCACTTTCTCCGGGTTGGCGGGATTAGCACTGTCTGATGCCTTCTTTTGGCGCACAAGTGCTGCAGCATGGAGACGTACAGCCTGGTGATCCGATATACATGGCATGCTGATCTGGGCGCATATATCCAGTGGAAGTAGAGCTGAGATGTGTTGGTAATTGTGAAGCGCGTGGGTATTGAGGAAGTAGGCGTTAGTAGGTGCATGATCAATGAGCTGCCGGAGTCTCATTGTGATGATGCGCTCCTGCCACTCTTGCACATTCCGGATGCCACAGTTTGCTCCAGACGATGCGCAGTCATGTTGAACGTTGACGACACACAATATTTCCTTATGTAAACTCTCAGTATGCACACAAAGAGCAATGAAAATAAGACTTACATTGGGTGTAAGGACAGCAATATCGTCAATGTCCGGAAATCTGAGGCACAGCACATGTAATTGAGGGTGTAGTTTAGCTGACAAGAATTCGAGACACCGAATGACAACATGTGTTGTGATATGTCCTTGGTGTGGCACGAGTATTTCAATGACTTTGCCAATAGAGAGCTAGAACAGAGAAGCAACACTTAGTAAGATGCCGCTTTGCAATATATCATTGCTTACCTCGTCCAAGCACGTCTGATTACACCTCATGATGACATGGCTCCCCAGTGGCGCACTGCTGTGATCTGCCACTATGAAAGAATCACACTTGTAAAAAAGCGAGGCGACAGGGAATTGATGCTTTCCAGGAGGAAAAAGTGCGGTCTGTGTCGAACACCATTCAACTGGTGGGACTTTGCCCCCTGCATCCTTGTGAGTCAGCAAATGAACTAATCCTACCAGGACATTAGCAGGTGGTTTGAGTGTGATTGAAACATTACTTACCAACTGGTTTTTCATTTGTGGTGGGTAAGCCTATCAAGCAGCGTTGTTCAGGGTGTGTGGCCATGTATGCAGCGATGTTGTTACCAGCATGCACCCATTTCCGTGTCTTCAGGTCGCACCAGAAACCTCCAGTTATGATGTGCTTGACAACATCAAAGCCACCAAAGGTATGACAAGTATCGCGACTGGGAGCTTGACGGTTGCTGTAGATTGATGATAGACGGAAAATATGGTTAAAGGACTCGAAGCGCTCAGTTGAGAACAGAATCGCCAGCCCAAAGCGCCGTATGAAAGCTGGAAGGTGGAGGAGGAAGTGGAACTTTGCCTTCATGATGAGGATACTGGGCGCACATTTAGCGCTGATACTGAGAAAGTCATCGATCGTCCGTGATAGATTGGCCTTAAAATATGAATGAGACAATAACTACTTTTGAAGATGAGAGTGTGACGCACCAGGTAATCTTCAGTATTCTCAATTACTGTGTGCCAGAGAAGCACCACGAGCTTGCCAATCAAGGTCCAACCATCGAGAACTGAGCGCGGAACAAGGTCGTAGATCAGGTATGGCATTACCTGTGCAAGGCTCTTAAAATGCTTGCCGATCAAACCTCCTTTGAAACGGCAGATGTACTCTGCTCCAAGAGTCGGTGAATTTAAGCCTTCTTTGTTGACAGATTCCAGTCGCATCTGGAATGTATTGAGCAAGTGATTTTTATCGAGTATCCATACCGTCTGGCCCCAGAAGTACTTGACAACACCGAGAAGGACAGTATGTAGGATTTCCGTGGGCGTGTCTTGATGAATATTGACACTTGGCATACCAAGAATTGGGTTGATATGATCATCAAGCAAATAACCATTTAGCGCAGCCTCAAGCTCATGCTCAAGCTGTACACGAACGTCCGCTTCAGAAATGGGAGGCTTCCCGGCCTCACGTTTGCGAAGCTGTTTTCCAAGCTCAAGAAGGTAATTTATGATCGCCGATGTAGCTGCATCTCGGGTCCCTGTTGATGCCACAGCGCTCTGAATTTTGGTGGTTCCACCAGGCAGTTTTGCAAGCTCGACCTGCTCTTTTACCTGCGCCAGTGTTTCCTCTGGTGTTCGAAGTTCAGCGGACTATAAGTACATTAGTTTAGAAACACACAGAATGTCTGGACGAACCTTGAATATACTACAGTAACCTGCATCAGACTTCTTGTCTACAGTCGTGCCACCAACTTTGCACATCCGGCAGAAAAATTGCACCTCAGCCTGCCATGGCTGCATTCTTCGGCCTGCATTGGATTGTCGCCTGCCGTGAAGATACTGTGAGGGATGAGCATGACTTCTTCGTGGTATTTACAATCCCACGCAATAACACTGTTATCTGCAGCCTTTCTGAGTGCGTGATCCCCATCAGACACAAGTAGTTGATATAATAGCATACATACTGAATAGATTGCGTCACGGCTCGCATGAGCTCCAAGGGAGTCGCGTGGGGTGATGACGACACAAATCGGACACAAAATTCTTTTTCAAGCATTTCACGGGGCATGGCAGCATTCGACATATATACGATGTGGTGTTTATTCCACTGCTTCGAGATATTTCCCGATACATCATCCATGAAGACGATGAGCAGGACGCTTAAGACCATGCGGCCACCGGATTTCTCCCGAAGGGGATTTGGCATGAGATGGGCATGCGAAGAAGACGAATCTTGAGATAGTGCATCAAGTAATATCAAGATGAGCATGATACGAGCTCACCTGTAAAGCCGCATGAAAACTCCTTAGAGCAAGCTTGAATATCCTTGAAGGTGCGCGAGAACGTTGATACTGGTGTGATGACCTGTTCAGGATCAACTGAAAATCCCTCCTGTATACGATGCTGGATGAGTCAAAGTCACACGATTAGAATGATCTTACCTCTGTCCGAGTGACAGAATGTCCCAAAGACAATATTTCAGTGTCATGGTCAGCAGATACCTGTGCCTGAAAGAACTTCTTAGGAATAAAATAGTCTTTCGACATTTGTTGGAGGAGCTCGTCGACAAAGAATATGTTCCCGTCAACACGAACACTCGGTGTTGCAAGATTGTCGGGAAGACCATGAAGCATTTTCTCGCCATGGTGAATCTGTGACATTTGACCTTGACCATCCTCGGGGTAGTTCCGCATAGTCAGTCACGTGAGTGGATTGGAATAATCCTAAGATCAACAAGTGAGCCAATGCACATTGACGATACTAGTTCCAAGACTTACTTTTGCGATGGCCTTGCCTACCGAGTTGATATAAAAGATATTGCCGGAGGCCGCAGTAACTTTCTCAGTCGGGTTTCCAACAAGTTCCTTGATCCTATCCTGTGCCTTCCGGAGACTATGAAGTGAGGGGACACCTGTTGCCCCGAGCGCAGTTGCCCAATTCAGAACGGCCTTCTTTTGTGCTTCGGAGAATTGAAGACAGGGTGAGCTAAAGAGAAGATGCGTGATAAATTCCTGCTTTTAGAGTTAATGCGAGTGTAGCTATTGGGAGAATGACAGAACTTACAGATGTTGTCGCCCATGGAAAAGTCGGTGCGTCCAGAGGAACCTCCGAGTTTGAAGCTGGGCCATCAGTTTCCGGGGATACACCTGGCCATAGCGTTAATAATGGGATGTGTGAATGTAAAACAGACTGTACGTACCTGAAAGGTCTATTCCATGATTGTCCGGCTCAAGACCATCATCAAGGTTCATGTCAATATCATCTGTCTCCATACCCAGCTCATCAGAGCTGCCAGGGGGTAAGGGACAGGAAAACAGCGACTCTCCTCGCTGAAGAGCTGCCTGCATCTCTTCATAGTAGTCCGCATGCAAAAATGTGTGTGCTGACGCTGTGCCATGCCACAGCTCCTTGATTGGAAAGTAAGACTTGTCATCCTCCACATCGTCGTTTATAGTATCTGTCAGTGGAGGTGTCACATTTTCAGACATAGGATCAGAAGGTGGCTGGCCCCAAGAAGGTTCATCGTGTAAGGTCAGGTCGGATGGCTCAAGCATGTTGAAGTCGATGTTGGGCTCAAAACTGGGTGGAGGGGTTGCATGGCTACGGCGCAGTGCATGTGAGAGATTCCGTCGGTGCTTCTTTGTTCAGTCATGGGCAGCGATGTGACATTGGTGCATTGTTAGGATGGTATCCCTTAGCTTTGGGCACACCTTGCATATAACATGGCCCGTCTCGCTGGCTTGTGCATACACTGCAAATAAAATTAGTTTACATTTGAAGGCTTTGACATAAGACTGACCAAAAGGATCCAAGTCTACAGTTTTCTTCTTCGGCCGCATTGGTGAGGCTCTAACGTTTTACTGTTTGACTTGAATGATTGAGAAAATGAACATGGATAGGTGCCCGCACAAGAGTATTCATATGCTCTTATATGAGCATCTACACATGTTCAGCATGCTGGTAAGGTCCGGTGAGGTCAAGGGCATGAGTGATCCGGTGGCAGAATTTGGATTGATCAATCATTGATTGTGATGAAGCAGAACTTGAATTCACGTGATGACCAACAGCAACTTGCAACATTGTTTCAACACGCCTTCAAACCTCTGGCAACCATGTCTCTTACAAGAGCCAGCACAGATACTCTCCATGTCGATACGGTATATGATGAAAACGGACTTAGTCTTGCCTCTCTTTGCTTATCTATCCGCTTTGTCGGAAACATACAGTCACAGTTGCAAAACCCACCCACATTTATTGTCAGTCAATGTTTTTTTGTGTTGTCTTCCATCTCACAAAAATTTTCAGCCACTAAAAGTCTCTATCCATATTCCTGAAGCATATGCCAGTCAAATTTCACCCATTGTAGAATGTATCAGCCTACATGTTGCTTTGAGCGGTCGCCCATCATTGAATAGTCTACCAGAGGTAATTGGACTGCCCACACAGATATGTCAATGATAACATTATATGTAGGGCAGCTTTCCCTTCTTTCCACTCGCACCCAGCTTCAATCACCTCAATGGTCGGACTTGGGCAGTGCTTGCCGATACCATTCAAGATTGGCTTGTGAACAATATTTCTTTGACACGTTTAGATGTGTGGTTGTGGGGCCGTGAATTTTTTTGGATGGCATTTGTTGCAGCATTTCCTGGATTTCCGCACCGAGAATGGCCACTGTGGGACCCAAAGATTGGCATGGAGGGCGAGTTTATCACCTATTGGATGTCTGACTTTGGTTCAGGCAGTGAGAGATCGCCCGACAACATCTGGACTGGTGTGTGGAGGAAATTTCATGATCTCGCAACTATGCTATACCCGCTTCCTCTCTTTCAGGAATATTGATTCCTACATTCATCCATGTACCTCATACCCATGTATTTCATGTCGACCTTATTTACGCATAAAATAGGACAATGCATGTATCATTTTCTCCCATCCTTCTGGCCGAAAATCAATCTGTTTCAAAATTTGCAATGCAATGCTTGAGCTTACTATTACTGAGCGGGTCTCGGCACTGAGCTGAAATCACAACAACCAAGCAATCTGCATTAGATCTACTATAGTGGTCACCTAGACCTCAGTGTTGATGTTCGCCAGATATTCGAGCAATGACTTGTTGACCTCACGAGCTGAGCATCACATTAAGGTTTATATTACAGTGACATGTCTACATCACTTGTGGGTGCTATCACTGTTTGCCAGACCTTTCTTAGGCCCTTCAAAACACTGGTTCTTAATACAGGCAAAAAATTGTATCGCTAGGACCATTGGTCTATATATTTTTAATTGGTTCCTTGCGTGCTTGATTGCGACCGGACTGAGGTACACAATTGAACTTCCGTCAAATGTTAGGTAAAGCAAAATCCACGTTTGGCCGTGTAGTATCAAGTTTCGGCTCAGAAGGTTTATTTCGAAGTCCGACGGTTACGTAAGTAAGACTACCGTTTTTAGAAGGGGTGTAAGGGGGCGCGCCTAGCTGTGAACGTCCCTAATCACCAGTCACAATGGCCACTATTGTGGAGGAGGAAAATGATTGGGAGCATGCAAATCGCACGAACTGGCGTGGCTTAGGACTCGCAGATCCAATCAAGAGGGTCGAGGTATTTTTTTTTTCATTTTGCGCGTAGTTCTTATTGCACTTATTGTCGACACCTCAGGACAAATGGTTGTTATTACCTGCATTCCTCAAAATTAAAGGTTTGGTCAAGCAGCATATCGACTCCTTTAATTATTTCGTCGATGTGGACATCAAAAACATTGTAAGAGGCAACAACAAGGTCACCTCAGATGTCGATCCTCGCTTTTGGCTCAAGTACACGGATATTCATGTCGGCTTCCCGGACCGCACAGACTTGGACGCGATAGACAAGAGTATCACGCCTCACGAATGTAGGCTACGCGACATCACTTATAGTGCCCCGATTCTTGTCACTATTCAATACACTCGAGGAAAGAACGTTGTGCGCAGACCTAACGTTAACATTGGACGACTGCCGATCATGTTGAGGAGCAACAAATGTGTGCTCACTGGCAGGAATGAAGCGCAGCTGGCTCGAATGACGGAGTGTCCCCTTGATCCCGGAGGTTATTTTGTTGTCAAAGGCACGGAGAAGGTCATTCTTGTTCAAGAGCAGCTGAGCAAGAATCGCATAATCGTCGAAACTGACAGTGTCAAGGGGATCGTGCAAGCCACATGTACCTCGTGAGTCGTTCTCTATATCTTAACTTCCCTTTCTAAGACTCCTTTGGCTAATTCGCATTAAAGCTCAACTCATGGTGGGCTCAAGTCCAAAACCTATGTTGCCACGAAAAAAGGAAAAATATATCTCCGACACAATTGCATTCACGAAGATGTCCCGATTGTTATTGCTTTAAAAGCGCTCGGTATCCAGTCCGACAAAGAGATTCTTCTTTTAACTGCTGGAAATACAGAGGCCTATAAGATTGCCTTTTCTGCCAACCTTGAGGAGTCTGCCAAGTCGGGCGTATTCACGAGACATCAAGCACTTGAATGGATAGGGTCCCGTGTAAAGGTCAACCGAAAAGTTGTTGGTCCACGAAGGCCCGCCTGGGAAGAAGCCTTGGAAGCACTTGCGACAATTATCCTGGCCCATGTTCCTGTGGTAGGCTTGGACTTTCGGTCCAAGGCGATTTTCGTGGCTACCATGACTCGCCGGGTTTTGATGGCGATGGATGATGAAAAAATGGTTGACGATCGGGATTATGTTGGCAACAAACGATTAGAACTGTAGGTCTATTTTCTATCTTTTGCCATTGTCAATGGGTCAATGTTACCTAGTGCGGGACAGTTACTTGCCTTGCTGTTCGAAGACCTGTTCAAAACTTTCAATTCCAATCTCAAATCAGCTATCGATAAGGTTCTCAAGAAGCCGTCAAGGACCAATGAATTCGATGCTTTCAATACGATGCAATTCCAGGGAGATCACATAACCGCCGGATTTGTACGCGCCATTTCCACTGGGAATTGGTCATTGAAGAGGTTCAAAATGGAGCGTGCAGGAGTCACACATGTTCTCAGCAGACTGAGTTTCATATCTGCCCTCGGAATGATGACACGCATATCATCCCAATTTGAAAAGACTAGAAAGGTCAGCGGACCTCGTGCTTTACAGCCTAGTCAGTGGGGCATGCTATGTCCAAGTGACACTCCGGAAGGAGAAGCCTGTGGTTTAGTCAAGAATCTTGCCTTGATGACGCATATCACCACAGATGTAGAAGAAGGACCAATCGTCCGTTTGGCATTAATGCTCGGCGTCGAAGGTGAGTTCGGATCGCGTCATACCTGTTTCTATTACGAAATACACTGGCAGATATCAGCTTAGCCACGGGCACGGAGATATACGGACCACATACATTTGTGGTCAATGTGAATGGCACAATCATTGGCCTGACTCGGTATCCGATGAGATTTGTAACAAACTTCCGCAGACTGCGCAGAGCGGGCCGCTTCAGCGAGTTTGTTGGTATTTATGTTAATCACCACCATCACGCTGTTCACATAGCAAGCGACGGTGGACGAATTTGTCGACCAATGATCATCGTGGAGAACGGCCGCCCAAGAGTCACGTCAGAACATATCGCGGTATGATTCTTTTTCTGATATTAAAGCAAGCTGGTAATATTTTTTGGGTCATTCAGCAACTCAAGCAAGGTGCTGCCTCATTCGATGACTTCCTCCGAAATGGTCTTGTGGAATACCTCGATGTGAATGAAGAGAACGATTCCTATATCGCACTTTATGAGTCCGATATTGTCGCAATGACTACGCATCTGGAGATCGAACCGTTTACCATTTTGGGTGCTGTCGCCGGTCTCATACCATATCCCCATCACAATCAATCACCCCGAAACACCTATCAATGTGCTATGGGTAAACAGGCGATAGGCGCAATCGGCTACAACCAACTGAATAGGATCGACACGCTTCTGTACTTATCCGTGTATCCGCAACAGCCGATGGTCAAGACGAAAACCATTGAACTTATTGGGTACGATCGTCTGCCAGCTGGTCAAAATGCTACAGTTGCGGTGATGAGTTATTCTGGGTATGACATCGAAGATGCTCTCATTCAAAACAAAGTTGGCCACCATTTCCTGTTTTACATGTCAGCAGGTGATCTAACTTGACGTGTAGGCAAGTCTCGATCGTGGTTATGGAAGGTGTCAAGTTCTGCGCAAGAACGCTACCCTCATTCGGAAATACCCAAACGGCACGTGAGTGGAATTTTTTTGTCGAGCGTATCTCTTTGTCTCAGCATCGATCTCTAGCTTTGATCGGTTGGCAGATGCTCCCTTGGATGAGAACGGGCAAACCCAGAAAAAATATGATATCATTCAACTCGACGGTCTCGCTGGCGTCGGCGAGCGGGTTGATCCGGGGGATGTCTATGTTAACAAGCAAATGCCAACGAACGCCAACGATAATACTTTCAGCGGCCAAGCCGCCGCGGTCCCTTACAAAAACGCACCGATGTCTTATAAATCCCCAGTTGCTGGTTACATTGACAAAGTCATGATCAGCGACACCGAAAACGACCAAACGTTGATCAAAGTCTTGATCCGCCAGACGCGGAGGCCGGAACTGGGTGATAAATTCTCTTCTCGACACGGCCAGAAAGGTGTATGCGGTCTGATCGTAAACCAAGAGGACATGCCCTTCAACGATCAAGGAATCAACCCCGGTAAAGTAAACATGTCCCTGGCTGATGTTCACTTAGTTAATTTTGGGGTCAGATACCATCATGAACCCACATGGATTCCCATCTCGAATGACGGTTGGTAAGATGATCGAGCTTTTAGCAGGGAAGGTAACTTCCACCGACATTTACGTGCGGTTCTGTGGGCTAATGTTGCTTGGCAGGCCGGGGTCTTAAGTGGTAAACTGCAGTACGGTACAGCATTTGGGGGCTCCAAGGTACAGTACAGATACCAGCGCTAGCGCCGATCGAACTCTGATTACCAATTATCTTACCACAGGTCGAAGACATGTCCCGGATCTTAATTGAGCATGGTTTTAATTATGCCGGAAAAGATATGCTCACAAGCGGTATCACTGGTGAAGCCCTGGAAGCTTATGTCTATTTTGGTCCAATATACTATCAAGTATGTCAATTCGCTGCGTCGTATAAGGTTTCAGTAAACTGATTGTCTCACAGAAACTGAGTGAGAGAAGTCCCACATTAACATTGTCTGTGATTAACTCCCATGCGCCACAGAACACATGGTAATGGATAAAATGCATGCCCGTGCTAGGTACGATCGAATGAGCCTGAGAAATCCTGGCGAATTTTTGCTGACTTGTCGACGTTTCTCTGAAGAGGCCCACGTGCGACTCTAACACGCCAGCCTACCGAAGGTCGGTCCCGCGAGGGTGGTCTACGGCTCGGGGAAATGGAGCGAGACTGTCTTATAGGTTATGGTGCCACTCAGTTGCTGCTTGAACGCTTGATGATTTCTTCCGACAAATTCGAGGTGAACGCTTGCCAGGAATGCGGGCTGATGGGATACAACGGGTGGTGTACATACTGCAAGAGTTCGAAGAAGATGGCTAAGCTCACCATTCCGTACGCTGCAAAATTATTATTCCAGGAGGTTTGTCAGCGTTCGTCCACTTCGTGTTAAGTACTGATTGTTCGTACAGCTGATGGCAATGAATGTCGTTCCCCGACTGATACTCGATGACGCATAATTGTATAACATGATACAACACAATGCTTCTTCCATCCTCCATCTGATCATTAGGGCTGTACAGCCTAACAGCTGTTGGTGGGCAACCATTGCACCTGTGACTTGTCGGAAAACCCGGCCCATGTGCACCGGAGTGTAATGTGATGATCATGTACAGCTGGAGTCGATCGATCTAAGAAACCGGCGAGATCACATCTGATATTGAGGACAGCCAAATTTGAGAGGATATAGCTAGCAACTGAAACTGCAATTTCCAACGTCCTGGCACTCAGGCTCCTGACAACAGCCTACAACCTTTACTATTTCTCGGAGTTGTTGGAAATGTATGTCTTAGACGAGAGAGATAACCTATCATAGGGCTAATGACTTATTAGGGATAGCGCTGATCACGCTAAATTTGACTCGTTACTAGATCGCGAAAACCCTTTTCAGTCAAAAAATGGGTGGATTCCGATTGGTATGCTGTGCGAGAATACATGCTAGTGCATATACGAAAAGATGGAGGTGATAGAAGTGAATGGCGGTGTGTTGTGCATCGAGGTATGCATACCAACAAAGCTTAGCTGTTCCTAACGTAAACTAGTAATAGTGATAGTGAAACGTGAAAGTATGCAGAGCTCCGAGGAAATCGAAAGGAGTGTATCCCGGAGCCTCGGGAGTGACGGGTGGAAACTCTTCACACTGTTGAGGTGCTTAGTACACTTGGTGTGAAACTGTTAGTCAGAGCGGTACGTACATGTAGTAGGACTCCTTACGAAGTTAACCGAGCATAACCGTTGTTACAGCAGGTGACTGAAGCTTGAAGCCTTGACGTTACTAAGGCGGGGGCCACACCAAAAAACTAATGTGGTATAGTTGGTGGAAGATAGATGAACTGGTATCGCCATTAGTATTGTGCGTGTTCATATTTGGCCAGACTAGGCGCTGATGCTGTGCAGATGTTCGTTATAATATGTCCATGCATGATAGCACGAAAGATGTCAGTCCAGACATTAACGCATATGACAATATTAATGTGCGAGCCAGCGGAGGGCTAGCAGGAGGTGGCTTAGAGTCCTGAATTATTACGACATCTGCGGGGTGTGGGGTGAGAAGTATCAAAACTTGGTTGCGAGACAGGAATTACCCGAATTTGGGAGATACTTTGTGGTATAGCCATGCGCGCTCGGCCACCTGGCTACTCTAGACCCCGGATAATATCTGTGGAACCTATGTAGATCCCGAAAAGAAACTTATCAAAACCCGGATCTAGGTTCAAGGAATCGACACAATAAACGCGTGTGTTCCGAGACTCTGCTTTTCACTGCCTGGGCTCTCGGCGTTACCAGGTAGTAGGTTCCGAAGCCCACGCAATTATTGAGAGATCGAGGTGAAACTCGCAAAAAAGTTGTTGATAAACAGTGACCATACTTTCCTTGAGTTTTTTCCAAGCTCGCTAAAAATGCAAAAAAGTTGTAGCTTTTCAGAAGGGGCTGAATATCGGTGTGTCGGCATACCCGCCACACCCTGGGTAGCTAGTCATATCTAGGAACAAGATGGAATTATCAAGATTTGACGGAAGTTACAATGAGCCCTTGCGGACCGTGATATAACTTTACACCGAGGACCACGTGCGGTCCGGACTGAGGTGAAGTCGCCCAATCATGTATCTTCGGCCCTGTGAGTCGAATTCTGGCCCAAAGTATATCTGTGATAGGTATTATCCAGGATGATCCAGGGTGGGCCCTGCTTCTCGTTATTATGGTGATATTGAATCATTTGCCCACAAGCAAGGGAGATGTGCCTTGGTAATTGGAATCTCTCACAGTGAATGCCTTGTGTGTTCCTCCCTAAGTTCCCTAGCGGCAAGCTGTACCCGCCAAGGGCATCCGCACGGAACAACTTTGAACACCGAGCCGTCAAAATATGATAAACAGTTCGGCACTGCAACCCGCCACCATGGGCTACACTGCATACAACCTGGGCGCTCATGGATGAAAGACCGGTCCGTAAAGTCACCGTTCATAAGGCAAGTATCATGATCGGATGGCCGTGTTGTCTGGTGTTGCCAGGTGTTGTCACATCTGACATCTGATTTTTTTTTATGAAAGTAATGTCGATAGGTCCTGATACGTCATATGCAGTATCTCTGCACGCAGCACCGGACCTCCTTTGATAAAAAATGCGTGAGACCTCGGATCTTAAGATTTCATACCCGCACCTCTGGCCTTGCCCTCTGAGGCAAGCTTTTCATGCTTCAGCCTCAAGCTCGTGTAGAAGAGTAATGGTGAAGAGCGCTGTGAACGGAGTGCGCGTATGAAAATTATTAGCGAGACAATTGGGTTAAAATTCGTTCGAATGCACATGAAATCCTTGTGCGAGAGAGACACGCGTTGTCGACAGTCGATTGTGCAATTACGTTATGTCGAATATTACCATTTGCGTCAAATAGCTATTATTACTTTAAGCGCTCAAATACTGTGCTGCCAGACTTGGTTACGCTGTACGTTGTCGGTTCCCCATCTTCCATCTCTTATCCGACCATGAACACAAAGGGCAGCAGTGCAACTGCACTACGACGATTAATGACCGAGTACAAGCAGTTGACTTCAGGAGGTTGTTACTTTGGTGTCTTGTGATTCATACAGTTGACACTCATTGGGTTTCAACTTTCCAGGTTCGCCTGATGGAATGTTCACCGCAGGTACATTAACAAAAACATCGCTATATTGTTGGTGTAATCCCGCAATTTGACATATAGGTCCAATCTCAGAGTCGGACTTCTTCACTTGGGAAGCGCTTATCTCTGGTCCAGAAGGCACACCATTTGTAGGTTTTTCCGCGACCTCTCGCAAGTTGTACTTGATGTAATTGGCATTTCAGGAGGGTGGCGTCTTTGTCGCCAAACTCACCTTTGTAAGATAACGTGTCAGATGGTCATCTCGCAAATGTAACTCAAGAGATGAGTCTAGCCACAGGACTATCCGCTATCGCCTTTCAAGATGAAATTCGACCCTCCCTTATTCCACCCGAACAGTGAAATGATCTCCTTAATTTATTTGGTCACCGTGCTGATGGTACACAGTTTATCCGGATGGAAACGTTTGCATATCAATCCTCCACACACCCGGAGACGACCCTACCATGTATGAACAAGCGTCTGAGAGATGGAGTCCTGTGCAGAGCGTTGAGAAGGTGATCTTGAGTGTTATTTCCATGCTTGCCGGTACGTTCACCGGATCTGATCCTCGTTCTGCCCTTCTCTTGATGCTTCACTTGATAGAACCAAATTTGGAGAGTGGAGCTAACATTGACTGTTGCAAGTTGTATCGGGAGAACAAACCGGTGAGCGCTGATTTCGTATCATGCCACACTCTTGTCTCATAAACTCTTTTACATAGGAATATGAAAGGCTGGTCAGGGAGTCGATTAGGCAACAGCTAGGTGTATGAGTACCATGATATGTAACACTAGAATAATATACGTTGCCAGCACGTTCCTTGCAGTAATTGGCTGGACTAATCTACTTGGAATAGGTTATACGAGATGACGAGCCTTATTGTATGTATAGCGGAACTGGAAAAATTGCAATATTATCGTGAAGGGGCATGACGCTTGAACACTCTGTTGTGGTACTCAGGGCCTGTCTTGCCAAATATGTGGCGTTCCACATACTCATTGCGAAACATCCCACGAGGGTCGACCGACCCAAGTACGCGGGTGAAGTCGTCGAATCGAGGATACAATCTGCGAAGTGTCTCCGGACGGAGGTGATGTGCCTTGGCCCAATGAGGTCGACCACCATGACGGCACAAAATGGCTTCAAAACGCTCAAACAGCAACCTGTACGGGACCTCGAAACCATAAGGTCTTCGCCAAGTCTTAGCCAGTGCAAAAAAAGATAAACAAGACACGCACTTATATTGGATAATCCCAATCCAACAAGTTTTCTGTCCGTTACTGGGACTTAGCCAGATGTCGTCACTGTCAGAGAATCGCACTTCGATAGGGAAATGAGGGCGGAGACCATTTGGGTCAGAGAACTCGCGCATCAGCCAATCATGTAAATCATGAAGACAGGATTTCGTATTTTCGTAGGGGATAGCCCATTCGGTAGTATGTTGCGGATACTACAGTGGAGTCAGCGATGTGGAACGAAGAAAGAAAATGCTTTACTCACTCTGCATTCCATGTTAAAGATACGGAAGCTATCATCAATCGCAATAACTTTGGTGCTGACCAGCCATGACGCGAATCGACCAATGAAGATGTTCAGTGGCAAAATGAATCTTGCCACAAAAAGTAGAAACTGCACCACGTGAAAGCCGATCAACGAATGCCAGAGCCAGCTTCCTGCCGGTTTAACTGGCTAGAAGGAATTACGTTGGAAGTGTACATAAGCTGAGCACATGGACTCACCTCTACGGTACGATCGGCTGAACTAATCCGCATGGTATCCGCAGCTGGAAACCACCAGAACCGAACATGTTCGGAGGCAGTGACAAGGCTATCCAAGCTCCGCACGCATTCATGAAACTGGAAGGTTTGTTGAACCTCTTTGAGGCGAAACGCGGGCTCCACCTCAAGGGTAACCGCCAAGATAAGGCCCGTGCTGCCCAATCCGCATATTGATGCTGTGAAAAGATCGGGCCTCTCTTGGGGAGAACAGAACACACGAGATCCATCCGCCAGCAACAACGACAGTCCCATGACATGCGTAGAAATAACGCCATACTTGATGCCAGTTCCGTGGGTAGCGGTCGTAACGATACCGCCCAACGTCTGATCGGAGATTGAGCCGACATTGATCATCGCGAGACCATGGCTTGTGAGTTCGGCATGCAGTGCATCAAGTGTAATTCCGGCCTGAGCAATGATATATCTTTTATCTGCATGAACCTGAACAATTCGAAATCAATATTGCGCGCTTACGTGTTAATGATAAATCAATGACGAATGGCCAGAATGTTTCCGGCAATGGGTCGGGGATGAAACAAAGTTTAACCGAATGAGTCTAAAATTATGCTTACCTCCAAAAGTTTGTCGAGCTTGGTGGTGCGTAGCATGTAGCCAGTGGTACAGGCGAGGTCACTGGGGCTATGTCCTACTCCGACTGCTCGGACTACTCTGCCTTCACGTCGTGCAAGCTCCAGAATGAGCTCGCATTGAAGTTCCGTCTCTGGTTCGAAGACCGCGAGTGGGGAACAAGTGAAAGTGCCGCTCCAATTGGTGAACTTGGCATTGGGAGAAGTATTGGGGACTGTTATTGGCTGAAGTAGGTCATACAGCTGCTGGAGAGAAATTGAGGAAAGCTGAAGTGCCGATGTCGACGTCGACATTGCAGGGACAAATGACGAGGAGATTGGCCATCCATTGCAAAGGCTTTATAAGTTTTTGGGTGACGACTCATATGTCAATCCGATCCTCTGTAAGACAGTTCGGCGAACTCCGACGATAAACGGATATGACCGGATGTCGCAGCAATCAAAAGTGTGGACGAGAGTGGAGGTAACGCTCGAAGGCAATGTACCGACGACCAATAGGCACCAGGTCACATAATCCAAGGATCGGGTTCCGAGATCTCTTCACCCACAGGCTATTACACTTGCGGCCAAATCGGAGGATTCAACCTGGGATAGCCAGGTAGATCTCGTGCCATACGTTTGAAGCTATCGCCCCGTGGCAGAAAACGCGTGAGACGAGCCTGAGTCCCGGATCTGACAGATAAAGCTGCATCATGGCATGGGGGCGTCATGAACTTACTCAAAAGTACTTTAGGATGTTCACATCATCGATCATCGACGACATACCTGCGAATTCAATCACCGCCTCAGGATCGGCCGACCCATCGTCTCCCATCCTTCATCAAACGGAATTTAATCCAAAAAATTTCGTATCCCACATGGCTGTCAATAGCTGTCAATATTTGCACGCATTGGAAAGGATATATCGCATCATGAACGGGAAAGCCTTGGTAGTCTTACAGTAATTTAGCCATTAGTATCAGAAGAACATGAAGCACACAACTATATTTCCGTTTCATCCAACCTGTCGTTGCGTTGGCAAATTTTTGCCGTTCTCCCACGGGGTTTCGACTCTTCCGACGTATTTTAGGTCATTGCCAGGAACACGCCATGAACATTAATAATAACGCAACATGTACTCCGGGTCAACGAGAATCAGATGCACCAAACTCAGTACTGTTACTCGCAGTCACCATGCCAATCAATTGAGAAAATCGAAGACAACTCGACTCCATTCTTGTCCCTCGTAAAATAAAACACCTCGGACTTCAGCACTATCAATCTCCAAACCCAATTCAAATTCTGCGAACAAGCGTCAGCACAGGTCTTTCAGAAACGACTACAACCACAAACCTGTAAAGAACCCATTTGGCTGCGGTATGCTCGCATTCTGCATGAATGTAGGCAGAGAACTCAGATCAACAGTCCATCTACAGAGCTCCATCGTTTCGCCCTTCATGGAGAATAGGTTAATGATATCCTGGAAATATCCGTGACGTGGCCACCTACCTCATCAGTATATCTCATCATCTTGTCCGAGTCGGAAGTATACAATACGGCTACGAAGATGCAATCTGGATATCTATGAGTATCGTGAAGCGGCGATAATCAACCTCGAGTTGTATCGCACCCTGTCCATTCTGTGAGAATTTGCTGCATTGCAAGTTAAACCAAAGTTCAGTTGTGCAAATGTAATTGAGGCGCTTACCAAAATTTCGTCCTCAATATTTGCCTTGAAGAATACAAGGTCAACAAGATAACACTCTGAAGCAGATCGCCAGTTACCCTTTTCGCAGGATAGCGCCCTTCATGACCAAGTATTGTAAGCTAGGTCCGGTAATCAATACATTACGCCGGGTGGTTCATGGACCGTCATTACCGGTTGTCACAAATGGGAACATTGGCATTGTTCTCTTTTATGTATGCAGGGCGTCTGGCCCAGTCCTCTGGCTCGGCAGGCAGTTTCACCTGAACACACAATCAAAAGGGTAACAAGGAGGCTAAAGTGTGAACACCCACTTTCATGATGTAGGACCGTGGAGCGATCACAGTGGATACAATTGATTTGCGAGAAAGCCCGTACAACGCGGCACCTCGCACCGTAGCCGTGTCAGCGTCAGAAGGGCGAGCGATGACCTTGATCCTCCCCGAAAATTGCGCCTATCCCACGAGGGTGTGTAAGAACTACTCAGTCATCCATGACGCTCCACTCGTGTAAACGGACCTCAACTCGTCTAATAAGATATTCGCTGCCAGCGAAGCCTCCCACGAGAAGCAGTGCGTCGATGCGCTGCTCTACCTTCTTCGACTGTTCTTCGATCATTTCGAGTACCTGTCAAAATACCATGACCAGCGAAAATAACGAGATCTCACGACAAAAGTTACCTGATTCACAACGGGATCAAACACCTCCCGACGGATGAGATTCCCTGGAATCGCGAGTTCTCCATTGATCAATCCAACGGAAGAATCGTGGGGATCCTGCACATTGAAACATGTGAAGTTGAAGTATGTGTCTGCAGATAGTGCGCATAAGCGTGAGAATCCCAGGGCAAAATTTTTGACAACCATCATCTCTCTCGCCCCTAAATGCGAGCTTATCGGTTTGGCTGAAAGAATGCATGAAATAGGCGAGACTGGCGGCGTCCAAATGAGCAGGATGATCAGCTAAAAGAGTTTTTACAAGCTCTCGGAATCTCAAATCGAGGAAAAGGGAACCACAATTGGCCCCAGATCGAGCACACATCTCGGCGATCTCAAGGTTAGACATTTGCCCAATGATCTTGTAAACGGCAAGGTCCTGTTGCCAGAGATGCATCAGTCAGATGCATGAAATAAGTCGTCATAAGAAAACGTACAACTGTACCACCACCAGCATCACATATCATAAAATTCTGGTTGGGCTTGAGCTTGTGCAGATCCGTAAGTCTGGCACAGTGGACAGCCGCGGCCTCTGGCTCGCTGGAAATGAATGAGCCAAATGGAGGGGCGAGCACGCAGGATATATCATACGTGATAATGCGCAGCCTGTCGCGCCAGTTACCATCACCTGCATGAGCCGACTGCACGAGGCCTGCGGCAATAGCAGCTTCGCGCATCATGTCGCATCCTTTAGCGTCCCAGGCTGCCGGGCACGTCACAAGTACATCAGCCGAGTCTGGAAGAACATCAGATAAATCACGGTATCCATTATTTTCCATGTGGTCACTGACTGAGATCTGCGACAGCACCAATGTCACGGGTAATCTGCTCTTTAGCGTATTCCCACAGACACGACAAGAAGTCGATGATGAGATCCATGGCTACTTTACCAGGCTAGAATACTGTAAATTAGATGCCATAAAATAAGGGGATAACACAAACAGGTAATTGGGGCAACCGAGGGTCAATCGCGCTTTCATCACGAAGAGCACGTGGTTCGAGAAAAAGCTTGAACCTTGAATGAAGTATCTGAATCAGATAATTTTGGCCCATTATAAAGTCCCTACCATTCACAACGCGTAGTGCCGGGCATGGAGCTAGCGTTCTTCGCTTCCAGCCCCCAAGCAAGAACCTGACCATGTTCATCGTACAGCAAGCACGTAGGTACCTTGCGGAAAGTCTCAAAAGATCCAGGCCAATGCAGGATTTGCTGTATCTTCCCAGACGCAATTCGAGACGAGGCATATGCCTATTTGCGATGAAAACCATAAGCTGCAAAGCCTTCGTTGAATCATGCTCACTCACGATGCCAGAAAAGGTAGTTCCTGCATTCCAATCAGCACAGGACTTCACCAGTAACGATGGGAATAGTCACCAAAGTCAATAGAGATCGACATTTTCCCCTCGTCTGAAGGCGCCGGATTAATCCTAGCTGAAGTTACTGCAGTGGATGTAGACGGTGTGACACTGTTGCTCCTTAGCGGAGCATGAATGGGGTCAGGGTGGAAGAGAGGCGTAAAGAACGCAGTAGAATTGGACGGTCCTGGAGGAGCATATGCAGCTGGTGGTGGCATCAATGGTGCACCTCCAAGGTTTGGACTCAAAGGAGCTGAATAGGCCGGGCCTTGGGGAGGTGGTGAGGGCGAGTGACTCCAAGGAGTGCCATTTATCGACCGGTTGTTTTGTTGAAAGCTTGGTGGAGGTGGAGAAGGCCCAGGAGGGATGAGCAATGGTGGTTTCTCTGCAAATGGTTGTATGTGATGTTGAGCGCCTGGGTGAGGACCGGGCTGCTGGCTAATGATACCGTTATTCACTGGTTGCACTCTGTTGGCATACTGAGTATCAGGAGTATTGGCTGACACCACTGACTCTCCACAGCAGCCCATCTTGAAAATAGCGAAAATGGACGGAACTAGGGTGTATGCCTTACCATCAACACTGGCCCTGTTGCAACTGCCCTGGCGTGGCAGTGCAAGTGCTGTGAAGTCAACCGAGCTAACTGCAAGCGTCAAACTAGCGCCCGCCCATATTCCAGACATGTGTTGTGACAAGTATTACCCCGCAAATATCGGCACTGATAGGCACGTTGACTCTAGTACTGCATGGATTCAACTGTTATACTACCGAGTGGTGACATGAAGATTAAAATTTACTAGACTTAATAGACACACAGTGCACTAGTAGAACCACGCTTCAGTCACGCATTCAGCGGCATAGGTGATGAGTAGACATCCGAGACAGCCTGGTCACGAGCTTCTCACCTACGATTAACACTTTCTAGCTGAAATATTGATATTCGAGGAATACCGAAGTTACATCAGAAACAGATATAATTAGAATTATTCTCTTACAAACAATGATAGGTCATGAGGAATAACAAGCTGTCGCACATATATTATTTATGACTCGGAGAAATGCAGGAAGCTGCCTGACTGCTACTTGCACCGGGGAAGAATCCCTGATGGGCAAAGATCATGACGATTGCAGCGGTTCCTGTAGACGGGGGCCTGTAATCAGATGAGATCCGGAAAAGGCCATGACTCTTGAGCTTTGAATCAGAGATAGACACCAGTGGGATTTTTCTAGCTGCCACAACCCAGGCTGGTGTATTATCAGCGCTGTCGTCCACTGTGAATATGGATCATCGCTGGCTTTCTATGATGATCTTTCGATAATAATGCAATCAGCTAACCTGTGCAACTATCCGGGAATGGGAATTTCTCCCTCGCAACAGCAGGTAAGGAACCACAGGGTGATTTCTGCGCCGCTTATGCACGAACGCATCACATGATGTCGGTGATTCTTGTGCGTCTTCTCGAGTGCAGACAGGAGGATGGCTCATCGTGATTCGTGATTCGTGATATTTCACATGAAGGTTTCGGTATCAAGCGAGGGAGTTCTGATTCCTTCCCCAAGTCTAAGTGGGAACCGTTCAGGAAAATTCCGAGTGTGTTGGTATCTTCCATCTCGTACAGGATGTGGGATATCTATTTCATGATGGTGGTTCCGAGGGGAATCCTTTGCGAGTCGCACGTTGTAGAATGGTGGCACAGGGTAGTACCGATTGCTTCCACGTGAAGTGTCGATTCCTGTCACTCAACTCCAAATTTTGTTGATTGCCCTGGCATACTTTTCGTCACATTTGCTGTGTGTCCGAAATCCGGCCGCGGATGCATTGCTGACTGGGAAGGACAATTGACAATAGCTCCAAATCGCTCCCGATCCTCAAGCGATGGCAGCCAGTTACTGTTAGACGGATTTAAAAATACCATAAACGACGCACCACTGCATTTTGGTTCCCCCTTGGAATGAAAGTTCAAGTTGGAGCTTCCCGCGAAGGTTTGCGAAGGTTTGCGTAAGGTTGAAGGTCCGATTCTGAGTCGGAGTGCCTGTTACTCAGTAGGTTTGCGAAAAATTGACGTCGGTCCTCTAGTTCATCGAAGTACTGGTAAGTACAAGGTCGAATGGTATGCATTCACGCGATATGTCGGGACAATGATCAACCCTAGATTTCACCTAGAAGAAATCTCATGGTTGCCTCCAAGGCGGCACAAAAGCTGTCCAGTATCGCTTCATCATGGCCTGTTGATCCATTTCGTCCGAATATCCAACTCAAGAACTTCTTGATTCACCTCTCTGCGCATCCAAAACTAACCTCCGAGGCTGTCCAAGCAACACAGCTACTACGGGACAACGCCATACAGAAGAAGGTGAGTGCGACCACATGTGTTCTCATCCATGGTTAACGGATTACAAATGTACGTTTTCCGCATTCAGTACGCACTGTCAGCGAAAACACTTCAGCCGGCTTCTATGCCAAGGCACTACGAACGGCTTGTGGAAGGGTACGAAAGAAGTGCAAGAGGTGCCGGGCGACCTTGGTGGAAAGTTTTCTTTGGAGTATGGAAATAACCATGAAATATCGAACCTTTTTGTGACTTGTTCATTTTCGCTGAACCTGCTGTTCGGCACTTGGTGGAGCGGAAGCCTTGTCATTCGCTAGAAGCTCAGAGTATGTATAGAAGGGGCCTTGCATGGTATTTTAATCTGAGAATAGACCCCAGGTCTGCACGAAACCCAAGTTGACCATCTAGTGATTTCAGTCGTGATGTCCTCGGATCCATTCAGGCTTAGACCCATCAATTGGTCGAACTATATATCACCATCACTTGGCCATAATTTTATGGTCAAACTTCTGGCTGTCGGTATATTTGGCATTGGCAATGCCGCCTTATGGCTGTGTAGACGATCAACCTGTTAGATATTTCATTTTCACCTCATAAACCCCATGCGGTCCATCCTGAGATCTATCTGAGTCCAAAGGGATAACCAAAGAATCCCCGCCTCACCAAGCTTCAATCTTGGACAAATCTGTGAGAAGTTAACCTAAGCCAAATTGGGTTCATGAAACCATATGACCTGTTGTGTAAAACAACGCCAGCAGCTTGGCGTTCCAGAAGGTCACAGCGCGGAACAAAACGCTGTAATATCAATTCGGTCCTCGCCGGATCTCACAATTCAAAAACGTTGAAATTGAGGCACAGCGCGATCAAGAGACAGACGGCGGATACCGCTCGCGCTAAGATATATATTTTTTGGGAAGGATGAAATTGTGTATGTGTTTGCAAGCATTGTGGAGGTGGAGAACGTCCCGGAAATTAAACGCGGAACGAAGCGCTGTGGCGGTGACTTCGGGCATTGCCGAATACTTTTGTGGATGTTCCGCGGACAGAAGAGGGTCAACGCTATTCCTCTCGCGTTCCGAAAGGATCAAATAGGGGAAGCGGCCCCTTGATTATCATTTCCTTCGGCGTCTTGTGTCAAAATAATTAACGGCAGGCAAGCGGGCTGGAAGACGCCCATACCAATCTAGTCTTCTAAGATTTCATCCTCGCCTTTGTTGGCCTGTAACGACATCAGCAGTATCCACACGGTAAAAAAATACGCGTACCTTATCGATCATCCTCTTGCGCTTTTCCCTGCTCTTTCGTTGCACTTTGAGGTACTTTCCCAGGGGGGACTCCGCTATCTCCGCGTTGGCCTCCCACTGTTCGACCTCATCCATTTTTCCTGGGCCGAAATTGATGCCTGAGCGTGACTGGTCTATCCATTTTGCACAATCTTCCACCCGTTCTAGAAGGCCTTTCACCATTCCCGCTTCTTTCCCTAGCTCCTTGCAATTTTTGAGTGTCCGGCGGAGTGTGACAATGATGGGTACGATCAATTCGGGGAATGCAACGCTTCCATGTACTGGGCCGCTGCCAAGCCACTCCGCGAGAAGGAATACAGTCTCCTCCACAAGCCCCGCTGCATATACCCGCGTCTTAACGTACTGCGCCGGAGCACGTATATGCGTTTCCATGTCGAGAGGGCGCAGCGTGGATGACTTAGGCTTGCCAGATGCCGTGAGGGTAGAGGAAATGATAGGAAGGAGATAAGGCGTCAGTGGTACGTAAATGCGCGTGTGTCGAGTCAGATGCAGCATCGAGCGTGCGATGTGTAAGTGGAATGGATATGACCGTGAATTCGAAATGAGTCTGCGAAGAAGATAAGCACAAGAAAAATCACACGTGGAGAACGTACTTGATGGCACCCAGACTGACCTGCACGAGTGGGTAGATGAGCGGCCTTAGCTCACTCTCCTGCCCCCCTCGCTCGGCTTCCGCATGTGCATCGCACGCGCGACCTAGCACAAGTGCCCAGAAGTCAACACAATGCGCGTACTGCCAGTTGTAGACCTGTTTGTACGCCTCCTGAAGGTGATACAAGTCGTCAGATCTGCCGCTCAAGTGACCCACAAGGGTTCTACTTGCCTTTGTTTTTGTCTTCATACCCCCACGCAGGAGTATTGCAAGCTGGCGTATGTACCCAAATGCGTGCGGGTATGTTACACCATGATCTACACAAAATAATTCGCATGCGGAGTTCTTCATGAGCGTAATGGATGGCAGTCGATAGGTGGTCGTAGACTTGCACGCACGCACGAGCGCCAAGTAAGTGCTCTTTAAAGTTGGTCTGCGTCAAGAGCAGTACCAGGCATCAAGAACTCGCGTAGCGTACCTTGAGTACGAGATCCACGATGGAGTCATCAGTGGAGGACGCAAGTCGACGGATGGCGAGAAATGCAGCTATCCGTACGTCATCCTCACCTGTGGACCACAATTCTAAACATTTCTGTATTGGGGGTCAGCCTCGTTCAAAAACGAATAGAAGGGGGAAAGGGTAAAAACAGAAGATAAGAACTGTTGTAATAAAGGATTTCAAGCAGGAGCACAGTAGATTTGGACTCGCCTTCAAGTACGTCTTAACAGCCTTGCGGCTAGAAACGACGTAAGGGAGAATCTTTGCGCTTTCTGTGAGAGCGAGACGCAATGTATCCGGGTCGGTAAGTTGAGGGATGAGGTGAATCAGATTGTTGAAGTATGACAGAGTTAGTTTTTGCAGCGTTTTTTGCTTTGCAGATTGCGAAGGTTGTTTACTGACGGTAGATAAAATATTTCAGGACAAGACAGTATGGAAAGAGCGAAGGACACACAATTTACCGTTCGGAAGTGTTTTATATGGGAGATGATGGGCTAGGACAATTGGCGTATACCGCAGGGAGGTCGTTACCAACTTTGTGTACACTTTCGGGAGAACCGATTCAGCTACATAACACGATACATGAGGATACGATGCTCACCTGCGGCATTGTCAATGCGCCACAAAAGAACCTGGTCGTCTTCATTCATATGCGCTGCAGAGCGAAACGCAATGAGCAGTTTGCGGAGGGCTCGCAGGGAACGATGCTACGGCCGCCGGGTTAGCAGTGAATGTGTAATTAAAGAAAGATATATGATTTGCCTCAAGGAGTGCTTTTTGCCAGGTTTTGAGAATGCCGGTAGTAAGAATGGGCAGTTCCTCTCCCATTTCATCATCGTCATCGTCATCATCATCGTCATCGTCTCCATCCATGACATCATCCTCATCATCCGCTTCGTCACGGCCCTCTTGAGCGGTGGTGAACTCGAGAAGCTCGCGATCATTCTCCTGTAGATATTTGTAGAACTCAGGGTCCTTCTCGGCGAGTTGTGCGAGCTCAAGCATGTGACTTGTGCCATGATCTATCACAGTATAAGCAAAGCATGTAAGAATCATGTAGGCACTCACCCTCGAGATCATCTACAGACGCAAAGGACTGGTCGTCTGCTACGTCTTCTTCATCTTCGTCTGTATCCAACTCGTCGCCTCCGGCATCATCCTGCGCGTGTTAGAATTGCACTGAGTGAAGAAAAGAATGACGGTCCTACCTCATCTTCCTCAGCATCATTGTCATCATCCATAAATTCTGCTCCGAGAAAGTCCTCGACAGTCATTTTCTTCGCACTGAAGCAGAATTCTCAGTATTTAGACAAAAGATCAGACGACAATTAATCAACTGACTCTTTGCCTCCCTTGACCTCTTTTTCGTCGTCATCATCGTCGTGTTCACTACCGTCTGCTTCAGTAGCGGCCTGTTGCTTTCCTTTGCCGTGTGTCCCACGTCTCCCTTGAATTTTCTTCTGCATCTGCTGGTGCTTCTTCCGCGACTGAATTGCCTGCTTCAACTTGCCACTCGCCGCAAATTTGCGGCTAGACTTTGCTGCCTTCCCCATGGTTTCAAAGTAGTTATCCGACTTTCGAAGTGTAGTGTAGGGAAAGCAAATGGAGGAGTATGGAACTGCAGAAAAGATTATTGTGATCCAAATCATATATTACCAAAAGAGGAAAGTCACCACGGCTTGGAAGTCTCGGACACACCCTTGCACCAACCACCATATTCCAAATACTCACTAGGTCGACACTCATGACAGATATCGGCCCCATACTGGCAGTAGCAAGCACAGCGGATGTACTGGACTCTGCAAACAACTTGCTCACGTCCCATCGGAAGCTACTCACATACGTACGCAATTCACAGCGGGCGCATCGACGTCAGCTTCGTGCTCTCGCAACTGCGCCCAATGATCTGGCAAATTTCCCATTAATTGATTCTCCTGCACCATCACCAGTGCATTCCCCACTGTCATCGCCCCAACTCGCTCCTCGTACCCGCCCACAACGCCAAGATCTCCATCCTGCAAAACGTGCGAGGGTCGCCCGCTACGCAAATTATGTCCCAGAAGAAGAAACGATCCGCAACGACTACTCGCAGCGGTACGTCGACAGTGGTGAGTGGCCGCAGAATCGGGTTCTCGGTGCGGAGCCTTCCCGCCGTTTTGAGGAGTGCGTCCGTTACCTGCTGCTCCGGATCTGACCTCATGTCAATTACAGATACCCAAAGCAGCAGCGCTTGCTCGGTCTGAAAAAGGAATCCGTCGATGCGCATGCTACACCTCCATTTTTCCTTCCCTTTTCTCACCTATCTTCATTACATCACCAAAAGTTCGATGTCATCCTCCTAGACCCCCCATTCTCCTCATCTTTTGGCTGGGACGATCTTCAAGCTCTTCCTGTGCCTTCCCTTGCTGCCGACCCTTCGTTTGTATTCATGTGGGTAGGTAGTGGCGCAGGAGAAGGTCTCGAGCGTGGTCGTGAGGTCCTTGCTAAGTGGGGCTACCGCAGGTGTGAGGATGTTGTATGGGTGAAGACAAACAACACCACCAATCGCGGTCCAGGGGTGCGTGTCATAGTTACCCTCTACTTATCTATCTGGTAAACTGACGCTATTTACATAGACAGACCCACCTACTACTTCTCTTCTGACCCGCACAAAACAGCATTGCCTCATGGGTATCCGCGGCACAGTACGTCGCTCGACTGACAGCTGGTTTGTTCACTGCAACGTTGGTGAGCTTGTTTTCTATTTGGGGTTCTTATCATTTTATTGTCCATGCTCGTTCATGATGCTTTGGAACCGTGCATCATGTCTGACGTACAAACCCATACCCTCTGGAAAATTAGACACTAATTTAGTTTGCAGATACCGACGTCATCATCTGGGAAGGGGATACCGCTGATCCGATGCGCAAACCACCCGAAATGTATACTCTCATAGAAAATTTCTGTCTCGGCACACGCCGTCTTGAACTTTTTGGGCGGGCACGCTCGTCCCTCCGCCGCGGGTGGGTCACAGTGCTGACTGCAAGCGATGGGGCTAAGGTTGGGGAGCATACGCGGACTACAGAAGGTGATGTCGTGCACCCATGGAACAAGGATTCGTGGGAGGAAGCGACTCGACACCTGGCTTCGCTCGCAGGGGGGAAGTGTGTCGTGCCAAATTCTCAGGAAATTGATACTCTCCGCCCCAAATCTCCCATGCGTTCTGGCAATTCAGGTGTAAGTGGTGGAGTTGGGGTTGCTATCAGCGGTGGCGTAGGTGTAGGCGTAGGGAGTGCCGGGGTGGGGATGAATGCGGGAAATATGAACTCCGACCCCAACATGAGTATTCAACATGCCCGGCGTCCGCCTTCCCAAAATCCAATGATGGTGTCTCCAATGATGGGGATGGGTATGCCGATGGACATGGGTATGGGCATCGGGAATATGATGGGCTTAGGTATGGGAAACATGGGAATGATGGGGATGGGGAACATTGGAGTGTTGGGAATGGGAGACATGCCTGGCGCCGCATTCCAATGGGTAGGGGATGGTGATCGAATCTGGGATGATGGAATGATGGCTAGTATGGGCATGGGTGGTGGTATGGGCATGGGGAATACAGGAATGGGTGTAGGAGGTCCGGGAATGGGTATAGGTATGGGAAACACGAGGATGGGTATGGGCGGTATGGGCGGTATGGGGATGCATGGCCAATGGGGTCAGGGGTACGACGGGTTCCAGTGAGGCTCAATCTTGTACGTGCAGTGTGGAGTTATGGCAGGTCGCTCACTGGACGCATCCATACATACTGTGTCATATACTGTATTATATATTGTATCCGCGGTAGCCTCTATCTAGTTTATACGAAATTTAGCTGATATATTCATCTATGCAATCTCATTGAGAGCAGATAGCATCACGCAGTATATTATGGCATGCACAATGGGTTTAGTAGACATTAGGTATGAGCGAGTATGACTACCTTAGCACCCGTGTTGAAAATTGACTTCACGAATCCTACGTATGAGGCGATACTATCATAACAATAGACGCCAGTGGCGATGCCACTGCACAGACATTCCCAAAACTCTCTATAGCCTAGAGAGGATAGAACATCTGAGCATATGAACAATGAAGTCCGCGACGCGCGGAAGATTGGCAGGCCGATGGAATGCAGAAGAAACTCCCGATAGCGTAGCGCTGCGTGTGGTTCATTCACAATCGTGACAGGCTGTTGATCCGTGCGGGCACTGATACAAATGTGACAAGGCGACCAAGGGTGCGCAAACATCACTAGCGCATGAATATTTGAATGCCCCTGTAACAAGGGCAAAGCAATGGAAATTGTTCTGAGTCCTTCAAAGCGGACTGACCGCGTGTTATGCCACGCTGTAAACTGTTTTGGGGCCTGTCAGGTGAGAGGCAGTGCTAGTGTTTTCTGTGGAAAGAATTGCAACCTGAAGTATATGTCCACTAGACGATTATGAATAACCCATGACTAGTCGAGACCGTATACTTCACCTGTTATGATCGACTAGTAATCGAGTGTTTCGTGATCTCAATGGTTACCCAAAGGGGGTTGGGGGATGTGGACGATACGTGCACCGTGGTATTTTGAAGAGGGACTCCCCACGAACAACTCTTAACCTTTTGCAGTTGCTTTGATCCGAGTTCGTGCGAATGCACCATTATAGTCAAGGGTCGAAGTAACTCACAGTGGGGATGTTCTAGGCGTCAACTTTGGGTACTAGAAAAGTCAGCGAGGGCCATTGTGTCGAATAAGAATATAGGATAACGCGTTTGTACCGCTTTACCTCCGCGATAAGAGGTACCCGAGTTTCAGCTGTTCGTCTCCAATATAAGACGATTGAATAGTTTAAGCTACTTGAAGCGCTGCCGATAGACGGGCCTGGTGGACGATAGCCTGTTACGGTTTGATTTGCCGCGAATTCCGATCGATATTTCCTCTAGTATACCTGTAAATTCGTGTTACGTTCTCAACACATTACCTTGCTGCAGATCGCTGCACATGTCCGAGATTCGGGTAGCACGGGTCGACTCTGGCCTGGTGAAAGAGTGATGGTAAGGAGGAGCAGCTATGCCTGATATCGATCTGCCTCTGGGCTATATTAGTATGTCAAATAATGTCGTTGGTGTCGTGTCTTTCGTGCACATCGCCAGAGCATTTTTACAAATTATGGCCTCGCAATATCATCTCTCCAACCTCTCTCCGATTTCCAGGGTGAGTTTTTTCGTGAACAATTTCAGCAACAAGAATAGCACAAAATTTTTCTGAGCACTAGTGTAACCAGTTCCTTTGGTTTGCCCTGTCTCCGAAAGACGGAAATGAGGTGTCGGCTGACTGTTGGAAGATGGGTCCCATCATGATACAAAGTGACTGTTCTACAAATGCTGTGATTGTGCACCCGTCCAAAGAAGTTTTTGGTGTTGCCAAATCCACGAGTGTCATGCGTCCGAACCAAGACAGCAAAACCAGAATGGCCAGTTGTTTCTGCCAAGTAACTGAGCGTGTTGTGGTAAAATTCGATTTTCCTTCGAAAGAAGAAATGAGTGAGACACCGACGATATTGGTATTTGGACGCATCTACGGTGTGCGTAGGGCTCAAATGATACCTCATAGTTCTGCGCCCTCGCTATTTACAAACATATCGCACTCAGATCTCCGTTTGTCAAGGGTGGCGGCACGTCCTAGCACGCTCATGACAGCCGCTGTCAGGTCGCCAAGTCTATGTGCATCTGTCCATTTTCATCAGTTAACGACAAAGAATCTGATGCAGACGTACCTTGAACCTTGCCATCCAGGGTAGCCACGGGTAGTATTGAAATAGACCCTAGGTCCGATCATAGGGCGTACGGCCCTACGATAAAAATTATTTCATCCACAAATATGATTGACTTCGGTCAGCGCTGCATGTGTTAGATTCATGGGAGATCATAGGTCCATTTTGGTAAGTAAGAGTGGCTTATCGCCTTCACGGAATTCGACAGGAGCGCAGAATAAACGCACCTGTGTTTGGTCACTGCCGGTTCGGATGTTATCAGGCTGCCGCGTTCGTAAGCCCGGCTTTACTGTTCGATTTTCAACTTCATACAGATGTTGATACTAATTCAGGGAGTGATATTTTTGACTTGAATGGATCTAAGAGAAATATACGAGCCTAGGTTCACGAAGTTTTAAGGACCTGGCTTGAGAGGGACAAATGAGGTTACAATGCTCCGGTGATGAGTCACCAGCACTTGATGCGAATCCACATCCTTGGATCCCTGCACGATATATCCTTACTAGCTGAGGATGTCCGTAACTTGCTCTAGAACAATCCACAGAATATGATCTGACCTTGGAGCGACATCCACCCGCGTGGTTCTCGCATGCCACGGCGCAACGTACGCTCCAATGAAGGGAAAATTCAGAGCATGAAACTTGTCTTCAAGGAGAGTCCACGGTAGAATCATAATCCATGAGCTGGAAGTGGAAGGTCGCAATCTTGCACTGAAATGACGAAGAGCTCGTTTGACCTCACTTTCAAGCTCGCTAGATTCAACCACCTTCGCGTTGAGTCGCATTCTCGTAGGCCAAGCCAAGCAGTGTGCTGTAGGCTGTAATATGCAAACGTGAGAGTCAACAATTAAACAACAGTACAACAATAGCTATCGGGATTCGGATGCTGACGCTTAGAATCCGAGGACCGACTCGGAGGTCAACCAACAGTATTCCTTCTCTTCATGCACGCACAGCGCATTTTGCTGCACCAAAGTTGACGACCGTCTAAAATTCATTCAAATGCGTGTCTGCGCCTCTGGCGCTATATCCGAAACAATTGCAAAGTTGGTGCGAGTGCGGCCTCGGAGAGTAGGCCCATCAAAAATGATGCATGCGAGGATCTTTGACACGCACCGCAAGCTGTAAGGCGCACTGGCAGGAGGAGAATAGGAAAGTCGTATGAAAACCGAATGATAATCGATCTTCACCGTGGTCGAAACATCAGTATTGAAAGCCTCTGAACCATGAATGATCATGACCGGAAATATTACCTGGTCGACGTTCGGCCGCACTTCGAAAGTCTATACCAATGCGTTGGTCGTACATTGCACTGTCAACGAGACCCCTGTGTCCTCAGGTATGACTTTCTGCCCAGCAATAACGCAGTTTCATATTTATAACCAGTTATTTCATGCACATGCTGTCGCTCTATCCGATCCAGACTTCTGGATTCAGGTCGCACCAGGACATGCGGATGTCGCTTCCGTGTTGTGTTTACGAGCCACAGCGGTTCAAAGCAATGCCAGAGACGACTGTTCAACGGTGAAGGCGGTTTTTGGTGCTCCCTTGAATCGATGTCATGGTAAGTGAATTTTCGCTGCTTTACCATTCATGGTATCCGTACCACCCGTCCTTCGGGGCCAGGAGGTTATTCCTTGCAATTTCTGTTGTCTTTCTTCGTACAAACACTAAAAAGCGATCGGTTGCAGGTTCTTAGTTGGATGGCAAAGACACACCTTTACGTCAATCGACTAATGTTGCAAGGCGGCGATTTCCTTCAACTCGACTGTGTAAATTTGAAGATAGGAAAATAAAATTTTGGTCGGTTCTCTAGCTTGGTCAGGGGAGTCAAGTTGGGCCAGAATCTACGACGGCATGTTACGATGTGATAAAAGAAACCAAATAAAATTGTGAGTACGCGCAAGGAAATGCAGTTATGGTGATCTTTCCCGTGAAGCTTCGCTCTTGAGTGTTCTCGAGTTGGATGCTGGCTGTCTCTAAAATCACGGGTTTAGAACGTGATGCGAGAGGTGTACATTGAATTTTGCATCGCCTATTGCACCTCGCGTGGGTTCGTTCTTGGTGACTGTTGTTGACCAGTTCACTAGACTGTTTCTCCCAGAGCACCGACATGACTCGTGGAGACCTGATGAGTCTTGTCACTCATGCGAATCGGCCATGGACTTACGATTATTCAACTATTTCGCGGAGCCAGAAACATAAGTTGTGATGCCCCAATCAGATTGTTGACCTCAGGGGAACACAAACATACCACGGTTCATCCACAGCGCACTTCTTTTTTTTTTATCATCGTGCACTTGAAACAAGACTGAACAACTCAAGTGTCGAAGAAAAAACTGACGCGTCGAACAAAACAACCACCGTCCGTTTAGTGAATAATGGCGCCCCAAAGACAATCTTCCCCGAAAGGAAGTTCCCAGCAGTGGAAACAAACCTCGAGAATAGTACCAGCGCTGGACGAGCATATACAACGGTGGCCTTCATCCTCTGTCCCTCATCTACTGGACTTTCTATCACTACGGACGCTTACAAACAACCTTGACATTTCAAATCAATATATGGTAGCCCAGGTACGGTTCTCTCCAGCTTCAACGCCTGTGCTTTCTAACTTATATCTACTTGTCACCTCCAGATGACCCAATCCACCCCCCCTGCCTCCTCATCACACGGTTCAGATTCTTCCGAAGCAACACATCACATAGCAAACGCTAGCATGCATATGGGTCTATTACCCGGGCCCGAGCCCCCATACATTCCCTACCCAGGCTACGCCACCTACCATCCGTACGGTGTGCCGCCTCATTGGACGCGTGGTCCCGCGCCCCCATACACGCCTATGGTGCCTTCGCCTGATGCGGGTGCTGGAGTTGCGCGCAACGCGTTCCAAGCGGGACAAAATGGTTATTACCCCCCTGCAGTGGGCGATGTCTCGCGCGCCACTCAGGTTGTTCAATACCCACCGCCAGATGTTGCTGCTCCCCCACCAGCGCACACCATATATCATCAACCCTTCCCGTCTATTCCGGGAGGTGCGGGCCCTCACGCGTACGCTCCACCCATCCCGGACCAAGGAAATTTCAACCAGCATCACGGGCCTGGGCTCTCAATGGGCTCTGCTTCCTCGTCTCTGCCTCAAGCACCAAGCGGTCAAAAGCAAGTCCGCCAACGCCGCAAGGTCAGAAAATCAAAAATAAGCTCTAGCAAGGTATACGACGACCCATTGTTCGTGAGTTTTTTTTTCATTTCAATGTGGTCGCACTCTCAAACCTTGGGACAGAAACCCGTGCTTGATGAATACGGTCAACCCACAGGGAAATTCGTGTGCGCATTAGATGGCAAGAAAATTGGACCTAACAGCTATCGTAAGCACACGATATCCGCCAAACACCAAGGCTCCGAACTAAAGAGAATTAAATGTTCTCTTTGTTCCAAGTCGTGCGTATCCCAACTCTTGTGATTGACGCATCTCATCATTAATGTTGTGGTGATTAGATATACGAGAGGTGATTCCTACAAGAGACATTTGGACAATGGCACGTGTAAACGGTCAACAGCTGTGGTCGCCCCGCCGTCATACCCAGCTAGTCAAGACTCCAGGGGCTCTGCTTCTCCCGTGCCTGTGGCAGCACCTACCATGGTGTTTGCATATGCTTGCCCGTACCCTAGGTTTGCCCCGCCAATGTCTCAAAACGTGCAGAGTGGAACACCCGGTTTCACGATTCCTGTAACTGCCTCTCAATTAGAAGAAGAAGAGGAAGAGGAAGAGGATGACTCTGATTTTTGGGAGGCTAATGAACTTTAAGGATGCGTAACCAAATTTCACCGCTACTGACTATTTTTATTGTTCTATTGTTTGCTGTCAATCATTCATGTATCACCAAGTACAGATATTCTTTCTATTGTCCATGGCACAATAGCATGCACACTATTATGATCGCTATATATTATTGTTATTGTCATAGCGATCTGATGATTTGTTGATTATGGTGCGGTGCTAGAGTTGCGCACCACGTACGTGGGACAAAGGGCGATTTCTCGCACGCCACTCATGTTCACCGCTACTTAAATGCTGCTGATCCCCCACAGGACCGTATCATCAACCCTTCCCATTTATTCCGGGAGGTGCGAACCTCCACGCGTATGCTCCACCCATCCTGTACCAAGGAATCCTCAATCAGCATCACGGATCTGGGCTCTCAATGGGCTCTGCTTCCTCGTCTCTTCCTCAAGCACCAGGTCGTGTCGCGAAAGTCCGCGAACGCTGTAAGGCCAAGAACACTAAAATATGCTCTGGCAAGATATACAGCGACCCGTTGTTTGTGAGTTTTTTTCATGTTATTGAGGTCGCACTCTCAAACCTTGGGACAGAAACCCGTGCTCAATGAATATGGTCAACCCAAAGGGAAATTCGCGTGTTCCATTTCAGGTCCGATTACTTTGCCATCTATTGAGCACACATGGATATAGATGGCAAAGTAATCGGACCTGACAGCTACCGTAAGCACACAAGATCAGTAGACCCCAAACTAAATAGATTTAAAGATACGCAGGACTTGGAACAAAGAGAACTCCGTATCCCAACTCTTATGATTGACGCATCTCATCATTTTGTGCTGATTAGGTATACGAGACGTGATTCCTACAAGAGGCACTCACAGCCGTCGACCGTTCACACGTGCTCGGGCACGGGTGAACGGTCAACAGCTGTGGGCGCCCTGGCGTCATACCCAACTAGTCCGACGCAGGCCCGCCGAAGAAGAGGAGGAAGATGAGAAAGAGGATGTACGAAATGTAATCAAATTTCACTCCTGCTACTGCAGCTGACTATTTTTGTTTGCTGTTCAATCATTCATGTATCACCAAGTACATATATTCTTTGTATTCATCTGATGCCATTCGTTGGTTATAATACACACTCCTTGAATGTACGCGCCACAGATCTAACGAGCAAGCAAGGTGAGATGAACGATTCATGACGTCATCACCAGTCCCGCTGAGCTTTTCCGATAAGTTGGTTGTCAGAATCGTCTTTGGAAGGCTCGACAACCAACTTATCGATCGAAAACGTGAACGCATTTCCGCCGTAAAATCTTGAGAGAGCTTGAAACGGAGACTCTGACATCCAAATCATTGATAGGCACCAACCTCAACCAAAGTTACCTAGCGACACTACAATACGGTGAGTGCTCGTACGTGAGGGGCAATGCCTCAGACCTGTAGACACTAGAGTCTCGGCAAGATCGACCGTCATCGGGAGTGTTGATATGTCTCGAGCGCTATAACGAATTCAATTAGAAGCACCGGCTACTTTCATGCTGTCCAGAGTTGACAAACCGCATGGATTGGGAAGGAAGAGGATAAACATATTTCGCATTAGGCATCAGAACATTGATCATGATAACCGGGAGAACTCGCTGTACTGCAGCGTATTACCACGATGAGACGATATCATCGGCACGATCGGCATGGCACCGGGCGGCGCTTCGTTTGACCACTAACCAATACTTACTAATTCCCATGTTCTCCTCGAACTCCAGGGACCAGTTCTACACATGCGGTCAATATAATCTCGTCCATTACCCTCTCCTTCGTTTCATTTCCAAGTCTTTCTTTGTTGCACATGTCACTTTCTACACCCACCAGCGGACGCGGGTAGCGCAATTTCGCAAGCGATCAAGGTTTCTTGAGCAGAACGCCTGTCTTCTGTCCAATGAGTTTGTATATTGCAACTTTGTGGTTAGTTTTTGAATTTCACTGTCATTCTCGATCGCGCACTTATATCTTGAAATCATCTCCCACGTCTCCGACCAACTCACTCACACTAGACCTACGTGCGACGCGCACCGCTTGCTATCCACTGTACTTGCTCGAAAAAAGACCACAATGGACGTTATCGCCGCCTACCTTCGTCTCAACACCCTTCGCTGTGGCCAAAAATCGTGCATCGTCCAATAATTGTGGTACGAGGAGCTTTATCAAACGTAATGATTGTTCAGCTTCTTGTGTGCTCCCACTTCTGATTCTCTTCTCCCTCTCTGTATATTTCGCGAAAATTCATAGACTCCTCTTTGAACATCTGATGTCTGGATAAAACGATGACTCGACACGTCGTTCATGATCCTAAGTAGTACCAGAAGCTGGTGTAAGGTATAGTGTCAGGGATTCCTACCGTATACCCCACACCTGCTTCTGGTACTTGTACAATTCACCCTGCGTTCTTGAATAACCCGGGAAGGCGACATCGAATTCCGAGTCCAATCTTCTAATCAGTAGCAAGTAACGCTGATGATTGAGAAGTACCCGCTGCCTTCTCGTACTCACAAGGTTATAATAATGAATTTCAGCGTTCGCCTGCCAGAGGCTCTACTCATTCCGCTGATTGACACATCTGTGCACCAGAGATATACATAAATGAATACAAATCTTACTAGCTCTGACCTCTCTGACATGGACCGTGCGGCCTCAATTTTATCAAGGACGCAGACGACTCTTGACAGATACCAGCGTAAACGATGGAAACTGTGTCATGTTCCACTGGCAGGGAGTTGATTTTGTTCCCAACCTCTTTACAGACTCGCCTGTGAACGATGCCCTGCAGGAACAATCAGAACTTCAAGCAAATGGCAACCCACTACTGTGAAACGTCGTGTCAGCCTCAGGTGGCAGAATATGTTTTCTTAAAGAGCCATGGAAGAGGCATCTTCTGTCTATCGTGATACCATGAAGTTCCTCATCAGAGTCCGGACATGAGAATGAGTCGATCGGCATGTCCTTGTACCGCTGTGTGTGCGAGGCTGTAGCCACTTGGTCACATACACTTCAATCGAAAGACTGCGACTGCCCTGAGAACTTCGAGTTTTCTCGGCACTGACGGTGAAACAAGGAACACCGAAGCGCCTATGATACCTACTCAAACATCTGCATGAATTTCAAGGGTGCAAACACGGCGGCTCGGATGAAATTAGTTTGCGGTACATACTCTTACGAGCGGAAACATTTGACTTTCATCCAGTCTGCTTTTCAGCGTATCGTTCAGTCAGACAATCGTAAATTTGGGCTCGGTGCTAGGTATGAAATTGATAAGGAATTAAAGGATCAAGTGGTACGCTCGATGTTGCAGCAATAAATTCATCATTACGTGGAACTGGCAGCATTGGTGTTAGCAACTACGAGGACGAATGGTAAAGACTAAGAACTCACGTATCTCGGCAACTCGACCAGCGTGTTCCATGTGCCATGCGGCTCAAATCAAGCTCAGGATATCCTCTGGGTATCACGAATACAGTCCAAGGAGTATGTAATCCATGTCGGGAAGCGGGAGGTACCCAGAAAAGGAGCCGGTGATTGGGTCCCATCATCCATCCATCAGCTTGCAGCGAGACGGAGGTTGAGTTAGAATCACAATGAGAGGTGGGTTCAAGCAAATCAGCGGGGTCGGGTAGAGCGTGTTCCAGGTTGGAAGAGAAGGAAATGAGGCGATCATTACAAGTGTTGGTTGGCATGAAACGGCTTTCTTGGGTGGGAGGTGCAGTGCTTTGATGCAGCGAAGATGCGGAGGGATCTGGCTCTCCTGACTCGGGGGATGGTTGCACTTTCACTGCACTCCACACCCGAACAGTGTTATCCGATGAACCAGATGCAATGCGAGTACCATCCGGTGAGAACGAGACTGACAAAACCATTGCAGTGTGCCCCTGTAAGGGCTCACCCAATGGCTGTCCCGTAGCTGCATCCCATAGCCACACAAAGTTATCCGATGAACCAAACGCGATGCGAGTACCATCCGGTGAGAACGAGACTGAGGTAACCATTCCAGTGTGCCCCCACAAGGGATTACCCAATGGCTCTCCTGTCGCTGCATCCCACAACCTCACAGTGCCATCCGAAGAACCAGACGCGATGCGAGTACCATCCGGTGAGAACGAGACTGACCAAACCCCTCCAGTGTGCCCCACCAAGGGCTCGCCCAATGGCTGTCCCGTCGCTACATCCCACAACCTCACAGTATCATCATCCGAACCAGACGCGATGCGAGTACCATCCGGTGAGAACGAGACCGAGTTAACCTCACTAGTGTGCCCCACCAAGGGCTCGCCCAATGACTGTCCCGTCGCTGCATCCCACAACCTCACAGTGCCATCCAAAGAACCAGACGCGATGCGAGTACCATCCGGCGAGAACGAGACTGACCAAACTCCTCCAGTGTGCCCCACCAAGGGCTCGCCCAATGGCTGTCCCGTCGCTACATCCCACAACCTCACAGTGTCATCATCCGAACCAGACGCGATGCGAGTACCATCCAGTGAGAACGAGACCGAGTTAACCTCACTAGTGTGCCCCACCAAGGGCTCGCCCAATGACTGTCCTGTCGCTGCATCCCACAACCTCACGGTCCTATCCCTTGAACCAGACGCGATGCGAGTACCATCCGGTGAGAACGAGACTGACCTAACCTCTCTAGTGTGCCCCTGCAAGGGCTCACCCAATGGCTGTCCCGTCGCTGCATCCCACAACCTCACAGTGTCATCATCCGAACCAGACGCGATGCGAGTACCATCCGGTGAGAACGAGACTGACCTAACCTCCCTAGTGTGCCCCACCAAGGGCTCACCCGATGGCTGTCCCGTCGCTGTATCCCATAACCTCACGGTCCTATCCAAAGAACCAGACGCGATGCGAGTACCATCCGGTGAGAACGAGACCGAGATAACCGCTCCAGTGTGCCCCAGCAATGGTTCACTCAATGGCTGTCCCGTAGCTGCATCCCATAGCCGCACAGTGCCATCATCCGAACCAGACGCGATGCGAGTACCATCCGGTGAGAACGAGACTGACCTAACCTCACTAGTGTGCCCCTGCAAGAGCTCACCCAATAACTGTCCCGTCGCTGCATCCCACAACCTCACGGTGCTATCCAAAGAACCAGACGCGATGCGAGTACCGTCCGGTGAGAACGAGACTGACGAAACCATTGCAGTGTGCCCCTGCAAGGGCTCACCCAATGGCTGTCCCGTAGCTGCATCCCATAGCCGCACAAAGTTATCCGATGAACCAGACGCGATGCGAGTACCATCCGGTGAGAACGAGACCGAGTTAACCGCTCCAGTGTGCCCCCACAAGGGACCACCCAATGGCTCTCCTGTCGCTGCATCCCACAACCTCACAGTGCCATCCAAAGAACCAGACGCGATGCGAGTACTATCCGGTGAGAACGAGACTGACCAAACCCCTCCAGTGTGCCCCACCAAGGGCTTACCCAATGGCTGTCCTGTCGCTGCATCCCACAACCTCACAGTGTCATCATCCGAACCAGACGCGATGCGAGCACCGTCCGGTGAGAACGAGACCGAGTTAACCTCTCCAGTGTGCCCATTTATTACGGTCTGAACAAGTGTCCAGTTTAAATCACGGCCGGATACCAGGCGAAGGTTATTCGGAAACCTTGCCATAAATTTGGTGGCCATGGTGGAGTTGACGGGCGAGAATGGAAGCGCTGATAAATATAGATGTGGCGTGCTGTGCAAAATCATGCCGCCAAACACTTGAATGAATCTTTGTACATCCATCGTGGTGGACCGCAAATCTTCGTATCCAGAATGGCCCTGTATTCATTTATGAGCTGTTCGTCCAACACTGCCTCGTAGTACTCACCTTCAGCCACTTGGCAACGAGTGGAAGCACGATGATTGCACCTCTGATTGTGTTGAGAAGTCCGAGCGCTTCAATCCAGAACAGCAGTCGCTCGTCATCGAAGAGTGATCTTATTTCCTTCGCGAGCTTATCGTCAAAGTCTGTTGTCTGAACATGTGTAGCCCAATATCGACAGGAATAGGAGAGATGTAGGGGAATGGATGTTTTGATTCGTTGGGGTAGTCCTGTGTCTTGCGAATTAGGTAGGTACGACGACTTCAAATCACAGATATTGAAGCGAAGGCCATCTTCCATCACTCGTAGTGATGCAAATGCAAGGTCGCGTTGTACATTAGACACCTGAATGAAAAAGTCTCCACTGGATGACTTGTCTGTTAGGAAGTCATGGAAAGATGCGTGAAGGAGTCGGATGGGAGTACATAAGTTGGTGGTGCCGCTGAGAAGGGATCCCATACGTTTAATAATGTCCATGTTGACATCCTTGCTTCGGTCTGGAAAGTAGTTCCGCATGATATTGAGGGAGTTGAAAGGCAGTGGTTCAGCTATGCCAAGTATCTGTCCCATCACGGAACGAAACCCTGCTAGTGCTTCTTCGTACTCGTCGTCATCATATTGATCCCTTTTCATAATTTCTTTCAAAATAACCAAATACATATCATACAACAGGTTTTTCTGCTTTCCTGCACTGCGGTTCACGAGAGCATTGAAGCGAGGCATTTGGCGGACACCTGGAGGGGTATCTTTGATGTATTCGCAGGCGAGACGCGCCCACTCAAAAAGTCCATCAGCTTTCGCAGCAAGACTTGCGAACTCTTTGTCATGAAAATCCGATAACCCCTTCAGCTCCTCAGATACGAACGCACGGATGTCGCGCTCCGCCACTGTGGCTGGAATTTCGTCCGTGGATAACTGTAGGATATGCTGAGCGCCGTGAAATGCATCTTCGATATCATGAAGTGGACGAGAGGTAACGAGGATACGAAAGTTAGATGGGAGTTCCGTGATTTGGGGAAGATCATTGTTCTGAAGTTTACCCGCAAGTATGCGGAGAAGGTCCCGCCGCGTCTCCACTCCGCCACTCTCGTCCAGCGCTTCGATCACGATCAAGACAGGTCCCACACTTGACATAGGGAATTTCTTCAGTGGATCCATGAGAAGCTTCTCCCACTGCTGGAAAATGTCCTTCGAGTTCTTGAGTGAAGTGGAATTTTTGACCGCATCCGCCAATGCTCGTCTCATCTCCGGATCACGGTCAGCTAGATCACGAGCGATGGTAGAGAAAACTTTTTCATGGCGTTTCTCGGCCTTGTCGAAGCAGAAACATGAACCGAGCACTCCCATATCATTGAACCCCTTGGCAATCGTTTGAGCGATGGCTGATTTACCTGTTCCTGCAGGGCCAGATAGCCACAGCACACGTTGTGCAGCATCTCCACTGCCGTTGATCCAGTCCGTAATCTGGGAAAGAATCTCTTTGCGCGTTCCTGGTAGGCATTGTTTCATGGTATTTAGTCCTGCGCCCTTTGCATAAGCGATATCCCCGAGATCTAGGGTATCGCCTGAAACAGTGTGAGTGAATGTAAAGACAGAAGTATGTCAGAATCCCTACCCGTACGTTGGACGAAGACGGCCACGTCCCGATCAACTTGGTCCCGGAATTGTCGTACAAGTTCGTCCAAAGTGTCACTGTATCGTTTGACGACGTCATCAGTTTCTGAGAGAACGTTTTTCTCGAGTCTCTTCCCTATGACAATAGTATAAGATTCGTGTACAAAGTGTGATAGCTTGGTGACTCACAAAAGCTCTTTGTCTCCGAGTAGTCCCTGATGAAACGCGCGCACTCAAGAGTCTGCTGAACGATCTTTCCAACGATACTGCGCATCGATTCGATTTTACTGAGACTGTCATCTTGAGCCATGAAGCGGTAAACTTCAGCCAGTTTCTTGAGAAGACTATAGATCGATTTGTCGCGCTCTGCTTGAGCGACTATAATCTATAAGATATCGTGACTTCTAGCAGGAGACTGGACTCTGGGAGAAACCAAACATACTTTAGATGCAGCGGACAGCACGCCCAGCGCCATCTTTGCGTACGGATGTATCTATACAATTTGATTAGTTCGCTTCCAATCAACAAGAATGACCCATACATCCGCAATCTTCTCAAGGACACCGTCGATAATCTTTAGCGGCTGGAGATACGTCGTCTCAAAATCATCCGCAGCAGCAAGATCCGCTGGGGCATTGTCGGCGGCGGATGCCATAGAAGTCGCATGTTTTCCGAGCAATTTCATGTTTTGTGTACCATCATAGGCACCCTGAAGTTCAGCGTCAACTAATTGGGGATCAGGTCCTTTGTCCTTGTCAGAAGGAGCGGCCTGAACCTGTGGGATCGCAAAAATTAGAGAAGAAAATCAATGTATTTGACGAACATACCTGTGAAGCAGGTTTACCAGACAACCCTTGGTTCACGGAGTCACTGGGAATCTCAGATGTGGTGGGATGCTTGTTGTCATTGGAAGTATGAAGATGCAGCGTGTCCTGGGCGCCTCTAAGAACACCGAAGGACTAGGATAGCAAGTTCGAGCACTCACCTCAACTTTCTGACTAGATGAAGTCCCTTCAGTTTCAACGTTCTGGACCGTAGTGATGCGGTTGCGTGTTCGCTTAGAGCGTTTCTATACAGCCTCAGCAATTTTTAGGACAAACAGTATTGACGTCCACGCACAGGAATTTTTTTGGTTAACCCATTTTTCAATTTCCGCAGGGACCGACACAATCCTCCACGAGATTGGTTCTGGATGAATAACGCATAAGGGCAGCGATGGATTTCGAGAGACTAGCACGTACCGAGCTTTCAACAACATTTGCCTGGCTGGATCTGGAGACTCCTGGAGGAGGATCAATATCTGGTCTATGGTCTTCACTCATCGTGAGTGACTGTAGTTTTGGATCGGTGTGGTGGGGTACACTGAGTAATGGTCTGAGAAGGAAATGGGCGTCTTATCCTTGGGCAGAACTCCGAAGCATAGCCAGCACGTTGACTTCAAGCGCCAACCATTCAGCCACACAAGTGCACTGATGCGATACCGGCGCATGGGATGAGACAATATTAAATTATTTGATGGTTTGCTCCATTTGTCATGGATGTAATACAAATTTACTACTTGTTTGTAGCAAGCTGATCAGAGTATCATGATATATATTGCCAAGAATTTGTCTACAGTCACTGGTCTAGGTGATGGCATACTGTGATTGGGGCTGACAATGACCCAGTGCTGATGGCGAACGGCGAATGCACGCAATATCACCAGGAATTTGAGGCTGAGCTGCAAAGCAAAACCAACTGACGGTGTCTGGACAGGATCAACCATTGGGACTGTTGATATATCTCAAGCGCTTTAAGGGGCATAGTGAACATAAATTCCAGCTAGGGAGAACAACGCATGCAGCGTGAAACAATTTCACAGGAACGAGATTCCAGGGAACAAGTTCGAAATCAGCTAGAAGCAGAAACAAAACGGGTTGTGTCCGGAGTTGACAATGCCTGATACAGGTAACTGGCTTGAGCCGGGATTGGGGGGAAGGGGGAGAAACATGTTCTTCATCGCGTATGAGGTCATCGTCATCGCCGGGAGCACACGCCGTAGCGTACCGCTATACACGGGCGAATGAGATTTGGAATACCACAAGGAGAATGAGACGCGCATACCATTTTACCCAGTGGGAGAAGAACATCGAGGACAGTCGGCGATGTGTGATTGGCCTGAAGGGGCCACCAGGTTGATAGTCGATGTAGGCGGGTTCCTTGTATTTCATAACATATTCTTGGGAGATTTGTGCATACACAATGTTTTAAATCATTTCATGATCGCAGCAGCATTCTGAGTCTCTCCCGGGGGGGGGGGGGGGGCTTCAAGGAAGGAATAGTTGTTTGTGAGTCATGATGGGCCATCGGTGCATGAGCGCTAAGCGCTAATTAATATAATTACTTACTCCAGGACAACCGAATATTGTTCCCACGAGTTGATCGCTTGTGCACATCGCCATGGCACAGCGGGGACGGCAAAAGACCAATCCAGATCTTTCTGCAACACATTCAACGACAGCGTCAACGCTTCTCTTCGCGCCAGTGGACGATGATGACAACGATACCATGAGCTCGCTCTCCCTTCATGATGATTCCCGTCCGACAGCGCTGCAGCTTAGTAGCAACATTGATAGTACCCATTCACCATATATACACCCAACCCACCAGGCGACAGCTTCAACGTCCACCTTTAACGTTGGTGGACCTACTGCTACCGCGAACACTCCAACGGCGGGCTCTACACCCACCAGTACATCAACCCAAACAATGCCTGGTACACCTCGCACCGCCTCTTCCCGGAAACCTTCTTCTTTGCGCCACACCTCCACCGCAGTTCCTGCTGAATCCATCTCCTCCTCCATCAAACGACGTGCATCCTCTCCTTCTGCCAGGGAAGGTAAATACCCTCCAAAAACCCAACAGCGCGTTCGCGCCACCCCACGTCTGCCGCACTCCGACGATCCCCCTGCACCTGCAACCGCACTCTACTGGTCACGAGCTCCAATTCATGGTACCCTCCCCATGCGCGCGTTCAGGGCTCATACGGTCACGCTTGTAGACCATGTTGCGTGGTTGTTCGGAGGATGTGATGATAAAGGCTGTTGGAAGGATGTGTACTGTTTTGATACCGGTCAGTTACTCTTCTTCGTGATGCATATTCTATCTGTGAGATGCTGATGAGGTTGCGGGCTTCAGATACAATGCACTGGTCACATCCTGACACCCTCGGCGACGTTCCACCGCCCTGCCGCGCCCATACTGCTACTCTCGTCGACCGTAAAATTGTGATTTTCGGTGGGGGCCAAGGCCCAGTGTACTACGACAGTACATATATATTTGACACTACTACGCGTTCCTGGTTCTGTCCCTTGTTTCCTCACTCCCAATCCCCGTCGCAGAACCCTGAATCGAACACTGAGGTGCAACCGCCGGCATCGCAATCGCAGAATCCTTCAGAGAGGCCCCTCCACCCAGCACCGCGTCGTGCCCACACGTCTGTCCTCTATAATGGCAAAATCTACATCTTTGGGGGAGGAAATGGCCTCACAGCTCTCAACGATCTATGGACGCTTGATGTTTCTCGGTTAGATCCTACTTCACAATCTGTGTGTGGTTTATTAATCAGTGTCCTCACGTTACTAAGTGTCTCTAAACAGACGTACTCGTACGGGGGTGGTTCCTTTGGCGGCTCAGGCGCAAGCGGTGGGCTCCGTTGGTCCCTCGTCGAAACGCAGGGTGAGCCGCCCGTGCCGAGAGGATACCACACTGCCAATTTGGTAGGCAATATAATGATCGTGGTCGGAGGGAGTGATGGGAGAGAATGTTTTTCAGATGTATGGTGTTTACACCTTGGTGGGTCATTTATATAATGTTTTGGGCCCCGCGTTGCGTCTGTTCTTTCCTTCAGTCCTGACTGTCAATCTTATTTCCCGACAGAGACTCTTGTTTGGACCCGTCTTAATCTCCCTCTCTCTCACCGACGGCTTTCGCATACCTCTACACAAGTTGGAAGCTGCCTCTTCATCGTGGGCGGACACGACGGTGGGGCGTATAGAGACGAAGTTGTCTTGTTTAACCTTGGTGAGTGCATACCTATGGTTTCAAACTTTAGTGCAAAACGAACTGACGAACTTGAGCACAGTGAACCTCCAATATGAACCACGAACGGTGAAAGGTAAACCCCCTTCCGCGCGCGGATACCATGCGACGATCCTTGCAGATAGCAGACTGTTTGTCTTTGGAGGGGTGAGTCTTCCTTCGACTTTGTTCTTTGGAACTTGGATGTCTTGAAAATGCTAACATCTATTCGCACAGTTCAATGGTCATGACGTTTTCGACGATGTTCATGTCCTTGATCTTGCAGGCGCTGCATATCTACCACAGGTGATGAGCTTCCGCATTGATGTGTGAGCGCCATGCCCCGCCGATTCCATGGTGTTTCTCTTCAGGCACATCTATCCGAGTTTTCACTTAAGGCTAGCGAGCACTTTTCGCTTGTACCTGCTTTCTTGTGGCCGTTCGCTGAAGCCTTTGGCAAGCACGGTGCTATTGAACTTTCAAAGCCATCGAAGTTCTCTTTTCTCCATCATGCAATATTATCAGCTCTTTTGAGGACCCTTTTCACAGTTTCATCGCTCCGCTGTTTTCCAACATTACTCACCTTTATTGACTGACATTTTGCACGTCTTTACTACCTTGCAATCTCCAAATCCCGAGTCACTATTTACCAATTCATAGAGTACATATACCATCACTTGCAATTTGATTTTGATCCTTGTTTTCTCCTGATTCTAGCTGCTAGCTGCGTGTCCACTCCCCTGAGTATTAGAAGCACGACGAGTCAACCACACAAAGGGACGCGACCGTGACGGACGAGAACTATGATAAAGTTGGTTGCAAAACACTACTTGATTTTTGCGCTCCTGACTTCCACTACTCCAGCTACAGTTCTGAAGCCTCTTGATTCTCCTTGCAAAATCACCGACATCACCGCCCGCTTACCCGCTTGTAGCGACCTTATGATCTTAAAACCTGCCATCCTCAATGCTAAGGGCCTTCTGTTCATCGGGGCTGACCGGTTCTGGTAAACGTACTGACTACTTGTGCATCGTGAAATTGATTATGGGACACGAGGAGAAATTCTTCATCTGCCAGTCCTTCCAGGACCGTACACAGCCGACAGCGGCGGACACGATCAAATCCGTCAACAGGAGGATCGACCTGTGACCAAGGTACGTGCCAAGGGGAGGACTCGGAAGACTCCAACCCCGAGGCACAAGGAGGCACGACTTGGCGGATGCTTCTATCCGAGGTTCCTCCAAATGTCGTCAAAGCTCTAGAGCACCAGTCATCCGATGCCTCTCTTCGTTACTGGCGAAATCTAGACCTTCTGGCCCCCTCGGCACATTGAAAACATCTCCCCCCGCGGCTCCGCCTTTTCGCGCTTGGGCGGCGTGCCTCGTTCCGCGTCCCTGCAGCTCAGGGTTGGAGTCTTCATCCCCTCGGCACGTACATGGTCAGTCACAGGTCAATCTTTTTGTTGACGGATTTGTTCTTGTCCCTGGCCAAACCCTGGGAAAGCCTCTCTCTATGTTCGTCTCTTTCTTCTTCCTTCCTTCGCCACTTTAAGGCCTGAAACGATCGCATATGTCAAATTGCTGGCTGAAGACAGCCGTCCCCCTGGCCGGCCCATCCCCGCAGCGCCGCTGGAGTCCTCTTACCATCGACTCGGACTTTCAACTTGACTGTCCCGCTCAGGCTTAACTGATACGTCACAGAAGTATTTGGGCATTGCAACGACCGAAGCAAATCAACAAGAATGGAATATCAAGATAAATTATCTGAAGCAGAGCATTTCGACAGCACCAACTACGATTCGTGTAGCATCAGTCTACAAAATATGTTCGATCAAAAATGAGAAAGTTTCAGAAATGTGTATACATACACCTCATATGTCGAGCAATAACTTGTCATCCTGGGAGGACGAATTCAGTGGTTAGCCTATAAAACACAGATAAAACGAGATAGGTCGTTGAGGCCAGCTCCTCTAGCATTTGCTGCAACATCCCATTGTATCAGGGTGCTCTGGCGCAGGTCCTGGCCTCCTGCTTATAGGGGTTTGACCTGGGCTCTCCTTGCAGTCCATGCCCGTCCCACCATATGCATGTATGCGTTTCTGACTTTGTACCCCGTCTCCCATCGATATACTTACTGGAATACCCATATACAGCCGGAGCCTTCGTTTTAAATATTTCTACATCCTACAACACACATGCCCAGTAGTTGAGTACCGTCCTGACATTTCACTGACACGAGACAACTCTTCAATTTCAACCAAAGAACTTTTTAACAGATAACCGATCAAAACTGTAGCCTATCCAGAAGATGTACACAGCGTAAATGGAATTGTGACTTTGAATCTATCGTAAAGCGTAGCATGTTTATCCGATCCCCTCAAAACCCTCGGGCGCGTAGGCCGCTAGCAGGCAAATGGGGAGAGGCAGATCTGGGGGCGGGAGATGGATGCCTGTCATAGCCAGGCATCGCCATGATTTGGGGCTTCCTCTCCGGCAAGGGCAATTCAGGGGTCCCATTGTTAGTACCTTGGTGCAAACTTCCAATGAAGATCTTGACCATGTAGTCCGTGTTGAACGCGCCATGAGCATGGTCGAAGGGAGTGGTGTCGACGATATCCTGAAGAATCATGAGTAAAAGCGTACGAGAAACCATGAACGAGACGCACCCGAATTTTGTAACGTTCAGAAAGCTCGTCGTCCAACATATGGAGCGCCCTTGCGGCATCTTCATCTGTGCCGATCTGGACGAATTGGATACCGAACTTATCGAGAGGAACCTGCTGCCTGTCAAGGCGACTGGCGGCCTCGATGATGCATCGCAATAAGTCATCACCGTCGGCTATAGCGATGTCCGTGTATGTCAGACATGTGAACACGGTATGGAAGTACTACCTTACTAGCAGCTCCATCGGTAATGACAATGATAGAAATAGGTTCATGAGTCGAGCTCGGGTGCTCGATGAGTGGCAAATACATCTCGATGATCTGCTCGAGTCTCACTCCCGTTGGTGTGTCCTCACCTGAATAAAGGGCATGATTCACTGATAAAGTCCGATAAATGCGATATACATACCAGTGGGACTGAGCTGGTCGAAAAGTTTCTGGACTTCAGATCGAGACTAGTCGAGACCGTTAGGCTGAAAAAGTATAGGACCAGCGAACGGATTCCCATACCCTCATATTTTCGGCAAACTGAGTTTGGTGCATGAAGTGTAAATCAAGCCCTTTGGATCCATACTGTATGGCAAGGTCGACGATGCCAGCCAGAGCCTCTCGCATTTGGCTCCAAAGATCAGCTTCGGCCATCTAGGTACAAGTACATTAGCGGTCATGGATCAATATATTGAGGATGCCATCCTTACGGAGATGGAATCATCGATCAGGATGACCGTCTTGTACTCACTATCACAAAAATGATTAGAATTTGGTTGACAAAGAGCAGTGAACAGTGAACACGCACGCCACGCGTCGCAGTTCTTCCTCTTGTATCAGAAGAGAGGGAGCAAAACGAGGAATGTCATCTACGTGGAGGGCAGTCTGAACGACCGATGTCACGGTGGACTCCCGAGTCTCCCGAGTCTCGCGCGACCACAAATTGCTTGGAGTGCGTTTGAGCTCTTGTCTCCCCTGTTGCTGACGAGCGAGGACGACAGTGCCCTGAGTTAAGCTTCCTGTCGCATCTTGAGACGCCAGGCCCCAGCGAAGCTGAGATGCGCATACTAGAACCTCGTATTTTTCAATCTGATATCGCACGAAGTCCGTCAAAATGAAAATAGAAAAGTGCGACGATAATAAGAACACATACCAAGTGCTCCTTGCCGACGTAGCTGATCAGAGCACCTGAGGTGTGATAGCCAACCTTTCCAATGTCTGAACAGTTGATCATGTGGAGTGTCCGCACTACATGTTAATAGCACTTACGGAGACCTCCCTGTCAGCCGAACGTGAGCGTCTTTGGCCGGGATTCCTTGATAATAAACCTTACCTCTAAATGAGCACGTGCAATAAAGAACGTCTGTCCATTGCGGTCTTCGCCAAATGGGACAGCGTTCGGCGGAATAGATTTATCTTCGATCAAGATCTTTGAGACCTTTTAGCAACCATTATAACCTCAATGGACACCACTCTTACCCATATGAGTGGTACAGGTGAGCCGTTCTTCTTGAAATTAGCGGTGCTTTCCCTAGCTTCATCAAGCCAGCTGTTCTTGTGCCTGGTGGTAGTAGTAGTGGTAGTAGTGGTGATTGTTGAATCATTGTTGAATGCTGGCATTGGGGCAGCATATGAGCCTGTGGCGGGAGGGCGTCCATATTCGTATGCTGGCTTCGTCATGGTGTACTGAGAGGTCTCGTACTGTGATGCCAGTGGCCGTGGGGCTAGGTATGATGGACGTTGCTGATACGGTGCCGGACGAGCTTCTGGCATCAAAGTGCCGAAAGCGGCGGGATTAGAGTGTGTGCTACTCGACATCGACGTCCTCGTCGACTGGAATTGAGTCGGAGTGGAGCTGCGCATCGTGAAGTATTGGTTTGTTAATATGGAGGTAGATTCCTGGGGGATTGTCTGGAAACCACTTTATACCATGAATTTCAGGCATCATGCATTGGCGCCCAATCCATCGATATCAGGTGCATCATAGAGTTTAACAGAAAATTCTATGATTCTTGAAGGAGTACAAGCACAATAATAGTTCAATCAACACAAGGCGCAATGTGACACTGTACGATGCACCAGAAGTTTGTTAAAACTTTCACCTATCCCGGAAGGCTGGCTTGTCAGTAAGATGTGATTGGGAAATGCCGGTCCAATCATCACAGAAATCTGTACCGCGCGACCTAGCACGTTGCCTCATTTCGGAAGCAGATAGATAACACTGCTTACCATAGCTCAACGAGGTTGATCAGAGGCCAACAAAGTGGAGATCTCCCTTGAAACACGAAGCATGCCTACCGACCAAGGTCTTCGTGAATGAATCGATAACGAGTTTGTAGGAGAATTTGAATTTCAGGAGGCTGGCTTGATTGCATATATACGCAAGGAACATTGATGAGATCAGACTTCAAGTTGTTGATTCACTTTCCGGAAGGATCCAACAACCTTCACTTTAATGCAATAGGGCAAGTACCTGTCTTCTCGCGGAATTTGCCACGGCGCAAGGTTTCAGTACCCTCGCCGCATGGCAGACAATAACTTGTAGGTGTAGTGGTCCCAGTGAATGGCTCGAACATGATGCATGATGGATGATGCGATCGATGAAGGCAATTGGGAGCAATTCATGGTGGGAACTTGCTTGACGCTCTTTGAAATTTTTGGGTCTGGGTTGCACGGGCCGGATGGGCTGGAACTTCCTTACAGCGGAACATACGAGCCAGACAGCTTATGTATATCATGCGTTGCGAAACATTTATTGTACAGTAACGACTTGATGGAAAACATATTTTCGCCAGCATACGACACAGACATTTCGGGAAATTCAATACTGAGACGGATCGATTACCTCGGCCCGTATGGGACTGGAATAGAGAGCAACTCGCTCGGCACAGGACCTCCATTGTCAAGAACCTTATTCACACCACCGAGCAGGATCTTCAGCATGTAATCGGTATTGAACGCGCCCTGTTGAGGATCGTAAGGTGTGGTATCCACGATATCCTGTCGACAAGAAATATTAGTCCAGTTCAACCAGCTAGAAAGAAATACAAAACATACTCTGACTTTGTACTGCTGCTCGAGGTGGTCATCTAGAGCGCGCAATGCCAAAGCAGCCTCCGCGTCTGTGCCAATCTGTACAAACTGGAGGCCAAACATTCCCTCTGGAACTTGGCTTCTTTCCAGGCGCTGGGCTGCACTGACGATAACCTCAGGGAGGGCCTGCTGATCAGCTAATTCACATAGAATTATCAACACAACGAGCCGAGGCGCGTGAGGCATAACTTACTTGCGACACCGTCGGTGATGACGATAATATCAATAGGGTTGTGTCGAGGGAATTTGCGCTCCACGAGGGGGAGGTAGGTGTTGATAAGCTCTTCCAGTTTCGCAGCAGTTGGCGTTTCTGGACCTGTATCTCGATGTCACCTTCGGCTCGACGTATCGTCAAGGATGGAACTAACCGTTAGGGGCCATTTGATCGAAAATTTGTTGAACTTCGTGGCTCGTCTAAAGAGCCAGTCAATCACAGTACATCCCTACAAGTTGTGCGTTGCAAAACAGACCTTGATGTTTTGATGGTAATGCTCCTGGTGCAAGAAGTGCAAATCAATTCCTTGAGAGCCATACTGATTCGCAAGATCAGCGATTCCCGCCAGAGCTCCACGGACAAGGGTCCAAGATTGTTCTTCGGCCATCTAAATGAAGTGGATCAGAACATCTAAGTCATATTACAAGGAAAGTAACACCAACAGAGATGGAATCATCAATCAGAACCACGGTTTTGTAGTCGCTAACAAGAATCGTCAGGTATGTAACAAGATGGTCGAAAAGAATCCGTACGCAAGCTTCTTCAGCTTGAGGTCCTCAAGATTGGGGATAAACCTTGGAATATCGTCGACACGCAGCGTTGTCTCAACAACGAGGCTCGAATTCTCGCGAGAGCTGTATGCACTTCTAGTCTCTCGGACACTGGACACCTCCCGGACATTAGAATATCCAGTATGTGCGGCGTAACCAGTGGGTGATCCAGATGGTGCAGCGTAACCAGCGGGTGATCCGGATGGTGCAGCGTAACCAGCGGGTGATCCAAATGGTGCAGCGTAACCAGCGGGTGGTCCAGATGGTGCAGCGTAACCAGCGGGTGATCCAGATGGTGCAACGAAACCACCAGGCGATCCCCCATGCTGGGAGAAACCGCCAGCTTGAGTAGACCATGCTGTCGACCCGCGTTGAGATTGCAGCTGCTGATTTTGTTGTGCAAGTATGACTGTGCCCTGACTCAAAGATCCTGCTGAGTCATAGGAGGCCAAGCCCCAGCGAACTTGAGAAGCACACACGAGTACTTCGTACTTTTGGATCTGGAAACACGCAAATCTCAATTTCATGAAGAGATATAACGCTCGATTTGGTAGACGTACGTGGTGCTCCCTTCCGCCGTAACTAATGAGGGCATGCTGAAGGTGAGTACCTACCCTTCCGAGGTCTAAAACCAGGTTAGCACTGTTTCTTGATTACCGGCAGAATATACTCACAGAGCCCACCCTGAAAGATATGGCAGGTCAGAGTTGTGATACCCCTGGGAGAAACAACCTACCTCGAGCAGGGCACGAGCAATGTACAGCTGAGAACCGTTCTTGTCTTCGCCAAAGGGAACAGCATTCGGCGGGATGACGTTGTCTTCAACCAAAACCTTGTATACTTGTAAGTGAGATTCAGTAAAGATCGATCACCATGCTCCTCACCCAAACGAGAGGGAGGGGTGAACCATTCAGTTTGAATTTGTTGGTGCTTTCACGAGCAGCATCGAGCCAGGAATTCTTTGTGATCACCGTCTGATGGGTCTCAGTAGTGCTCACGGGCGATCCCCCAACGAGCGGAGACGAAGGTCGAAATTCAGCCGCGAGTTTACGTTGGGTAAGGGAGGGCGAACGAGTTACGTTGTTGTTGAAACTGTTGTGTCGATGCATGATTCTAGCTCGTTTGGACCACGGTGATTGTGATTGCACAGAGACTCGCCTTATGAATACGGATAAGTAGCGCTCGGACCCAATATCGATATCTATTCTCTGCTGAAGCTGCAGAGTTAGGTTTCCTCGATGCCATCGATTGGTTGCTTGAGATCCACAGCGATAACTTGAATCTATGTTAATCTGTGTTAGAGCATATCGGAAGTCATCCAAACATGATGCATGAAAGTCTGGTTGTGTGATTATCGGTTCCTGGAACTTCTTAGCGCTCGGGAGCAGTACCAAACCGAAGGGAAACATGACCACTCTATGCATTTCCCCTTGCCCAGCTCGAAGCCACAACAGAGAATAATCACCACGTTTCATGAGTGAAGAATCGAGGCAACAAACACGAGGTAGGCAGAAGGTGTGCCACGGATGGCGTGAGGAGTGCATCGAGATAGGATAATAAGATAACTGACTAGCTGGATCATATCATGAAATTCCGTAGGATGAAATTATCTCAACAAGTACGGCGCTCTGTGAGGATGTCAAAAACGTCGTTTAAGCTTCATGAGCTACGAACGGCAAGTGCAGAGCCGAGGGCAACAGCAAACTCAGTGACCACCGGCACTGAAGTTGGGGGCGAAGTAGACTAGTTGATCAGTTTGATGACATTGTAGCAAGTGTACATCAACGACACTATCACAGAAGCTCAACTTTCTGAGTGTGATGTAGGAAGGAACGTATCTGGCAACTGGTTGCGGCCACTGAGGCCTTAAGGCGTCAAACGAGGTATAAAAAAACGCTGACGGGGAACTCACGGCCCACGGGGTATAGAAACGTGACTGATGTCATCAGCATCCAAGTTTCCATCATAATCACTATCTGCACGGGCAACGTTGCAATTCAACTATGGCACACACGTTAGGATGATCTTGAATTTGGTCAATGAGGTATTCTGCACTAGATGGCGACTGACAAGTTCAACTCACATAAGGCTAGTCTTTGACCTGAGATCTGCACGACTATTCAATGTATGGCTTATCGCAGTCCACCACGTAACGCGCGATTATGATACCACCGTGCAGGCGTCATTAATGTGAAGTTGTGAACGCCTGTATGAAACGGCCCTAGTGCGAAAACTGATACATTGTCATTCTGCATAGACAAGGCAAAGGTTACCCCCAAGCTGGGATCTGAGACTTGATAAGCTAGAAGTTATTATAGTAGTTTCGGGAATTAACTCACAACGCCGACTGTGCACCAACTTCTGATTCTAACTCGGAATCCAATCGATTAATCCACACTAGTATCACCACGGAGCAGAAAAATCAAAACTTGGCTCGTCACAGTCATATGGTAGTCAAGGGAACCATTTCGTGGTTAACGGAACGAGTGTTTCAGACTTTCAGCATGGGTCACTGTCAGATCCTCAGAAAATCAGAAGTGACGAGTTCCCGTGGCGCATGAACTTGGCACAGCGCTTGACAATGAGTTTCGAGAGCGCCGCTGAGGTCACGTGAGTGATGCTTAAAATAAATTACGTTTGATCACAAATATTATCGGGGCAGTACCGTATGGCAGCACCCTAGGTATCTCACTAAGTCGTATACTCTTTCGTGAATTCAGAATCATGCAAAATGCATGTTTTATATGCTTCAAACATGTAGGCTCTACGTACGTCGATCCCTGGCCCATGGGTTGAGGCTGTGCCACTGCAAGCGGAAAGCGCCGAACCGAATATTATAAGGCGAGGTTACTTGCTCACCGTGACCAATCCAATCGATCGACAATTTTTATTAATGATCACTCACGAAGCCTCCATGAATCCCTGCCAGGCCCATAATTCTTCATGTCTACCGATTTGGTCAAACCGCTTAACGAAGGCGGACTAACTAGTAATAAGTACTAAGTGTGTACATAACTTTGACTCGGATTCCTCCAAGTTACTCATGATCACAGACAGAGTCCGTGGTCCAACTCCTACCAACCTGAAACACAAAAAAAATCACATGTCGTGATTGTGTTTATGCTGATCGGCAGTTCTCGTTCACTCCAGTCGCAATCAGTCTATGCTCTACGCAAAGCTACACATTAGTCCATTTCCAGTGGATCAAGCCCACCGACGTCATCGCCCTTAATACGCGGGTCTACTTCTTTTGTCATGTCTGGCAAGGTCTGAGCTAGCTGCATGGGCATCGGATATCAGTTCATGGTGGGCTGTTTACATATTCATGTGATAACAACAGTCACCCCTGGTCACGTCCCTACTTTTACAAGCTGAAATGGTCTTCATTTCGTGACTACGGGATTGATGACGACAAACGTAAGCGGCAGTCCAGCTTAAGTGCGTTACTCAAGCGAGACAATTGTTGATGTCATTAACAGCTCGCCAAAGCCACCCACATTGCGTCACCGCGCTCGACCCTGTATAATCTGATGAACTTTATTCAACTCAACAAACGGTTACTTGAGTCACTAGCACCCTTCAGGATGTTCCCATAGTTTGGGTCATTCGGGTCAGGCTTTCGTGGCGGAAATATAAGTAATTGCAATATTAATGGTACTGCATCAGAGTACCTTCGTGTTTATTCGAACGCTATCCCGTATTTCAATCGTTCCGTGGCTGGGTAGAACGTTATACCACACCCCTTTGCACACACGATCTTGTTCCTTTGGACGAATGTGGCCCTGAGTCTTTTAAAAACCATAGAATGGAAAAGTTTCAAGTAGGTGATGATACTCATGGCAAAATACCTATTTCCGCGGCCAGTCGCTCACGCGGTGATGCTACGTAGTACGGATGCATTGATCTTGATTGACTAGGGAACTTTCGCAAATATTAGAGTCAGACTTGTACATACTTATTATGTACAATCATCCTGCCACTTGTTGCCAGCAAGCCTTGTGTTAACTTCTTCACGACGGCTTGCTCGTCACGCATGCGCACCCATTATCTGTCTCCTCAAATCACAATTCAGTAAAGTTTTTTTGAATTATGTCGATCAGATTTTGTTATCGATGTTCCTCGCGACGAGATAAGATTGTGTGATCCGAATGGAACCGGCTCGGCGCGGAATGACGCATCTGGGGCAACTTGATATTGACCGCGGGATGTCTCGAGAATTAGTGTACTGGATTTCTGACCTCAACACTCTTTATTTCGTATGTTATTATATTACATGCGGGATACCATCGCATATGTACCACAGGCCACAATTTCGCTTAGCGAGGTGATATATAATAGCCTCCTAAAACCAACTGGTCTCAGCCATTCCATCTCTTGGAAGCAACCTTGTCTTCGTCGGTACGGTTCGGAACCATTGCCAGACATCCTTCTGCGCCACCACTACTAGCGCTACCGCCCTCGACAAGACTTGATGTGTCTTCACGAAATGTAAGCATTGGTTCCAAGGTCATACAGTCACCCTTCACACTTGCATTGTATCACAGTGTCGGTGACTATTGGACAGGGTGTGGAGTAGGTTTCATTCTCGAGTAGAAGCCAACTAGGCACTAACACAATAGCGATGTTGTGGCACTCCTCACCGCAGCACTTTCATGGAAGATATTTTACCGGAGTAACCTCCGACTGCGCCTCCTTACGGTGTAAGACGAGTACGTCTCACATGCACAAGACAGCACGAAATTGCGGGTGCCCCTCGGTACGAGTCCTCGCATTCCCCTATCTGCTGGAATTCACGTTTTCGTAGGTGGTGACGGAAGACCGCCGGGTACAAAACTTGTACCGAACACGTCATCCCGACTGCGTACGACCGTCACGGTAATTCTAGTCGAGTGCTGCCTCATATTGGATATGGGCGCATGGTGTACCTAGCTGACGTCTGAATGTCATTCCACATCGGAATACCTATATCCCAAATCCCTCTTGTATTTGTATGTTGATTGAGATGTTGTAGCCTCACAGATATTGGATATCTTCGCAGTCATTCATTAACTATGCATTAATCTTTCGAGCTCCATAAATGCGGATTATTATGAGCGCTTGTAGTAGTCAGGCGAAGATTCCATGGGAGCGGTTCACAAACAGTACGGAGGCGCAGTACCAAATAAAGGTGGTCATTCACCAGGACGGTCGTGAATTGAGATTAACCGGCTGTGCGGCAGAATCAACTCAGTCAGCTGGCATGAAATATGTCATCATACTGATACACACCGGAGGTCCAGACTGTACTGTGACCGCAGTGCTTCCTTTCATTCCTGCAGATGAGCGCCCGGAAGGCAGAGCGATATCGAGATATCTAGAGAAAAATTCGTCCAGCCAACTAAAAAATTCATCCTTGTCTTCCTGTGACAAATTCGCCCAATCTATGTGATTCACTGGATCTGCTGATCCCGCCATCTGCGATCGGTAAGAACTCGTAGCGCGTGCGGGTGGAGGAGAAATATGGCTATACGATGGTGAGGAAGGAGCACCGGACCGTGAGCCGTGAGCCGAGGGAGGAGGAGGTGAAACAACAGAGCTTCTCGTACTTCCAGAAGCATCTGGACGTGATCGCAGTGGAGGCGGTGAAGGCCCATTACCCGACGATCCTGCTGGAGCAGGTGGAGGTGCACGCTTCCAGTTAGGATCCCAATTCGTTTTTGAAGAGGGAACACTGGAATATTTGTCCCTTGTGTTCACCATCATTGTGACACTCGCATCTTTGGCCTTCCCTGCCTTCTGCTTGAGCTCCGCAACTATCACGCCGATAAGCACTAACACCAGTCAATTTGATGAAACGTAGGGCCTCTCACAGTTTACCATGGATATTGCTGAGAGATATTGAGCTGCGAGTTGATAAAACGAGAGAGTTACTGGGCATGCGCCAACGAGGCTCATTTAGTCCTTTGTGTCACACGCGCTGGCAGCTATTATGTAACAACCCCTTGCGGACGAGGTAATCATTCGGATACCCGGAGGAGATTCAGTACAGAGACAGATATAGTAGTACAATAAAGTATGTTGTCTATCTATATAAACGTAGGGATTGAAAGTGGTACGGCACTGCCGAGTTGCTGATACACAAAAAGAAAAAGCCAACTATAGTACTTGCTGATAAACGAAAACATGAAGGTCCAGTCGACCGGACGCATGATGCAACAATAGCAGCGCTATATGGAAGAAGCTAGAGCAGAGCAGCGTTCTTCACCGTCTTACCAAAACGAAGGCGGTCACCAACACAATAATAAGAACCAAAAGTGCGACCATGGCATACAAACAACGCTTCGCCCATTTGACTTCCGAAACTCGCATCTCTGCAAGTAACCTCCGTTTCTCCTCCTCCGACCTTCCAGTCTCCCATTCAGAACTGGGCCGAAGTGGGGAGAATATTATAGCGCTTCCAATTATCCAAAATATTGGAAAGACTAAAGGGAATTGTCAGCTTCATATCTTGTGATACGTGTTGTAACAAACGTACAGAAACCATAGAAAAACAGATGGCGAGTGAGTGTTTTGGGCTTGGTGTCTGCATCCGGACACGGATAAGCAGTGTACGTGGGCACTTTCTCAAACTCCCCCTCATGCAAGTAGGGTGGAGGGACACGCCGTTCGAGGGCTCTCGTTCGGTGTGGCTTGGCTCCGAAAAACTGTGCAAACATATCATCCTGGAGCTGCACGGATGAGTAGTGCGCTTGAGGAGGGGGTGTGACTTGTTCGGTGCAGGTTGCCTGCGAGGAACTGGATGCGCTAGCACATGTTAAGACGGTATCTGATGGCAAGTTGTGCAGGTGCAGCTCGACCGGCGGGTTGGAAGGATGAGAGAACGATGCAGTATTGCTCGTATGCCACATTTTGCCGAGAAATTGATGAAGCACCTAGTGGTGAGCCGAGAGTATTGTAATGTGGAGATTCCGAGAGAAAATGGTAGGCCTGTAAGTGGGCGGATGAACGACACCTAGATTTCACCCCATTCCGATATTCGCGAATAAATAGATTCCTGGTGGTGCGGCATTGGTAAAGCATCCACGGGCCAAGTTTGTGTTAACAAAAAGGTGGAACACGAAGGTGGTCATGATGATGAGCTCACGCTGCCAACCCAATGCGATTAGTAACCAGATTTGGTAAAGACCGTTCAGGCTCGCACAACAAAGACAATAACGAGGGCTTCCCATGAGATACCATTTGCCGGCATACAAAAACAATTAGGTGGTATACTAGTTGCAATCATGTTTGAATCAAGACTCCAGCTTTTGTCTTCAGTTAAGGCGTTACCGATCTGGGATACACAATTGCGACTTAATGCTAACAGGAAAGATATATACATGAAACAACTTGGGGGTTCAAAGTGAACTCTATTTGCGGATTGACCTATAAGCTGAACCCAATATCATACCGATCTCATTTCTGGACTCCCACAGGGGGAAGACGATGCAAAATGACCCACTCGCGAAAGCCCATATACTATCAAAAGAAACTCGGTGAGTACTCCATCGAACCGCATGTTGACGTCGAGAACTCACATCGAGCAGGCTGTCCAGAAGGTATAAAACTTCTTGCTGAAGACATAATGAGAGAAGAACAGTGGCAGTGGGACTGATTCTCTATCAGTTGTGTAGCAAATAGAATAGCGCTGCAACACTGACCAAGTATGACAACAATCAATGTCAAAATCGACGAATATATAAACGCCTTTCTAAATACCGTCTTGAGAGATCTGAGACGTTGTTCATCATCGTTCTCCAACCCAACGTCCATGATGTTGGAAACAGGTTGTTTCAACGATGACTCCTTTTCATCCCTTTTCTCGTTCTGCGATTCGGTGTCCGATGCTCTGTATGGAGTGTCAACGCCTGAAATGTCACTCTTGATTGTGTCTTCTAAGGTGGCGATTGCTCGGGTGCCCGAGAAATCATAGTCAGCAGGGTCTGTAGAACAAAATCAGCATTAGATACTACAAGTCAGCAAGAACGAACTCAAGAGCGACACCCCCACTGTCAAAATTCCAGAGAAAAATAGTCCCGCGAGACTACTGCATAGAGCGGAGTACGGTTGCGCAAGGTTATTGATGTTGATTTGGCCTGAAATTGATCAGCATAAAGTAGGCGGGACTTTGAAAGATCAGACCGTATATCTTCCAGCATCCGATCATCCAAGCCAACATTCCGAAACATGCACCGCCTATAGCACCACAGAAAACGCCTGCCTTCGTAAGCTTAGACCATGAAACGGTAAGTCCAATGGGAATGACTGCAGGGCTGAGTATACAGCCTCTGTATTCCAGATAGTCTCAGTACTTCATCTCGCAACAATCAAAAACCTTACTGGACATAATATAACTTTCCCACGAGCTCATCAGTAGAGGCCATCAGCGTCGGGAATGATCTAACTCACCCATCCGAGGTCGATGTGAACAGCATTCAGCTATCGAGTTTGAGCTCATGCGGTAGACAAACGGTGGGATGAATGACACTTACAATAGTTGCCCAACAGCCCATCCAGACTGCCCAGAAACATATGAAGTAGTGAGATACCCTCACTATCTCATCGCCAGTGGCATTGGGACGGAAATAGGTCCGGTATATGCTAATGTACGGGGTCATTCCCCATAATAATATCCACGTCATGTATTACCCACTCATACGAACTGGTCATGTATGGTCAGGTGGCTGCCTTTGAAAGGATGATACGGCAACTCACAATAGACTGGATACGCCAATGAGCTCAGCACTCGCGGCTGAAGTCACGGCCATACTGATATCTTGTCAGAACATTGTATCTTCCCACCATGATGTATACGTACAATACTACAAGGAGCACGGTGATCGCACCACCTTTGCCCATGAGCACAGCAGCTGCAGCAGGAGCTGCAAGACCTGCGCTAATCTGACTTGGAGAAAGCGGAGAAGGATAGGTGGGAAAGTTTGGCTACAAATATCGGTGAGCTGTTATCTTTGGGATGTACTGTAACGAGACTTGCATTAGTAATAAGAGCGCGAGCACTCAGACCGAGACAAGATGCAAATGCCCATGGAACAGCAAACCAAGAAATACCACCAAGCATCTGTCGAGCTGTCAGCTTGTTTCAGAGCCCACGAACGCGAAACTGACGTATGCCTTGGTGGTCGACTCTGGATGACTTGCGATTGCCTAACTTGCTCAGCCAGGAGCATGTTGCAAAGCGTAAGGCTCACCCTTTGCCAGTAACCTATGCAAAATATTCCATTAGAAAAATGTAGACTAGATAATGCATGTATCAGAGCCAGACCTTGATCGCAGAAGACTCCGGTAAAACCAGAAAGGATTGTGATAGCACCAAACACAAGACCTTGATCGGATTTCATGGTCAAGTAGCTGCCCCCTTGATTACCTACCACTGGAGTGACGACGCTAGCCTGTTCTAAGAGATCATAGAGTCTGGAGACACTACCAATGGCGGGTGATGTTCCGCTATCAAGATATTCCATGATCGACTAGCCCCACGCAGGAGAAAACACTCACTATGCTCGGAATGTGAATATGTAGATGATAATGAACAAGATAATGGTATGACTCCAGTCGCAGATAAATGTCGCGCGCAGACCACCAAAGATGACATAGACAGCAATACCAATAGGGAGAAGAAAGCATGCCGCGGTGGTGTTCATGCCGGTCAAGGCGTTAACAGTCGCAGAGCCTCCAACTATCTTAATCATGAGTGAAACTGACAGTTGAGAACAAAGATTAGGACATACGTAGCAGAGACCCGCAGACCAATAAGATACACAGAAATCCATAAAATGTAAAGAGAATGTGGGCACTTGTCCCAAATCGGGTCTTGACAATCTAAATGCCAATGAACAAGTCAGAATACCTTCCGAATTGATTATTCATACCTCAAGGAATGTATGGGCACCGTTGGCGTTCTGCTTCACCTTGGAGGCAACCATGCCAAACATAGCAACCTGAATGGTGCCACCGACACCATACCACCTGCACAGGGTTTAAAGGGTGAGCTAACGAGGTAACCGCAAGTCCTAAAAGATACACACCAAGGACCGCTAACGCCTTTCAACTGCGATCAACGCGCATCCCGTAACGGATATGAAAGAAGTCCTTACCGAATGTATATGCAACAGTGCTCGATTGCAAAAGCGTAGCGCTCCATGTCCACGCGCTTACGCTACACGCACGTTTAGTCCAACGACACTAGGGAAACCCAAACGAGTAGTAGTACGCACATTCCACAGCATATTAGGCCAGGCTTCCATTGATCGTGAGGTAGCGGACAGGTGTTTTAAAATACAAACGTACCTTAACACTCCGGGAAGCACTCTTGTGATAGTTTAGAAATTAGAACAACTATAGTATTGAACCATATCATACCGTGAATTCTTCCGAAGAAGCAGGAGAGAATTTGAAAAATTTGCGTTGCAGTGTGGTCAAGATGAACATGACGCCTGCGAAGAAGAACCCCACACCTGAAAATAGTCAGTCAAAAAATTTCAACCTTGTTAGACCTCATACCAACGACAACGCCATAGCCAACGCTCTGGGCTTCATGCAAAAGTTTGTGAGCGATCGATGGAAGCATTCAAAACCTAGACATACTGAGGAGTGGCTTGAACTCGGAATATGACGGCTCGCTGGACATGATAAATGTTGAATGGGAAAAGCTGCTAGCAGCTCAACTTGTTGGCGAAGTGTTGGTGTGCCGTGATATAGGGTCAGCTGTTATCTTATGAGATATTCTTAGAAATGTTGGATCTGGGCAACTGTCAGATGGCAGCAAGATATGAGCGTCCAGCACCTGGTAAATCTACGATAACACAGAGCGTGAGTGAGCTGGAGCTCTAAGTTAGCCAGTTGATTGTACCTACCGAGCGGCATTCCGACAAACAAACTGAATCCTCGGATTATCAAGGCATGGTGATTGGCTTACCGAGAATGCATGAGTTACACATATGACGATACGCATACGTACCACTTTTCCGTCCAAGCATAGTTACTGCCATGAACATGACGTTAAGGTTGATTGGCAATGGAGGAAAAAGTTTCAGAGCTGATTTTTGGAGCCAAAATTTGTTGGCATTTAGTTGCAACCGTTCTACTAGTAAACATATTGATGCGCAACCCAGAAAATGTCTTTGAGTGAATGCGATGTGTTTCATTGGATCTGGTCAGCTTGCTTCGCAAGCCGAGCTCTATTCAATCGGTGGAAGAAAGCGGTGTTAGCAGCTCAAGCGCCCGCATACACGGCTCGCCGCTTCCGGCACAATTGAACACACCTGTTCCGAGCTGCAACGACACGTATGGTCCTTTCTTTCTCCTCCTTTGTCATATTCTCCCAGTTTGCAATCCTCGATAAGGTCTTGAAGTTATAATGAGACGATTATTTGTCCGAGCATCAAAATGGGTGGCTTACCCCATCACTATTCACTACTATCGGACCTAAAGCATCGAGTTTGACAGTCTCAGAGGACCCCAAGGTGACTTGTTTCGCATCATCGTTTGCTGGAGGCGCGATGAGAAGTGGAGTAGCACTTGACATCTGCTGGTCGTCATTTATCGCTTCAGACGGAGCCATCTCGGATTCTGCTTCAGGAGTATCAAATATCTGAGGCCAACTCTTGTGAGGACCTAAGCTGCCTATTGATGGACAGTGAACTGAACACAGAAGAAAAGTATTTGCTAGACCATTGGCAATTGCTAGAACGTTCCGAATGTAGCCTGGACCCTGTCGTGCGTGTTGTGACGGAATGAACCGAATACTAAAATCAGTCACGAAATCTGAACCAGGAATCATTAATCAGCAAAGGCCACTTCAACAGGTATCGGTTTGGGCAGGCCTCAGGCCTCAACATCGACATACTTGCGTATTCGCGGAGGTCTCACAGCGGCACTCCTCAATGTACTACGTATATATGCCACAGACGACATCGCTTACATGACCCTTCGTGAGTTCACATCGACAGTCATATCTAGAGGACGAGGTTCTCTGAACATCGCTTTAGACCCTTGCTTCGCCCAACCCCCACCACACAGAGCGCATGGACCAGCTATTCCATCGATCGCCGCCAAACCATGAAAACGTGCCGCGCAGTGCTTCCTGTGTCATGCAAGGACACTGAAAATAACTCTGAGAAAGATGAGGATGAGGAGTATAATTCCGAATACGAGGATTAGCTTGGTGACTCCATCAAAACATGTGTTTCCTCAGATTGAGAGGATGTACTTGGAAGTGGGCGCCCTTCAAGTGTATCGCTATTTTCCCAAACTGGACGGACCTGTACGATTCGCATGTGCGTATGGCCCACTAATACTATTTCACGACGGATATCTATGGTGATCAATAGCCACGCACGATCACTGCCGTCAGTCGGAGTCGAGTGCTTTTACGGACTTGGATCAATACTGCGCACGTGCGACGTTGTGCGATGCAGATGCTGGGGCTACTTCGATAGATCGAATGGAAGATACGACAAAAATGGCGCCGCGCCGAGTCAAGAGTTGTACGAGGAAGGAGCTATGGACATGCACGAAACCTTGGGCGGTATCCCACAATGCATGTAACTTCTGACTTACTAAAGATGCAGAAGAGGAGCGAGAAGATGCCAGGCAACGACGCGAGTAGGCAAAGGGTTCAACGACTCGCATGACGACTCCAAAGACGACGCATATCATCGCTCGAGGGATGGTGACTTTAATGATGAGTAAGAGGAGATCGATGACGATGGTTTATGAGTTTGAGGAAGACTTGTAGTACTGGAATTCAAAGAGACTAACTTGGACCGTACCAAGAGTTGATACCGATGATGACCGTGACAGATGGCTTGCATTTTAACGTGCCAACGCACAACTGCCTTAATATATGCGATACGCCTTGATTGAGTTGTTGGCCATAAGGACGAGACCAACATCAGGCTGGACTTCTGGACGCACATTCACAGTAAAGTTGAACGCTAAACCTACAGAACACTTGTACTAACCAGGGAAGAGTACAGGGGAGTTGGAAGTGCGGCTGCGAAGCTGCATCTGCACACCTTGGATTGAACGCACCCTTAATCTGACCTCCCTAAGGTGGTGTGATATTGGCGGGCCGCCACTGCGCATACTACGATCAACGGTTGATTACGACCCGGTCCGACAAGAACTGTCAAGCACCTATTTAGTCCTTTTGCTGTGACCAACGTAAAGGGACATTACTGACCATTGCCGCCACCGCCGAACACCTTCGCAGATGGCGAACATCAGGGTCATAATAGTGGGTGCTGGAATTGCGGGCCCCGTGCTTGCAGTTTTTTTGAAGATGAAAGGCTACGACCCAGTCATATACGAGAGACTTCCCGGTCCGGGAGAAGGCGGGATCGCGATCATGTAAACACCCTCGCTGCTCCTTTTCCTCGTCAACCCAATACTAAATGCTAGAGGCAGGCTGCAGCCCAACGGCATGCGTGTTCTATCACTCATTCCAGAGCTCCTGAAACATATACCCGGCCATTCTCCAGATAGGATGATTCACTGTTCCTGCTTGGATGAAGTGGAGGATATCCTCGTTGATAGCGATATTTCGCCAGCGACGACGCGAGAACGATATGGCTTTCCCTACATTGGAGTGCGGCGCCCAGAGTTTCAACAGCTTTTGATCGACACGGCCCAAAAGCATGGCGTCGAGATCAAGTGGGGCCACCAAGCCATCGAATTCGAGCAAAGCGAAGATGCAGTGGAAGTCAGGTTCGCGAATGGTACCAAGGACACAGCGAGCTTTGTCGTAGGTTGTGATGGGTTGCATAGCAATACCCGGATTGCGCTCTTTGGAAAAGAGAAGGCACACTTTACGGGAATGGTGCGGGTGAGCCCATTTCGGTGACGGTCCTGGCGTGGGGACTGATATTCAAGTGATTTGCAGGTCGGTGGTGTGTCTCCTACGCCGCCTGTCCTTCAAGGGAGCTTTGCCGTGGTAAACAACTACGGGGATGGTCGTCATATGATTGCGTATCCCGTTGCGGAAGACGAATATGCATGGTCGTAAGTGCGCCTTAATTACCTGTTCCAAGTTTGATTATCCTGGGAGTCAGCATCACAACTCGAGGAGCTGAGGCCAAGGAGAATTGGAGAATGCAGAACGCGGAGCAACAGAACGAAATCCGAAAAGGGCCTTTCTCTGCTTGGGGGTTTGGGGCCGGAGATTTGGTAAAGACCGGCCAGAAGATCGTGAGGGTAAGTTCCCTCGTGATATACTTGCGAGTGTTTGAAATGGACGTCTTCCAGTATGGTCTCTGTGACCGGCCCGAGCTTGAATCGTGGTTTAAGGGAAGGATTGTTCTTTTGGGCGATGCAGCTCACCCAACCACTCCGGTACGAAGGTCGCCATCCATTTTCATGGCGCTGATCGATATAATCGTATTTAGCATCTGGGCCAAGGTGCTAATCAAGCCTTCGAAGACATCTACCATTTTATGCGGCTCCTGGGGAAGCACAATCCATCTGCCGACCAGCTGTCGACAGAATTATTGTTACGAGTGTTCACTGATTACCAGGATCTTCGGCTACTGCGTACATCAGAGCTCGTAAGGAAGGCTAGACGACAAGGGGAGATTCGTGTGGTCGAAGGCATTGACGCATGTAGGGCTAGAGATGAAGCAGTCCGAACGCGATTTAATGATGACGTACTAGCGAGGAGGGCAAGCGACGAAATGTTATCCGGACCGTTTACCGAGAGCGAAATGTAGTTATTCTACGTGAATGTCTAGATCTTGTCATGCAGCCTGGAACGTCCACGATCGTCAGATTCAGAACCGCTGTAATGCATATTGAAAGAAATATCAATCGAAACTGGTAGTTCTAATTGAACCTACCTCGAGGGCTATAAGGAGTTCCAGCTTTTGATCTTCATCAACAGCCTCACTGTTCACTGCAAAGTTATCCTTGGAATACTCTTCTCTCAACTCACCACCAGTGACTAGCGTTGCCGCAGGCTCTTTCATTCACAATGCAGCATTCCAGAAACAGCCTCTCTTCCATCCCGCTTAGCGAGCTCGCGTCTACAGTCGTTGACCGTATTCCTCTCCTTCTCGAACAACTCCAAAGCCTGGAGGCGGAGGAAGCTTTCCTAGACACCAAGATCCTGCTACTACAAAACTTGCGGCATCCGAGATCCATGAGCGTCTCCATGGACGCGACAGAAGCGCAGCTGGGCACGAGTGACGCCGAAAATACGCTGAAAAAGAGACATCTAATGTCAGACGGTACGCGCCATCTCAAACGTATATTTGTTCAGGCTGAGCACTGAACGACAAAATAGGGACCCCAAAAAGGGATTCGGATATGTCAGGGACGAATTCTTCACGTCTCTCCACAACAGGCAGAGGAGGATTCGAAGAGAATTCTGACACGGTCTCGAAGAGAGGAAGATAGGACAAACATGTATAACGGACAATTGTCGCTTTTTAGTACTGTAGTAGTTCAGAACGTTCAAGCTCCTTGAAGTTCATCGAAATCTAAATATTACGATCACGTGAAGTCTAGCGCGTGCGCGAGCCAAGTTCGGTTCTTCTCCGACATTGATCCGAATCACTTATTCATCCCTCTAACGATCAATGTCAACCATGGAGCCCAGCAGCGCTGCTGAGCTCAGACGATGGCTCACTACCTATGGCGGTTTTATTCACCCATCAGTCTCTTTGTCCCAAGGTGCTCGATCTAACACGTAGATACTTTATATCCATTCCGCCGTTTAATTTCACCGCCAGACAAATTCGGACTCTCTGCTATCGCGCAAGACACCATCGATGCCGACACTACGATCGTATCTTGTCCATTTTCACTGGCCATCGACGTGGAGTGTTCCCTGCATGCCCTGACAGCGCTATTTGGCGAATCGACTCTCGTTGACCTGCAGTCGTGGTCGGAAAGGCAGCTTATTTGCACTTACTTATGTTTACACTGGATCTTCCCCGATTCAAGGTGAGTTAAACTAATACTGTCTGTCTACGTGCGTATCTGATAATCATAATACATTACAGTCAAATTCCCAATGTCCTTCGACATCTTCCCTACTTAAAAAGCCTTCCACCTCCGGACGCACTGCTAACGCCCCTTCAATTCACGCCATCTGAACTCGAGGCTTTCCGAGGAACCAACATCTACGGCGCTACCCGCGATCGTCGGGAAAACTGGAATGTTGAGTGGAACACATGTCGAACCTTTATCCACGCCGTTAATTCAGATTGGGCTGAAAGATACACTTGGTACGCATCTCCCGTGCTTGTTTTCTCCACGTACGTCTCTCAAACCAGATCAGGGACAAATATCTAAAAGCATCGACGTATCTTTCAACCCGCGCATTTCCGTCCACGCTTCTATCTCGATCTCCTACGCTGCAGACCACCTCCTCGAGTTATCCGTTCATGCTTCCTGGCGTGGATATCCTCAACCATTCTCGTGGACAGCCTGTTTCTTGGTGCACGTCGTATCCAGAAGGAAGTACGAAAGAAAGGGATGAGTCGGCCACTATTTCCATCATTTCGCATACCACGACGCCTCTTGGCGAAGAAGTCTTCAACAACTATGGGCTCAAAGCGAACGACGAGCTGATCCTCGGATATGGTTTTTCGCTGCCACAAAATCCGGATGATAAAATTACGTTACAGCTAGGTGGGTCTTCTAACAAGTGGGCGATCGGTCGTCTTGCAAGCGGTGCGGAAGGACTCTGGAACGAAGTGAGGCGCTTGGTGGCTGAAACCCCGGATGAGATAGGGTATGAGGACGATTTGGAAGCAGCACAGCTGTTGTTGGAAATGGTTCAGAAGAAGTGCGATTTACTTCCCGATCCCCCGGACGAGAACGATGCTGCCATACGCCCGGCGGTAAGATTGATGCTCAAACATTACCTAGAAGGTGGGTCGCCGGGAAAGTCATTGCGGTGTTTTCTGACGTTGTTTTGTAGGGCAACGTGACATTCTTACTTCATTGAAAATGCACTTTGAGGAGAGACAAGAGGCCGCGATAACGGCCGCAAGGGATGAAGGCATTGAATTAGTGTTCGATGAGGAATGAATATGGAGAATTTGAAAGAGGGTTCATTGGGGGCGCACACCCTAGGTGCCTACGACATGTGTAGCGATATGGAAAGATGTGTAAGAACCAGGTCTAGAAGAGATAGCCCAATGCCATGAGCATTCAGACTTCGGATGTACAGTCCTAGTCGAGAGTCAAGAGCGCTGGGGCCAACCAGAACAAAATTGCAACTAAGTCCCATATATATTGATCAATATTTGCGACACAACGAAAGGATAGTTTGATTGTATTTTCAGATTCTATTGAAAGACAACAGGGTGTATTTTTCATTTGGGGAAATGCAAGAAAATTACTGGAAAGTGTCAGACTGCACTGTGTTTCCCGGAAGCAGTAATCTACGTGGTTGTGCTGTGAAATCATGATCCTCATGGAGCTTGAACGTGATTAATATTAGCTTGGTTATAGATACTAAATGAGATACCTACCAACGAGGAATTTACATACAAGTCCAGATCATTCTCCGGGTCGCCCTCTTCGACATCACGAACCATCGGACCCGAGGCGATAAGCCACCAAGATGTCGCTATCGGATCTTTCCACTGCAAATTCCCCCAGAAACATAACATGACCACGAACTCCAACATCCACGCCAATGAAGAACCCAAAATTATGGCCAATTGTTTTAGAAGATCTTCGGTATGGATGTCATTAATTGGAGTTCCTGAAGATGCAGTGCTGCAACTTTACCTGTCCACTTCCACTCTGGCAGTTCCACGGTCCCACGATCGTACTGTGACCATTGCGCTAAGACGCACAACCACAATACCCAAAAGACCCAGCATAGTATGGAAAGACCGGATAAATCCTCTAGGAATATTCTGCGGGTAGATGGGATTCGCACTAGGACGACAGCGAAAAGCCAGGTTGCCGCCATGCTGACGGCAAAGCCCACTCCGGTCCAGGAAGGGAACGCTGCACTGTTCATGAAATTGATGGGCATGAGGAGGTGAGCCCAGATGATGGCATAATGATGTGCTAGTATGTGAAATGCCATTGTGATGGAAAGATTTAGATATGAGTTGTTAGTACTTGAAGCCAGAGGAACGAGGGCAAGGATGCGTAGTTTCGCGTGAAAGATTTGGATAGGGGTAGATATTGTACCCGCGGTGTGACCCGCCTCAGTGTGACCCGCAGTGCGGACTCGAAACGCCAGTCAAAAGCCCTGATTCACCCGTGCATTGCCTCTTAGTATCATTCGCGAACGTGATTTTCACTGCATCTTCGCTTTGCTCGAATCAATGGCTTGATGGCCCCACTTGATCTCGATTCTCGACGCCATGCTTTTCAAGGCCGTATCGATTAAAAGCTGTTGAAATTCTGGGCGCCACACTTGGGAAAGCCAAATCGTTCTCGCATCGTCGCTGGAAATATCGCTAATAGTAGTAGTCCGTCTTTCTTTTCAATGGGCTCGCTGTTCTCCTAGGTACAAGCGACACACTCAAAATCCAAACCCTGTGGATAACCATCCCCCTCCTCACAACCTCAGGTTGACCCGCAATTAAACATAAGCCTCTACCTCAGAAAACGCACCACCACCAATTTTTCATGTCAATTCCCATGCTTCGATGTTCTCTAGTCTGTCATCCGTCTCCACCTTTACTCTTATGCTGGCTGTGGTTCAGGAGGGAGAGCAGCAGGTTTGCTCGACGCGCTGATATCAGCATTGATCGAACTGTCCCTTTTGGTGTTGACGGCGAGATGGACAACGATGACGAATTTCAGGAGAATGTTGTTAGGTGAGTCCGATCCTAATCTTAATCCCACTTTCCCCTCCCGTATGATGTTGGGACAGAACTACACAGGATTTTGTATACGTTCGCGACGAGCTACAACGGTTCGTTTTCAGCTGCGCAGAAACGCAATCTTTGGTCTTTGGAGGGATTGCTATGATGCAAGGAGAAGATAACTAGTCTGATATCACATTTGTGACAATACCATTCCAATTTTTTTTCCTCTCTTGCTCAAGTCAACAAGCCACGAAGTACGTGCTCTGATCTCCGTTCGCATGCATCGACACCTACATAGTATTCTCAAATCAATCTTCATCTGGTACCCGGTTTCGACGACTGATATCAGCTTGCCATTCAGGACAATAGTACTGTTTTGATGCGAGTCTTGTTTCGGCTCCTGTATGAGATTGTTGATGTTCATGCCATGGTCGACGCTTTGTCGCAGTTGCAGAAAAGTGAATGCGTAGTATACATTTCGACGGAGATGATGAGGCGTTCGTGTGACATCCGTATCGTACATAAAGAACGGCTCGAAATATATTAAAGGGAGTAGGTAAAGCATCTCGAAAGTCCGTCTTTCAGATTCTGTTTAAATACAACAGGGTGTATTTTTCATTCGGGGAAATGCAAGAAAATTACTGAAAAATGTCAAATTCCACTGTGTTTCCCGGAAGCAGTAATCTACGTGTTTGTGCAGGATCCTCATGGAGCTTGAACGTAATATTAGCTTGGTTATAGATACTACATGAAATACCTACCAGCGAGGAATATGCAAACAAGTGCAGATCATTCTCCGGGTCGCCCTCCTCGACATCACGAAACGTTGGGCCCCAGGTGATAAACCACCAAAATGTCGCTATCGGATCTTTCCACTGCAGATCCCCCCAGAAACACAACATGACCACGAACTCCAACGCCCACGCCAATATAGAACCCAAAAATATGGGCAATCGTTTTAGAACACCTTTGGTATGCATGTCATTAATTGGAGTTCCTGAAGATGCAGTGCTGCGACTTTACCTGTCCATGTCACCATCTCCAGTTCCACGGCCGCACCATCGTACCATTGCAATAAGAAGAATGTCCACAATACCCAAAAGACCTCGCATAGTATGGAAAGGCCGGATAAATCCTCTAGGAACATTCTGCGGGTAGACGGAATTCGTACTAGGACGACAGCGAAAAGCCAGGTTGCCGCCATGCTGACGGCAAGGCCCACTCTGGTCCAGGAAGGATATGCACTGTTGATGAAAATATTGATGTACCCGAGGAGGTAGGCCCAGAGGAAGGCATATCGATGTGCTACTATGTGAAATTCCATTGTGATGGGCGAATCTAGAAAGATGAGTTGATAGTACTTGAAGCTGGAGGAACGAGGGCAAGGGATGCGTAGTTTCGGGTGAAAGATTTGGATAGGGGTAGATATTGTACCCGCGGTGTGCTACATAGTATTCTCTTCATCCAGTAGTATCCGGTTTCGACAACTGGTATTAGCTTGCCATTCAGGACAATAGTACTATTTTGATGCGAGTCTTGTTTCGGCTCCTGTATGAGATTGTTGATGTTCATGCAATGGTCGACGCTTTGTCGCAGCTGCAGAAAAGTGAATGCGTAGTATACAATTCGACGGAGATGATGAGGCGTTCGTTTGACATCCGTATCGTACATAAAGGACGGCTCAAAATATATTAAAGGGAGTAGGTAAAGCGTCTCGAAAGTCTGTCGAGAGATGTAAAGGCATGCCACTCGTGGAGCGTGAAGGATTAGAAGATCTAATGATGACCATCCGTATATTCAGGAGAGAGACAACCGAGAAAGAGCCAGAATCGAGTCCAGAGTCCAGCCTGTCTTATCGTTGCATCTGGACGTGAGGGCGTTGAAGTCGTGGCTATGCCAATAGCATCGTCAACGGCAGGTGCGGTGGATGAACCAGAGATGGCAGTCTGTGGTTGCGAAGATGACTGGGTGGCATTGAGCTTTGGAGGCCGTGAGCTACTTGCGGTAGGGATCTTCGAGGGAAATGATTTTCTCCGTTTCTCCCTCGCGCAAGCATTTCTCTACGTGAAATCAGGTAGTGTAAGAGTATCAAGGAAGAAAAGGAACGTACACGTTTGCTCTTCGCATACGGGACCTCAACAACTGCGGGACCGGGTCCTTGAAACGCAATGCCTTCACCTCTTTGTCTGCGCCGTTTCAAAATGTTTCGAGCCCAGTCGAAAGGGGAGGATGGTGACGTAGCATGAGCACTGGATGGGTTGCGGTTGCGGTGGAACAGACGGCTGAGACGTGTGGTGCCTGGTGATGCTGAGGAGTGGGGGCAGTTTCGTGCAGAGGACTGAGAACACAGAGGTCAGGAAAATCAAATCAATGTGATAGTAATAACGTACATGAGAACGATTTGGTGGGACTCCATCGAAAAAACCTTGGGGTACCCGATAAGCAGGCGGACGTCGTTGGACCGGAAGTCGTGTAGCACTAGCCTAGAGCATACTATATAGTGAGAACAACGAGATCTTTGATGAAAGTGTCACGTACCTGGAGTACCGACTGGTTGGTCTGGCAGAGCGTGTTCAGCTGTGAGGATATACAACAAGACGTGCACATCAACTCACCTTTGAATTCAAAAGTAGGTCGTCGAGGCCAGCTTCTTTTACAATCCCAGCAACATCCCATGTGTACGTGTTTGTGTCGCAGCAGGCAGTAGCTAGTAGCTTTCCATCTCCTGAAAACGATACGGAGTCAACGAAGTTTACATGCCAGAGGGGCGGACCGATGGGTTGGCCAATGTCGAGGTTCCACAATAGCGCTGTATTGTCGTACGATGCGCTTGCGAGGATGTGGTCATTCGGAGATGTCACAATGGCCCATATCTGGTTGGTGTGCGCTTGCAGTAGTGCGGTTTGCTTCCATGTTTTGGTATTCCATGTCCTAATGGAGTGATCGTCTGACCCAGATATAAGCGTTTTTCCGTCCTTGGTATAAGCCAGGCAACCCACTGTCCATGTATGTCCTTTGAGAGTTGCGACAAGCTCGCCTGTCTTTGTGTCCCAGATTTTGATGGAGCCCTCGATGGGTTGTCCAGTCCAGGGTCCATCATGTCCACCAGTCGCAATCATGTTTGGTGAATAGACGACTGCCCACAGGAAGACGTGCCCAGTCTCGATTGACTCGAGGGTTGTCTCTCTGCTTTCCACGCCCCATTGCCTTGCAATCCCATCGCCAGATCCGCTCAACACTCTCTGACCATCTCGACTCCAGCAGACAGACACCACTGTCTCTTTGTGCCCCATCCATCTAGTGATGATTTTGCATGTGTCGATGTCCCACAACTTCACTATGCCATCCTTACTCCCGCTAACCACTTTCTTCCCGTCCGGAGACAACGCTATACAATACACTTTGTTGGAGTCCGAGGCCGAGAGATCCGAGATAGGACGAGGGGAGGAATGATAGGTCCGAGCGCACGCCATTTTGGACATAGACGAGCGACGTATGACGTCGGCTCGTGTGCTGCAAATCTTTTTCAATATTTCTCTCTCATATCCAGTAACCATGCACTCACCTTAAAAGGAGCAGCTCCAGCGTCCGAACATCTCAGTCGTTTCAAACGAACTGAGATGTGGGTATATTCTCGTACCCGCCATTTACGTTAACTAACGGCTCGTAGTTACCTTTGTGTTCTAGGTACATAGATCAATAGAGTCGTTTCAAACGAACTGAGATTTACCTTTGTGTTCTAGTGATACACTCCTCGTCGTTCTCGGTCCCGCGCTCGTAATATCGCCTTTACACTTCACCTTCACCGTCTCTCCAGTCTTCTCCTATCTGTTTCCCGGTCTTCAAGTTCCACACTCGCAGCGAGCCATCCGATGAACAAGTCATGATTCGCTGTCCACCTGGCAGGTGTATGATGCCTGGGACCCTTTCGGTGTGTCCTTCAAATTTTTGGCGGGGTGTTATTCTTGATGTCTCTTTCGTTTTAGCAGTGAATAAAACCATATTCCAGAATCTTGACTAGAGCAGTGCAGCGCCGTCTCAGCTTTCATCGATCAAATTTCAGAATTATCACTTACGAGGAGGTTTTCTCAGCAGCGATAGTCAGGCAGCGGGGAATGATGGTTCTGGTGCCAAGTAAGAACTGCCACTGCTTACTGGTATATTTCTGTACATGTTGTATTCTGGTGTTCGCTTCACAGCAGCATAGGCTGTGCACCTAAAGCGCCTAAACACGTGATCACATTCCGTTAAACGCCCGGTGGTGAGATTGATGCTCCTAGAAGGTGGGTCATCGGGAAAGTCGTTGCGGGGTTTTCTGACGTTGTTTTGCAGGGCAGCGTGACATTCTTACTTCATTGAAAATGCACTTTGAGGGGAGACAAGAAGCTGCGATAGCGGCCGCAAGGGATGAAGGCATTGAATTAGTGTTTGATGAGGAATAATACGGAGAATTTGAAAGAGACTTTGTTGGGGGCGCACACCCTAGGTGCCTACGACATATGTAGCGATAAGGAAAGATATGGAAGAGCCAGGTCTAGAAGAGATAGCCCAATGCCGTGAGCATTCAGACTTCGGATGTAAAAATTTTCTCGTCAAGTTGCAAGAACAACAAATCAGGATCCTCGTGGAGCTTGAACGTAATATTAGCTTGGTTATAGATACTAAATGAAATACCTACCAGCGAGGAATATGTAAACAAGTGCAGATCATTCGGCGGTTCGTCCTCATCATGAATCATCGGACCCAAGGTGATCAACCACCAAAATGTCGCTATCGGATCTTTCCACTGCAAATTCCCCCAGAAACACAACATGACTACGAACTCCACCTGCCACGCCAACATAGAACCCAACAATATGGCAATTAGTTTTAGAACATCTTCGGTATGCATGTACATTAATTGGAGTTCCTGAAGATGCAGTGCTGCGACTTTACCTGCCCATGTCACCATCTCCGGGTTCACGGTCCCATGATCGTACCATTGGAAGACGCATGTCCACAATGCCGAAAAGATCGAGCATAGCGTGCAAAGGCCGGATAAATCCTGTAGTAACATTCTGCAGGTAGATGGAATTCGTACTAGGACGACAGCGAAAAGCCAGGTTGCCGCCATGCTAATGGCAAAGCACACTCCAGTCCAGGAAGGGAACACTTTAGTGCTGACGAAATTGATGTTTATGAGGAGGTGGCCCCAGATGTGGGCATAATCATGTGCTCGTAAGTGAAATGCCATTGTTGTGGGCAAATTTAGAAAGATTTAGACTAGAAGCGTGTACTTTCAAAGATTTGGATAAGGGTAGTAGGTATTGTACCCCTGAAAGAACGACGGTCCGTTGTATGACAATTGCCATAAATAGTATATCATGACATCAATGTTTCAGTTCATCGCTTGGGACCTGCCTACTTAAGCTTGAGTCCTACCGTAGGTAGTACGGCAATTTTAATCTTTAAATATTTTCATCATGCCCAGATACTGCAGGACAGTTACCTTTGTCAAGCCCATAGTACCCCTATCACTGATAGCCGAGGCTGCTACCATCTTTTTAATCCAAAAAATCGTTCCTCATTTCATTATAGAGACACTCATAGGTTTGATGGCCCTTTTATGGACCCTGGCTGTTTTCCTTAGCGGAGGCCGCAGAACCAGAAGGTTCATGCAGGCAGGAAGCACGTTCGACCACCTGTGCACTGGTTTCACGTTTGCTTGGGGTTACATGCTTTGGATCAGTTGGCCAAATCTAGAAACTTCAACAGGTAAGTTCCGCGACAGTGGCACTGAATACACTTCTAATTCCATAATAGTTCCCGCACCATTCAATTTACCTGTGGGGCTGCTAGCCACACTACTCGGTGCCGCAATCTTCGTGTACTCAGTGGCTTTTTTCTCTCGCGGAAATATTCACTTCCGACATTCTCTATTTGGCCAATACATCTCATGGCCTTTCCAAGACGTCGAAGAGCCTCCTTCAAATGTATGTGTAGGTATTAATACATATTAGTAAGTGTGTTTCACTTATTAGTACTGATCATGAAGCTAATCATAAGGAATACTACTAGGAAAGCTTATCACAACATTTCCAGACACCGTCTCCGGAACCCCCTAACCTTCCCCTTTTACCCTTGCACTCATCATCCAGCACTGGTCTCCAGAACCCCCTACCTTTGCCCCATCCCACCCCCATGATGCTGGTCCGTCTCCGGAACCCCCTACCTTTGCCCCTTCCATCCCACCCCCATGACGCTGGTCCGTCTCATTCCGTCCAGCGCTGGTCTCCGGAACCCTCTACCTTTCCCCCTTCTATCCCACGCCCATGACGCTGGTCCATCTCATTCCATCCATGAAACTCTGGGCGCTGCACTCCAATATTAGCAAAGCCAAATCTTTCTTGCATCGTCGCTGGGAATATCGCTAATAGTAGTAGTAGTCCGTCTGTCTTTTCAATAGGCTCGCTGTTCTCTGTGATGCCGATGGAACACGAGGCTGCACTCTTATCGGCAACTTCCTACTAGTAGCTTGCCAGTGTCTAACAACCTCGTTCTCTGAATTTTAAGCGGAACAAGGACATGTTGGCGCACAGAGTGCACGTGACGACGCGCCAACTGATAGTAGGATTCCATCCACAGACTCGTATATATAGTTGAACCATCTTGTACCATCTCTTCCCTCAGTCCGTTCCACCGAGACTGAGGGTACGTCTGTTTTGTTCTCCCGCTACGATTACTAGACACTAACACGCTACGTACTAGTGTTTATCTGTGTCTAGGTACTTAATTCAGTCCGTTCCACCGAGACTGAGGTGTTTATCTGTGTCTAGGTTAAACAGGTTATGAGCCCTGCTCACTCGTAAACGAGTAGCAGAAACCATCTAGACAACACAGGTTGCCCAGGAACAATCACGCCAGGCCACCGTACCTCAGGTGTGCGGTGCATTACGTCACTATCTTCGATCCTCGTCATCGTACTTCGATCTTCGTCATCGAACCGTCTCGTTGCTTCCCTTTTCGGGCGAGAAGCTTCTGAGATATCCTATATAACTCGTACTCGTGGGGTTCTATCTCTGATTGTTCTTTCTTCTCAACTTCTTTGCTCGTCATGCCGGCGCACACTCGTACAAAGAGTACCGTTAATCCCGGCACCGCTAGCACCGCGATCAGTTCTTCCCCCGTCGTCATACCTGCCGTCACGGCCATAACTCTCAGTCAAACCGATCTGGAGAAGATTGAGGTTCTGGACCGCGGTAAGAATAACTGGGGGATTTGGTCCGACAAGATGGAGAATTATCTTCTTCTGAAACACGGGGGTGGTTATATCCTCGGACTCATTATGCGTCCCGATCCCTCCATTGATCCTGCGAGCGCGTCCCACTGGGACCTTAATAACTTATGTATCATTGCAGCCTTACGCACGCGGTCCAGCTCTGAAGAACAGGAGTTCCTTCGCACCTTCACCAATGCCTATCTGGCCTGGAATGCGCTCAAATCTCGTCACGAGAAAGTCGGCCCTATCGCACAGATCTTACTCATCCAGCAGGCCCTCGCTGTTCGTTACCGTCGCTCAGAACGCCTCGCTACAACTAGCACTCAACTCAGTGAGGTGGTCAGGCGCATATATGCCATAGGCCTACCTAAAGAAGACGACTTCTTAACGATTATGATGCTTAACGCCATGTCAGATGACCTCCCCCACGTTCGCAACCATATCGCAGATGCTCTGGCCACCAGCACCACTACCAGTGTCTATGGCCCTTCCAACATTCGTTCCCGTCTCGATGTCGAGCAGCAACTTATCGACACCGCGAAGGGGCATTCCGGGGATGTTGCTCTCCTTGCCAGTGGTAAAGGGGGCAATTCCCATGGCGGCCGGTCCAAGACCTGTACTGAGTGCGGTCGTCAGGGCCACTCATACTGTTGCACCAACTGCAATAGTTGGGGGCACTACGCTAAGGATTGTTTTGGTAAGGGTGGCAGTATGGAAGGCAAACGGGAGGAGGTCCTTGCACGGAAACGTGCGGCTCGTGAGGCCAACAGCAAGGGGGCAAAACCCGCTGCCAAGCCTGCATCCACCGGGAAGCCGGGTGCCGTTCGTTATGATACTGGTGGACGCGCATATATCCTTGATGGCGAGACCCACGAGGCTATCTATATTGCCACTCCCCCTGCTGCACCTCCTTCCTCGTCATCTGACACTGACTCTCGCGAGTTTGCAGGCCTCGCCTGTGATACCATCACGCCTGCCTTCATCCGGGAGCTGTCAGAGCTTGACAGTGACGAACTGGCCCTCTACTCCGCTTTGGACACCTTGCAGGCCAGTGTTGACTGGCACAAATGCAGCCAACCTGTTGACTTCGCTGGCATCACCTATAAGGCGCCAAATCAGCGTCAACGCACTATCGTGGATCCTTCCATCGTGCCTTTCTTCCTTGACAGTGGAGCGTCTGTTCATATCAGTAACACTGAGTCTGACTTCTTCAGTCTGCGTCCCATTCCTCCTCGCACCGTCAGTGGCATCGGCGGTTCTTCCATCCAGGCGCTCGGCGTTGGCACCCTTCGTTTGGTTGTCTCCAAGGGGACTCACATCACTCTCGACAACGTGTTATTCATTCCTACGGCTACTGTACGTCTCATTTCCGTCTCTAGTCTATGCAGTGCACACCGTTGCATCGCGTCCTTCGACGCCTCTAGCTGCTGGGTTACTGCTCGTAGTGGCTCCCGCATGCTTTCTGGCTCCCTTACATCCCGTCGTCTGTATGCTCTTTCGGGTGGGCAGCTCTCTGCGGACCACGTTTTCCTGGCACAACGCGTCCCTGACCTTCAGTCTTGGCACCGTCGTCTTGGCCACGCCAACTATCGCGCCGTGTATGATCTTGCCCGCTCTGGTAATGCCACTGGTATGCCTATCACCCTATCCACCTCACCTCCCGTTTGTGACGCTTGCATTCTTGGCAAACAGACTAAGTCTATTGTCCCGAAAGTTCGCACAGGTGTTAGGGCTACTAGGAAACTGGGTATAGTCCATGTGGATCTCATGGAGCATCCTGACACTGTATCCGCCGCCGGAAATAAGTACATAATGGACATCATTGATGATTTCTCGTCGTATGCTTGGTCCATCCCCTTACCTGCTAAATCCGATGCTTTCCCTGCGCTTCAAGCCTGGGAGAAAGCTCGCGAGCTCGAAACCTCCTCCAGAGTCGGTATCTACCGGTCTGACAATGGCGAGCTCAAGTCTGAGGCCATGCGAGAGTGGCTCCTCTCGCGTGGTACTCTTCACCAATTCACTGCGCCCTATACGTCGGCGCAGAACGGTCGTGTTGAGAGATTACACCGCACCTTGATGGGTAAGGCACGCGCTATGCGCTCTGCTTGTGACGTTCCCGTGAATCGCTGGGACGAATTTGTTCTAACTGCCTGCTATCTGTCCAACCGCACGCCCGTCTCTTCGCAGGCTGGTCACACGCCCTATGAACGATGGCACGGCACCAAACCCGATCTCAGCCACCTTCGCGAGGTGGGCTGTCGCGCGTTTGTGCTTGTTCAGAACCGTCACAACCCCAAGGTTTACGATCGTTCTGTTGAATGTGTACTCATTGGTTATTCTCTTGACTCTAAAGCTTATCGTTGCTACCACCGGGCCTCTCATAAGGTGTTCGTGTCATACCACGTCTCATTTATTGAGTCGCATACTTCCGCTAATGCACCTCTTCATCCCGGTATCTCCCACGATAATGCTTCTCTGCAGGCTTCTCAGCCTGTCCCGTCGCAGCGTGCTTCAGTCACTGAAGTACCAGACGAGGATGACCCACCTCCCATTCCTATTTCTGTTGAGCCTCCTGTGCCTCCACCCCGGCGATCTGCCCGTGCCCCCATGCCTTCTGAACGACGCTGTGATACTGAAGGTATACCATACGTAAATGCTACTCAGCGTCATGCTTTAGCTTCTCTGGCTGCCGCTGACCGAACTCACGCCTTGCCGAGCATTGCTGAGTCTGCTTTCACCACGTCCCCCACTGTCAATGACCTCGCGGACTTGGAAGCTGAGATTGCTTATCTCACGTCCGTCTTTGCAGCTACACCTGATGATTTTGAGCACGAGCACCCTTCCGATCCTGTCACTTACACTGAGGCCATGTCTTCTCCTCATGCGGCTGCATGGACTGAGGCGATGCGCGACGAATTCAAGTCACTTCACGATCTGGGTGTCTATAAACTCGTCCCTCGTGCTACTGTCCCTACCGGTCGCAAGATTATGAAAGGGCGTCCTGTCTTCAAGCTGAAGAGGGATCAGGCAGGCAATCCAGCTCGGTTCAAAGCTCGGTATGTATGCCGAGGCTATTCCGCTGTCTGGGGTCAGGACTATACCAAGACCTCTGCACCTACTGCGCGTCTCGAGTCGTTTCGCATTCTGGCTCATCTTGGCGCTGCTCTCGACTGGGAAATCGAACAACTGGACATTAAGACAGCCTTCCTCTACGGCCTTCTCGACTCCGACGAGATCTGTTATATGGAACAGCCCAAAGGTTTCGTCGAGCCTGGCTATGAGGATCATGTCTGGGAACTCCAAAAAGGTCTATACGGCATGAAGCAGGGTGGTCTCATATGGAATCGTACACTCAATGACGCTATGCTATCTTGGGGCTTTGCTCGTCTTAAGAGCGAACATTGCATCTATTACCGTCGCACCAGCTCTGGCATACTCCTCGTCGCTGTCCACGTCGACGACTTCTTCACCGTCGGCAGTTCTAAGGCAGTTATCTCTGATTTCAAAACTCAACTGAAAACTAAGTGGCAGGTTTCTGAACTCGGGGATGCGCACTTCTGTTTGGGCATCGCTATTGCGCGTGACCGACCCAATCGCACCATCTCACTCTCTCAAACTGCCCTTATTGATCGAGTTGTATCACAATTTGGCCTTCAGAACGCTGTCCCTGTCTCCATCCCTATGGATCCAGGTCTTCATCTTTCCCGGCGTGATCACTCCCCTCGTACCGATGCCGAACGTGATCTCATGGCACGCACACCTTATCGTTCCCTCGTAGGTTCCCTTATGTACCTCGCCATCGGCACACGCCCCGATATCGCATACGCTGTTCAACAGCTTTGCAAATTCCTCGATTCTTACGGGCGTGTCCACTGGGAGGCCGCCAAACGGGTCGTTCGATATTTGAAGGGTACTCGCACACTCTCTCTTGTACTTGGTGGTGATCACACTGCCCGCCTTCTTGCCTATACTGACAGTGATCTTGGAAGCTGTGTCGACTCCCGTCGTTCCGTTAGCGGATATTGCTGTTCCCTTGGCGGTGGGTTCGTCACCTGGAGCGCGCGTCAGCAGAAGACCATTGCACTGTCAACTTGCGAGGCAGAATACGTGGCTGCTTCTGAGGCTGGTAAAGAGATTGCGTGGCTCCGTATGCTTCTTCTCGAACTCGATTTTCCACAACTTTCGGCGTCTCCGTTGATGTGTGATAACAACGGCGCTATCGTTCTCACCGAAGACTCTTCTTTTCATGCACGGGTCAAGCACATTGATATGGCTCACCACGCCATTCGCGAACGGGTGACCCGCCGTCAACTCAAACTTCATTATGTGCGTTCCAAAGATAACATTGCCGACATCTTCACAAAGGCCTTGCCACGGAAGGATTTCGATCGCCTGCGCACATTCTTGGGCCTACGGTGAATCATTCGAGGAGGAGTTACTTGTCGTGTCGAGGAGGAGTGTTGGCGCACAGAGTGCACGTGACGACGCGCCAACTGATAGTAGGATTCCATCCACAGACTCGTATATATAGTTGAACCATCTTGTACCATCTCTTCCCTCAGTCCGTTCCACCGAGACTGAGGGTACGTCTGTTTTGTTCTCCCGCTACGATTACTAGACACTAACACGCTACGTACTAGTGTTTATCTGTGTCTAGGTACTTAATTCAGTCCGTTCCACCGAGACTGAGGTGTTTATCTGTGTCTAGGTTAAACAGGACACGCCTTCGGTCGTCTGTTTTCCAACTTCATTCGTCTCCGCAAATAGACACAGCGTATCTCTTCGCGTTCTGACCCTCGACAACGCTGTGTAAAACCATGAGCAAACGGATCCTTGACACGCAGATCTGAGTGGAGATTGTCTTCGATTTACTGTCCACAACGAACGGTTTGGATGGAACGAAAAGTTTATGCGTGGGATGCAGTGGCTTTCGAACATGCAGTAATACAGCATAGAACGCAATTGCGCCTGATCCCGGCGGTATCTCGTGCTCGGGCAAAGGTGTTTTGGATGCCCTTTAGGATAGTAACAACGTGCTCGCATATTTTGTTGTGGGCCAGCGATGCATTGAGACACCCGTTTTCTTGCTTGAGTGAAAAGGGGCCACGCGAAGTTTTAGACTCCGTGCTTGACAGTGACGCGCATGCCACGAACACCTCGCGAAAAGTATGATGAATAACCCATCCATTCCTTAAACAGAAAATATCGACCAGACGACATGTATGTGTACCACACATGGAAGGCTGCTAACGGCACCGAGCAAATATGTACATGCGCATGGTGATGTCAAGTACATTAGAACAACCCTAACAAGTCCTCCTGGGGCTGCGCATTCTGAGCCGGCTGGGACGGTGGCGCCGGCGACCCTCCAAATCCTTCGAAAGGCGAGGACAGGGATGTCACTGTCGGCGATAGCGCCGTTGACAGTGATCCTGCGCCCGTATCCATAGTTTCCATACCACCGAAGATCGACACAAGGTCGTCTAGTGGATTCGCGGAAGTGCCTGACAGGAAGTTTGCTGCAGCGGGTGTCGAAGGAAGTATTTGAGTAGCAGCGAGTCCAGAAGGCTGCTCATCCTGCGCGGAATCATCACCAAGGTCGAGAAGATTCTCTGCTTGTTGGCCAGCAACAACCGTCTGGAGGGCTTTCTGAGCATCTGAAATTCTGTAATTACACCATGAGAGTCGTCAATTCAGTAGAAACAAACAAAACTGGCCAGTGGGCACTCACTCTGATCCTTTGCGTTGCACTGAGTCGGCACCAACCCGTCCGTGACCAACAAATGTTTGAGCAGGTTTGTGGTAAACACTTGCTAATGATGATATCTCGCCGAGGAGCTCTTCAAGCAACGCGGGCGAAACCGTTGTTCTCGGGATAGATATTGGTGGCCGATGAGCAAGGACAACAGCCTAGTTTACGTTGATTAGCACCATCGACCAAGGCTCAGAAATTGTTCACACCTTCGCTGCGCCAGGGTCTGTTGACAAGAGTCTCCAATATATGTAAGCGCGGTCCCGCACATCTGGTGAATCGCAATCCTTCGTTGCTGTATTCAACACACGCTGAACGACTCCCTGGGACGAGTCAGGTTTCTTCAAGAATAGCTTGACTACTGCAGTTAACGTTTGAAGTTGAACCTATTGTGCAAGATCAGTACTTGTAGCACTAGTTTAAGGTAACACTGAAGTCAAATACCTGGTACGACTCCTCGATGAACGAGTCAACAAATATCCCCAACAGTTCATCCGCGTTGTCGATCTTATCGGCATACTCGCCAATAATCCAAATCAAGGACGTTTTCGCTTCTGGCTCGTCCAGCTTTTCTAAATTAGCGCAGAGTGTAGGGATTACACCTTCGTATGTTAAGGGGTACTTCCTGAAGATATCCTAAAAGGAATGTCATTACGAAGGCCACAAAAAGCTAGATATCACTGCGCACCTTCATGACAACCACGGCTTCTTGGACCACATAGCTGACGCGAGTGTTAATGAGCTCTAACAATACGTTCACACAACGTTCTGCTGCGCTCTCAATTAGAATCGCTGTCTGGCCAATGGCTTTGATGCTCTTCGGACAAAATCGACGTCAACCTCTGACGAGTATCTGACCAGCACGGTCAGCAATGCAAACCACAGAAATTGCTGCGACTCACTCTTTCAGTTCGCTCAACAAAGCATCTACGTTGCTATCACTGGCCAATCGGACCATGATATCAAGTTTCTCGATCTTGACATACAACGGGTCATTGTATTTGCAGAAGAATACCCTCATTTCGTTCGAAAGGAGGTCGGATCGTTTTTGAAGGAGAAGGTTGATATTCCGCAGCGCGACCCATTGTACCTCGGGCGGGGACGATAGCAGGGTGACTATCGGTGGTGCCATCTTGCGGATCAACTGCTCAACGAGATCGTCTCGTCAAACATTGCGTATGTGGATCATGATGACCTTGAGATGCGAAGGTCAAGTCATGACAAGGGCCGGATGAGCGACACTGTGTACCTTCATTGCGGCAAGAACAACACTACCATTTACATGCTGGAATTGAGGTACGACGCGTTCGCAGATGTGCTCACTCTCTTTGTCGTCTGTCGCGTCATACCGTGCTAGAGCATTCAAAATTGCGACTCGACCCCATTCTGAACACTCGTTGAGGGCGATAAGTAGTTTGTTCAGTATAGCGGAGGTGATGGAGAATACGGCGGGATCGGAAGTAGAGTCAGATGGTTGGTTGGAGGTTGCTGAGATGTGGATGTCTGTGAGTGCTGCGACTGTATTCGCCACGACCTAAATGTAGATGAATCCTACTCGGTAAGACAGAAAGATATAAGATTACCATAGGGTTGCTATCCGAAATCATATCACGAAGCTGATCCAAAAAACCATTCTCGATGACAAGCTCGGGCTTGAGATCATACAGCTTTGCAGCGCAGAGCGCAGCAGTCTTTCGAACATACGGGTTGTGATCTCGCAAGGCGCGTTGAAGAGGGTCGCATAGATAGTCTATAATTTTCTCTGCACGCAGACACCCCATAGTTCGAATCGCCAGTGCGCGTACGAGAGGATTGGGATCCTCGGAGTCCTTGACGAAGGTGTTCACGGCCAATATGACGAGTTCTGGCTGTGTCTTTGCATAGTTCATGAGATATAGATATACGAGCTTCTTCTGTTCGAGGTCATCTGTCTGCATATTCTTGAGGACATCGGGGAACAAGCCGCTGACGTCTAGGATGTTTTAAGCGCGGTGGGCAGATTGAGCGAGAAAGTGCAGCACCTTTACCGACGGTCATAGATGCTATGACACGCTTGATAGCATCTTTTCGTTTATCGCGGTACTCGCTATTGAGATCCACGCTGAGCATCAGTGAATTGATGAGACCTTGATATTGTAGCCGTGCGAACTGTAGAAGGATACAATTCTGCTCCTGCTAAGTAATATCATATATACTGCGAAAAATTTGAGCTGTAAATACATAGCTATTGATGCCTGTACATGCAGAGTAGCATGAACAGTCCACGACAATATCGTCACATTCCTCCATTGTAGCAGATGAGGGGTGATAGTTTGCTTGTACTAGGGGTCGGCGTTGCCGACTAATAACCTTGCTCCGGTTGTTCCCGCGTCGTCGTTTTGTTTTCTCATCCCCGATTTTATTCTGTACTATGTACATGCTTGTCGCCTAGTGTTACATGTATCAAAGGGACGATATCAACTCAACATCGAAATACAATAACAATTTGGCCTTCACTTTGTGTTTCTGTACTTCAGTGAGCAAATGAACCCGAATAAGTAATCCGAATCATACTACTTGCGCAACCTTTTGCAGCTGTGCGCGGCTGAGCTGGCAAAGGGTAGCTTCATCGGTGTCGGTTGACGATGGACGGGACATTTCGTCGTTGGATGTATCTCATGTTGGCTGATTAGTAATGGTCTTTCGTTTTGCGCAGTGTAGGATTTAATGTATCATGTTCGTCACTTCAAGGTACATGCAGAGTCGATTGGTTCAAGCCGAGATCTCGGATAGAGATCAATAGAGACAAATAACTAAGTACGACATACTCGATATTTTGGTCGTTGACGGTCTGGATATTGATGCTCAAAACCAATCTTCGACGTCCAATGCTATTCATCATGATAAAGGTCGAAGAGATGTTGCTGCATCCCGTTCTTATTCCCATCGAATCTCACACAGTACATGGCCTCGCAAACGTGCGAACCTCAATAGTCACACGGCAATAGCTGGATGGATTTAGCAGTGTCAACAAAATTTTAAATGATTTAAAACGCTGTAGGTGTTACGCTGTAATGAGAACTCATGTCACCGTCATCGCTAGGGAACTCCACGGGTAAACCCGTGGGTGTGCGCAGTCGGACCTGTACCCGTACCTGGAGATATACCCATACCCGTGGTGCGGGTACGGGTTTGCTTGTGGGTATCAGCCAAACGGACCCGGGGTATTACCCGCGAGGGGTATACCCGCGGGTCACTACGAAGAGCATTGTAATGAATTGTAACAACAAATGTAATACTAATCTACTTGGACTCTGTCCCAACCCTCATTCATTGCTTCCTCTTCGCCAACAACATCTGGGAGCTTAGACGCGTGAATGATATCCTCAGATTTGACCAGGCCTAACTCGTTCCATAAGCCGACACAAAGCAGCGCACGTGTCGACTGCGCCGATAAACGATTTCTGACATGTGACAGGACAAGACGCCCACGACTGAAGAGACGTTCAACGTCTACAGAAGTAGCTATAGGCAATGTAAGCTTACAAGGCATTGAACATAATAATGCCACATACCAGGGATAGTTAGATAATCAATGGCCATGTGCGACAGGTGGGGGAATGATTTGCGACGTTCTTGCCACCAAGCGATAGGGTTGGTGACATGTTCCACGTCCGTACTAAGGTAACGGTCGAGTTCGGAGCCCGAGTTAGTAGGTTTGGGGACTGCAAGTGCGGGGAGGTTGTCAAAAATGTTGTCGCTCTAAGATTGAGTCAGTACAAACGCTAAGTAAAAAGCAAAAAAGAAAAATACCATCAATATATTATCATTTGACTCCAAGACATCCGCCTCACGCCCCAAATCAGAGTCGGCATCAAGGGACAGGTATGAATGTTCAAATTCCTTGTGCACAAGTTGCTCTGCAGTTTGGATCCAGTTGTCTTCCCAGTCTGCTGCCTTGAAGTATAATAGCTTGTGTTGGGGATGTAACACTAGTATAATAATATTAACCGTCAGTAGAAACTAGAAAAAACCTAGATTGAATAGAACTTACCCATGGAGATCCGATATGTGTGAGACCTGTCTGTGAGCTGATAGTACCGGTTGAGTGTCTTTTTTGCGAGCTGGACTGCCAAACGAATTGAAGGCAGATATTTCTTGTTGCACGAATAGGATGTGAGCATCTTGTCGACGTGATCCATTGCTGGTATCACCGTCGCAAGGTTAGGTGTTGCACGCGAGAAGTAAAGCATGGCGTCCTTTAGAATCTAACAAGAGCAAACAATATAACATAAGCATATGCGCCAAAGCGTCAAACAAAGAGTGCAAACCTTTAGTATATCACGCAATTGCTGTAGTATTTCCCACTCATTATCCTCCAACTCATACTTCCGTAAACCGAGGTCTCGCCATTGCATAATGGTATCTACGGCCTCACGATGTTCAAGTGCGTAATCCAACATATCAAACGTTGAATTCCACTGTGTGGCCACATCGCGTGGCATGAGGGTTTGGGGTTCCGACAAGTCCTTGAGGATGGCATGCCATGCGGGAAGGATGATAGTAGTCGAATGTATGGTCTTGTATGCAAGCTTGCGCACCTGGAGCAATTGTGTTCAATAGTGAGTCCTCTTTTGTTGCACGCACTTACTTTGACAAGTGCTAATTTGACTGGTCTTATCTCTTTGTTTAGTGCGGCCCGCTCTTTCTTGTCCAACAACTCGACCTCATCAACAAAGCCGTCATCATTATCTACCTCATACGTCGTCCCTGTGTCCTCTTCCATATCTGCGCTAAGTTCTTCCAGCTCTATGTCAGTACTGTCAGTACTATGCGCCAATGCTTGGTTGGCCTCTCCTTTCTTCACATTGAATTCCCGGATCAACGATTTGGCCACCAGGTTCACAGTGTGCAGGAAACACCTAGTGTGAGTGGTTGGTCTGCCGAATTCCAGTACCTTACCGCTCAGTTCACAAATCATGGCGTCATTGTTGGACGCATTATCGCAAGTGACGCTCAGGATCTGTGCAATGCGGTTTTAGTTGCATGTAAGTTTGTTCAATTTTTTTTCGGATCAATACCTTTTCTGATATACTGAATTCTTCTAGCACTTTTGCAAACGCCTCCGCGAGCTCCTCGCCGGTATGCGACTATGAAGCTCTCAGCTCGTATATATCTATATAGGTGAGTTTTTTTTACCTTCCCCACTTCAACAACGTCTAATGGGATGCTTAGTGGTTCCCCCTCGTGCTCGAAGTGCGCTGAAAATGCGACCAACGCACGATGGTTGGGCGATGACCAACCATCAGTAGTAAAGTTTATTTTACCGTCATATTCCTGGTGTGTTTTGAATATTTGTTTTTTTTATTAATGATAAATACTTACCTGTAACATTGTAGCAACACGCTGTCGAGTTCGCACAAATACTTGTCGCACGTCACGCGAAACAGTGGAGGCAGAAGGTATGTAATATTCCGGTCTCCCTGTCTTCATCAGCGACTGAAATGCACGGTCCTTGACGATATTGAATGGACGCAGGCTCTTGGACACCCAGCTCACTATTTCGGCCCTGAAGGCAGATGTTTCAGTCCAAGACTCAGATAAGACTTTGTTCGTACCGTGTTTCTGCACGTGTATGTTGACGGTGCGAGTATGTAACTTTCCCTTTACCCTTACGCTTGAATGACGCAGTGATCGATCCGTTTCGCAGGAAACTACCAACTATATTTTCGCGCACCTCGTTGGCATCCTTGGCCTCATCCGCAGCTTTCAATACTTCATTGCCCCAGCACGAATGCACATGCTTCCGCATGTTACCGGTGGAGCGTGCATCACCTTTGTCAAGGTATCGTCGCACTTTGGTCTTGCAATTCCTAGCTTGGCACTTGAAGTTATGGGCACGGCACCCATCAAGTTCAGTAATCTGTGGTGTCGGATTGAAGAACGCGTAGACTGGTGAGTTCCAGTCCTTCATTAAGCGTGCTGTTTGGTACTCAATTAATGTAATGTTCACATCAAGGCTTCTGCACATACCAAGCTCATCTTCTGCAGTCTCGTCGGCTTCCACCTCAGCCTGTGATACAGTGCTACCGGTCTCAGTTTTGTCTTCATTCATTGCGTTCTCTTCTTCCTCGGTGCGCACCAGGGCACGCCGACTCGAGACTGAGTCTGGACATGGAGACATGGACACTGTCCGTGAAGCTGTGACAGAGCTATTTTTTTCGACCAGCTCATCTTCGTCTGCAGACCCTACACTGCCGGTGGGAGTATTACCAGCCTGCAGGTTATTTTTTGCCTTCTTAAGGTGTGTGTTCGCGCTATCTCCACCACCATCGTTTTTCCGCTTCTTTGATGACATTTTTAAACTCTTTTCTTCTAGAGCGGCTCTCGCCTTTCCGGTCATTTTGATGACACGTTTTGCTGTGGCTGCAAAGCTGAGCTGCATGATGGGCAGCACTAGTGGGTGACGAAGGTTCGCGGGCGGCGTGGTATGATTTTATATTTGTCTTTAGAGTTTGACAGTTGGCAGCTGTATAGTTTCGTATTTACGTAGTTGAATTTTACTAGCACCTGTTTGGCATCCATTCGGCGCCCATTGTGACTGATACCTGCAGCACGGGTACGGGTAGGGGTAGGGGTATCATGACCTCAGACCCGTACCCGTACCCCAGCGGTACCCCTACCTGTGACCTGTGTGGGTTACCCGTACCCGCGCAGTTCCCTAGTCATCGCAAACTATCAACAGCGCATCACAATTTATTGCAGTGCGCTGTTGATTATTGGGGTGTCAGACGGTCGCGATGGTCACGTGAATGTGTTGTGTTGTTTACGACCACAGGTCACACTACATTTATATGACCTTGCTCCGCAAGGTAACCTATTATTGTGGGCATTGTCATTTTGCCATATCTATATGTTGAATTACGGCTCTTTTCAAGACATTCTCGTGAGAAGTAGCTTTGGCACTGCCCAACCAATGTATAATCCTATTCAATTCTATCACAAACTCGTGGTATGGCACCATCGCAACACACAAGGTATGATAGTTCACTCTTCTCAGCGTTGTTTACTGTGTTTTTTTTCCGTTTGAATTAAGATGTTATCTGAGGCCATCCACGACCTTCTTGAGG